GTCAATATATGTTTAATAAACGGGTTTTGTCAATCAATTTAATAGAGTGCTGCTATTTCTACTTACCTGTTTTATTTTTTCACCCACCTTATCTTCAAAAATTTAAAAACAAATTTACTCCTTTATAAAATGACTTTTAAAGACTTATGGAAAATGATTAAAAAACAAAACAATTGCCTCAAACTTAAAATTAAAAAAATCCAAAGCACAAAGATGAAACGTCAAATCCGAAGCACCCTCAACCTCTTATTTTATCTCCATCCTAAAACCCTAACCCCCAAAAGTTTTGAGCCAAAACGATGGATTCTTCATCAGAAACTCCAATCATCATGTACTCTTCCCATTTGTAGGAGGGCAACAAATCCCAATGATTGGCATGGCAAAAGTCTTCTCCTCCCACGGAGCAAATCCCAATGCAATAAGATGCTCATGTTGAAAATATGTTCTATTAGTTTTGTTTTGGTCGTCAAATCTCTTCAATTAGAGCAAACAATTGCTCTTTTTAGTCATTAGATTAAGAATTAAAGGGTATTTTAAGAATAATAGTGAGTGGAAAGATAAGATTGTGTTTTTTCAAATTTAAATGGTGAGTGGGAACATAAGACAGGTGGGTGGAAATAGAAAAGTTGATATAGATCCAAATGCGTAATCTTTTTATTTTATTTTAAATTATTTTTTGTTCCAATGTTGCCCCTTATGTCTTGAATCGGGTAACTGTAATTTATGTGATAATTACGGAAAAGAATTGTTTATGACCATAATTAATTAACAAATTAAGTGCTTATGACCATAATGATTTTGGTATATTAATTACGTTGTCTTTTTTTCTTCTCCTTTTAATTACATCCATGATTTGGTATATTAATGTTGTCTTTTTTTGTTCTCTTTTAACTCAAAAAAATCGTTGGCTTCCTTTCTAAATTGTTTACAACCTCTTTATTAGGTAAATTGAAGAAACAAAAAAAAAAGTTATATTGAAAATAACAAAATACCTATATGTTAGGTAGATTATATCTCATACTTCCCCCAATAATCAGGTATAATTCTATATTTACCTAGTAAGTGATGTAAATAATCTCACATTTACTTAGTATTTAGGTACATAATCTCACATTTACCTATATATATATAGGTACATAAAAATGTCATCAATAGTTCTCTTGTTTATCTTGTTTTTCTCAAGTTGTTTATTGTTGATATGCCTAAACACCACAAATCAACTTGATAAGATTAAACATATTGTGTTTTCAATATTTGGATGTTTACCTCATTGATTAGTATAATATGTGGGTCTTTGCTTTTATTGATTAAATTGTAATTTATCCATATATTAAGCAAATATTCACAAGGAAATAATTCAAATTTTAAATTCTAAAATTCAATTACAATGAAATAATGCATTAAATTTGGATTTTTAGTGTGTTTCCTTATTTACTTCAAAGAAAAAATTAACAAAAAAAATAAAGAGTAATAAAATTTAAAGGACTTGCATCTAAAACTAAAGTGGTGAGGATTTAATCTAATGAAAACTAATCATTTTGGTTGTATATATGCTCATTGTTGACTCGAACCAATGCCGTCGTAAGTGTATATGCTTTTCTGGTTGTGTACCCATGCTACATATGCTGATCATTTGTAGGAAGATGAAGTCACGGATTCGAAAGCGACCTTGTTTGCAACAAACCAAAAAAATTGGAATAATATATATTTAAGGGAGTGCCGAGCCACTGCCAGCCACAATGGCTCTGGAAAATTGGTTTCGAAGACGAAACAGAAGTGTTTCCAAAGGTGAAAGCAGTTGCATATACATGCATGTGATTGTTACACATGGAATTATAAGGTGGTCCTAATCAAATCCTTACAGGATGGGACGAAAAGGAAAGAAACCCACCAAATTAATCACGTCCATGGGCATTTACTGCTCTGTGTTTTATCACATATGGAACAATGCTTCCTTCCTTTCTTTTTGAAACACAAGGGCGATAGTGTATTTATTAATGAGGAAAAAAAGTAACAAGTACAAAAATCGGGCACAGGCCCTAGAGGATTAGGCGAGTACTCTACACCCAGCAAACAATGCTTCCTTCCTAGGTATGAACAACAGTTCGAAAAAAGTGCACAGATAGATAAATGGTGATTCCTAGGAATAGGATCATTCAGATTTCAGAACACATTGTCCACACACCAACTTCTTTGACTCCCTCCCCTGCTTTGTTCATTGATGCTCTCTTCCTGCACTTTCTAGCCTCGTCTAGTCTCATCGTAAAAATCATCACCAGATTTTATCAATCCACGTATTATAACATATAAAAAATAAATAAATAAATAAAAGTCGGTGTGGCATATACAAATCTTTAATCCCATTGCACGAAGAGAAGGAAAAAAAAAATTAAAGCGTCAGAATATAGTAACTGCACATGGAGCATGTACATGCCCTCAATCAAACGACCCAATTAAGTCTACCCATCAGGTATTGGCAATGAAAGTAGTTGGGGTTACACTGTTCATCATGGGCATGCATTCATCACAGAAATTGATTGTAAGCATGGAAGCAAAAACCTCCTCTGCGTTGTTAAAATTCGGATTCACCAACTTATATATTTAAAAGGTCACATCGCATGTTACACCAATGTAAGTCACTAGTCTATATCAAGTAATGTTGAAACGAAATCCTGTCTCCTTGAGGCCCTTTCTGAACGTAAGCCTGTCTCCTTGAGGCCACAGAGATGAAGCACGAGTTCACCTATAAATTTTGTTAGGCGGGAGGGTTGTACCGATCGCCAGAGGAGGTAGATACATTTTTTATTATTTTTCATTTAACTTCTCTTTGTTCGAAGAGCCATATTTTGAGAGTATTGGACGCGGCGGAGGGGAAAGTAATTATTATTTATCTGGTTTCTGATTTTCTTCGATTTGGTGAGGGCCCAAATGTTTATTAAAGGAGGTGTATCCAGTTCTAACTTTTAAAGACTTTTTGTAAGTAAGTGACTTTTATAGAGTTGAAGATTCTTAATGACTTTTACATACTTTATAGTATGAGTGGCATTTTAGACCGAAAAACTGAAAAATTGCAAAAACCAACATTCAATTTAACGCAATGGAACTGCAATCGCGGGAAACTGAACCGCATTTGCGGAATGAAGAACCGAACCGCATTTGCGGTATTTGATTTTCAAAATTTGCGGTTACCATAAACCGTGACTATATTTATAAATAAATAAAAAATTACATTTTGTAGATAGCATTGGTGCTCAAACAACACAACGGGGTCCTTCAAATCCACTCACCACCACCAACACTTGAGTTTGTAACTTTGATTTGTAACATTGATGCATTGCATTTTCCTTTTAGTTTGTAACTTTAATTAACTTTGAATTGGATTTTTCCTTTGGGTTGTAACTTTAATTCATTTTGCATTGCATTTTCCTTTTGGTTTGTAACTTTAAAGGATTTGGAATTGGAATGCTTGAGAAGTTGATGTTGTAAATACTTGGGAAGTTTGACTTTAATTGGAATGCTTGGAATTGTAACTTTAATTTTTTTTAGATTGTGAATGCTTGAGAAGTTGAGGAGGTTGTGAATTTATATATGCTTGAGAAGTTGAGGTTGTGAATTTATATTTTTGGGTTAAAGTATGCTTGATATCAAAATGCTTCAAAAGAAGCATCAAAATTAGGTCTAAAATGTGGAAGATTGGATTTTTATGACACAAAAAGAACTTGCGGTTTTAAATCGCTAATTCACAGTAACCGACCATTTTTTGAGGTTTACCGCAATGTGGTAAACAACAAAAAACGGTCAGTTTGTGATTTCAAAAATCACAATACCACAAATAGTCGGTCGGTTTGCGATTTGGGCAAAAATTTGTGATTACCGAACTGCAACCACCCCTACTTTATAGAGTTAAGTGATATACTTTCATATACTTTTATCATAGAGTTTTACATACTTTTATCTACTTTTTAAAATATTTATCGTTTTAATATTTATCTTAGAGTAGTATAACGAAAAAAGAAATTGCTTCTAATATTTATGTTTTGTATGGTGAATTAACTAATCCGCATATGGAACAAGTAGCCAAAAAAAAAATAAAAAATTGGATACAATTGTGTAAAAGCAAAGAAATATTTTTCCATGTCTAAGAACATTTTACTTGAGAATAGTCAATAAGGGTAAACTTGGAAAACAGAAACTAACTTGTGTGATACATTAATGATATTGTTTTAAGTCCAAGGAAAGTGACATTTGTCATGAGGAGAATGGAGAAGGTTCAAAAGAGAAAATTGCTAGCATTCCCCTTTACTATTTATTTGGTTCCTGGTTTTCTTCGATTTGGTGAGGGCCCAAATGTTTATTAAACCTCTTATGATTTAGATGAGGGAGGGCGTAACAACGTCTGCAAAGAAGTCTTTTTCCAATCAGTATACGTTTTCTTTTCCTTACATAACATGATCCGTGATTTGATTTATTATAAAAAAAAGCATAAGATTACAGCCAATGTTAGGAAGAAAAAACAAATCATATCGATTGACAGATAATCAAAGTTCAACGTAACAAAATTGTACTTATATAAAGAAATGAAAGTTGTATTATTATTAGATGGAAGAAAAGTTCATATTCATTGACAGATATAAGCAAAGTTCAAAAATATTAAAAACCGTCCAATTGGAGGGAGAGAAGAAGAAAAATTTCCAAAAATCCAGCCACATTCATAAATCTCTCCTGCGTTTATCACGTGGCACGCCATTAGTCTTTGCATTTACACCATAAGCAAGCATAGATCCAGCCACAAGTAGGTCTCCCTTTAAAACTTCTGATCCAAAATATAGAAAAAATCTCTTATCAGTGGAGGAGTAGGTGTCCCTTTATTAATTCCCATATTCAATCATCACAACTCATCACATCTCACAAACACTGAGAGAACCTCACTCTCAACTCACTCACTTTCTTCTTCTACTTCTTCTCATCCTGTGTCTCAGTAGCCAAAAAAAAGTTTAGCCATGGAAGAGATTATATCCTCATCTTCTTCACCCCAATTTTGTCAAGAAACCGCAGCCACATGTCAACAGCGTCTCCAGTTCATAGTTCAGAACAGGCCCGAATGGTGGGTGTATTCGATTTTCTGGCAAGCCTCGAAAGACAGCAATGACCAAATCTCTTTGTCATGGGCTGGTGGCCATTTCAAAAGCTCCAAGGACTTGGCATCCAAGAGAAGCAACAAAGTGATGAACAACTACCAACCCAAATTTGGGTTCAACAATGTGGAGAGGAAGAAGGTGATTAACAGAGGATGTGCTGAATCTCTTTTCCATGAAGACTTGGAGGACTTGGACATGAGGCTGGTGGATCATGGAGTTGGAGATGTTACTGACTCTGAGTGGTTTTACTTTTACAGCGTTTCTTTAACCCAGTCATTTGCTGCAGGCCATGCCACTAACAACATTTTGGGTCGAGCATTTTGTTCTGGTGGTTTTGTTTGGCTTGCAGGTGCTCATGAGCTTCAATTTTATGAGTGCGAGAGAGTGAAAGAAGCTAGAATGCATGGAATTCAAACTTTGGTTTGTATTGCAACTCCATGTGGGGTGCTTGAACTGGCTTCTCTGGATGTGATCAAAGAAGATTGGGGTCTTGTGCACCTGTCCAAATCGCTCTTCGGATCAGACAACAACAGGATCTCCAAGCAAGGCAGCCGTGACGGCAATGCACCTGTTCCTTTCCCGGAAAGTGGGATGTTTTCAGGACCTCAAAAAGACTTCCCCAGACAAGGTAAGCATCAAGTTTAAGTTAATAGAGAGTGGCTGATACCATATTATATCAAATATTGACAAAAAATATTTTAAACATTTCGTTGAAAATTTTCAAACAGTTTCTCTTGACATTGATATCACATTTTGACCAGAGGGTGATACAAAAGAAGCTGCACCTATCAATATTGGTGGCTCCTCATCAGACTCACCTTCTGATTCTGTTGGCAATTTCACTTCTGAAAACACAGAGAGGACTCGATTGAAAAAGAGAGGAAGATCAACAAACCATGGACCAGGTAGAGAATCACAATTGTTAAACCATGTTGAGGCTGAGAGACAGAGGCGAGAGAAGCTTAACCATCGCTTCTACGTCCTCCGCTCTGTTGTTCCGAATGTGTCGAAGATGGACAGATCTTCTTTGCTTGCAGATGCTGTGGCATACATCAATCAACTCAAATCAAAGGTTGAAGAATTGGAGGCCAAAATCCAATCACAACCCCAAAATCCCAAAATGGGCAATGTGAGCAATCTTGATCATCACAGCAGCCAAAGCACCAGCTCCATAGTTGATTTTCATCATTCAAGTAGTAATAAGAATAATAATAATAATAATAATAATAGAGGAGCTGGTGTTGTGGAAGTGGATGTAAAGATTTTGGGATCGGAAGCGATGATTCGTGTTCAGTGTCCAGATCAAGACTACCCATATGCTAAGTTGATGAATGCGCTCAAATCCCTGGGGTTACAAATTTATCATGCAAGCATTTCAAGTGTAAAAGAGATGTTGATTCAAGATATTGTGGCAAGAGTGCCTTATGGGTTCACTAGTGAGGAGGCCATGAGAATGGGTATTATAAAAAGGTGGTACAACTAGAAATTATAAGTCAACCAGTAACTAGTTTTCCTGTAAGCTAACGAGGACAATATGATTATCCTCATTCTCCTTCTGTAGAGTTGTTTTCAAATTAATAATTTCTTACCCTACCCACCACCTGCTCTGTACGTATTTGAATCAATTCCGAAGAATGCTTTGGTGTTTGGCTAAAAAAGGAAAAAGAGAAAATGCTATATGGTGATCTATTTTTAGTAACGTACTTTTACATCATGTACGTTTGCACGTGCAAGAGTTGAATGTGTAATTTTTATTTATTTATGACATTTTATCACAAATGGTCCCTGGAGTTTGCGAAATTATCGCCTTTCATTCTTAATTGTTTTTTGTGACACTAACGGTCCTTAAGGTTATCATCCACACATCAAAATGGTCACTGTTTACGTCAAATTTTCTGTTAAAATATTGATGACATATATGTGGCGCCATACATCTAATAATATAGTGCCACGTAGCTTTAATAAAATATTTAATATATTAAATTAAATTAATTTTTTTTAGGAAAAAGAAAAAGGAAATTAAAACTTGAATTTAAATATATAAAATTCTGTTGCCAGCCCTCCTCTTCCGTCTCCTCCTCTGCCATGTTCGCCTTCTGTTCTCTCTTCTATACTCCCTATGTTCTATCTCTCCCTCTAGAGAAGCGTTAGCGGTCCTATCTTACCATTTCTCATTACTGTGGCTGCATAGTTGAGCCCAACATATCCACAGTTCATGTTGAGTACCTGCATCTGGGTTAATGAATCACATACCCAACTCATGTGTAGCTATAGGTAAACACCAATTCAACTACTGCCATCATAGCAACCATTTCAAGTAGTGGTGGGCAAGGTCCGATTTGGTCTGGTTCTCACCTCAAACTGGAACCGAAACCGATATTATTTAACTGGTCCGATTTAAGCAAATTTTTTTAAACAACAGGCCGATTCGGTTATGATTGGTTCTGGTTTTGAACCGAATTATTAATTATTAATTTTTTTTCATAAAAAAATAATTTTTTTTATTTTTTTAAAAATAAAAATTATAATAAATAAGTTTTTTTTTGGCTTAAAAATTAACAAATTATCTAATTCATACAATGAAATTTTTTTTAAAGTTGAACTTGGAAAAATATTAATTATAAATTTTAAAATATAGCATTGGATTATAAAAATTTGTAATAAAATAAAATTAAAAAATACAACTGATCCAGTTTGGTCTGGTCTGATTTGGTGCGATGTAAAATCAAAATCGAAATCAGTTCGGTTCGATTTCGGTATGATTTGTTGACTTTTTTGGTCAACAAATTTTTTTTTATTGGTTTTTTTTCCCTAGTCCGATTCGGTGTTCTTGTTTTTGGGTCCTCGTGCCCACCCCTAATTTCAAGTTCATAACAAAGAGCCATACCCATTCCAGATTTGGAACCCTATGCCTTCCTCAACCATTGAAACTGATTATGTTCTTGCATTAAATCCCAACTCGATTATTTGCTTGCCTTACCATCACCTCTGAATCTGATGAGAGAGAAAGGCTGAAGGGAGGTGGGTTGGCACGGTGGGGTGACATGTTGGAAGGAAGAGGGTGAGAGAGAGTTTTTAAAAAAAAAATAAAAAAGTTTTATTTTTTTAAAAATAATAATTTTATTTTAAATATATTAATATTTTATTTAAAACCACGTGGCTAAATATTTGTTGAGGCCCAAAAATCCAAGGGGCTAAACCCAAATTAATCTTTGGCTCAACACAGGTGATTGGATGCAAAATAGGCTCAATCGGGATAAAAGAGAATTTATAAGAGCCACCAACACAAGCTATAAGCCACGAATCATGCCAAGCAAGCACGTGCAGAATGGGCCAAGAACATACCGACATTACTAAATCACGCTCACATGCTCATTCAGTGCTACTTGGCCCAATTATAGCTTATCACGGCATAATAAAACCCTAAGCACGAGCATAGATATCATGCACGAAGAGCCACTATTCTAACACCAAGCTATGCCGCGAGCTTAAGTGGGCCCAAGCCACAAAATCAACCGGGGCTTACTGAGAAGGTCGTGGTATGGAAGGAAACGAGCAATCACAGGGTCCATTGAGGGTTCAAGGGACGTTAGTTTTTAAACCACTTGGGGGCTTTAAAACTCAAGCTCGTTCCTAGAACCCAAGCACATGGGTTAGCATGAGAGAGAAAAGAAAATTGCCCCATGCTCTAGGAAGACACCAAATAACCTACCAAAATACTTAGCCCAACCCACATCAATAGAGTGCCCTAAAGAAATTAGCAAAAGCCCTTTCCAGCAGTTTGACGAAAATCCACTAGAAATAATAGGCCAGCAACCCAACTGTTTGGGCCACAAATTGACACACCCAGCCCAGCGAAAATTAGGCCCAGAATGAAAGCTGCAAGAAATCAAAGAGAGATGGAAGCCCAAAAGCCAGAGGAGACCAGCCCAAGACTCGTCAAAATAGACAAGGCTAATCTGGGCCTCACATGCCCAATATAAAAGAAAGAAGAAAGCGCAGAAGTAGGAACAATCCCACGTGACCTCTCTGGAAAAAGAAAAGTCAGCAATGGCAACTGTCACAGGAGAAGTAATTGAAGGGTTCATAATATCAAGATTGATTCTGGAAAAACTGAAGATCAAATCCCTCTTACACATATATGATATATATATACATACTCAGAGATTTTTTCTCCTGTCTTTTCAGAGAAGGTAATTCTCCCAAGGAGATAAGCAAGTTACAATCTCAGAGAGGGATAAGCAGGAAAGCAGGAAGCTGTCCAGAAAAGGAGTCAAACTAACCATCACGGGCAAAATATCGCAGGGGGCAGTTGAAATTAGGAGGGAGATTTCAAGAAAATCAGGGAAGTGATTGCCTATCTGTTAAGAACCTATCTACCAAAGACTGATGAAATCCCCTTTTTCTATTTTCCATTTTAAAAGGAAGATCTTTTGAAAGGATTTGCCGCCCATTATTAAAAGAATTATCCTACTCCAGAAAACATTTCTTATAAATACAAGAAGGAGTGAACAGGAAAAGGACAATCAATCTTACAACAAAAATTTCATCACTCAGCCAAACAAAGATCCTACACAGGTAAACCGTCACATAAACAAGCTCAGAGTCAACCAACAAGTCCACTTGAATTTCAAGTGAAAAACCAGCCCCAGATCAGAATGCCCAGAATCCAGATTTAGGAAGCAAGTCATTCAAAACGAGATTTCTCTCGTTACAAATTTGGTTCAGCAAAAACCAACACAAGCAGAGTTTGAATTTCCTCCAAGTATGGAAAACCCCAGCCAAATTCACGGAATAGCCTCTAGCTCACCAACGTCCTCAAGAACAGCCACTTCTGCCCTTTCAGACTGAGGAAACCGCAGTTCTGCCTACTCAGAAGCTTCACAAAAGCTTGAGGTACATTAAAGCTCTGCCAGAATCAACCTTTGGCATTGATTTATAGCTGAAAATCCGGCAATCAGAGTTGTCTACGGTCCAGTCCAGCCCAGACATTCCCAGTCCAGCCCATCACAGAGCCTCCCATCCAGGCAGAAATGGAGATCTAGCTATCTTTTTATCTTTTTGGCATCGACATATATTTTTGTAGTCTTGTAAAAGGCACTTCCGCCCAAAAACAGCTTAAATTTCATCAACTGTTCTGGCCAGAACAACCTCTTTATACTGAGATAAATTCCTAAAGTCCTCACCAGTCTGAGGCAAGAAAAGAACTTACTTGGGAGATATTCCTCACCCAAATTCACAATCGTTTGTTTAGGAAATCAGTAACTTGGGGCGCAAGTTATCCATTCCAGACTAAGTCTGCTAGACTGTTCATTACTAGCAGTGGCACGCTCGCACACCAAAGAAAGCTGACTTGTTGACCAATCTATGGTTCTCAAGGCAGTGGGGAACTTTGCCCTTCCATCATAGGAGTAAACACAAAACGGGTGAACACCAACATTACACACAAGCCCAGTCCAGCAGCTTGTAGAAAAGCTGTCATTGTGTTCCACCTCTGATGAGACTCCAAACAAAGTCAGACAAAGGGTTAAGGCAAGAACCAGCAGAAATTCATGGGTAAAGGGCAAATACCCATCGGACAAAAGGCTTCAACCATCTCTTTCCCCACTACAGGCTCTGTTTTGAAAACGTTGAGAAAAAGCAAAGTGGTGCCTCACCCTTGTGGGGAGGTCCAACTGCGTCAAAATCGTTGGAACCACAATGGTTCCTTTCCTGTAAGCCTTGATAGGAGAATTGCACCAAAATAGGACTAAGTATGGAGCTACCAAGGGAAAAGCAAAAGGAAGACCAGACAAAATTAGAGCTCTTAACGCCTATAAAATGAGGCTTTTGCTACCCAGAAAAACTAACCATTGATAGCCTGACCAAGCTTTGTCAAGCACCTGAGAATTCGCTCAAGGCACCCAATTCCCTCTTTCGTTCGTTCGTTCTTCTCCCCCTTAGTATAGAAGTCGGGCTAATATTTCCCTGTTCACTTCGGGCTCCTTTTCTCTATAAGGAACTCATGTCTCTCTCTCTCTCTCTCTCTCTCTCTCTCTCTCAACTTGCTAAACTTGTGAAAGCTTAGCTCCCATGTCATAGACTCCTCAGGCTAAGCCATTAGTGAATTTATCATGCTTATTTGGGTGTTTGTAAAGTGATCCTAAGAGTGTTCTTTTAAAATCTCATCATATTTTTTAAAAACTCTTTTGGGAGCTTGGTTTCGAACTCAGGCATTTGGGGGATTTTGTTCGTCGTCTTCTTACAGCAGCCCAAGCCCATTCGTCAGGCTGCTGGAACAGACAACCCCCTACAATATTATTGGATGTGTAGCCCACATATATGCCATGTCAGCTTTTAACATAAAATTTGATGGAAGTTAACAGCAGAGACCTTTTTGATGTGTGGAGTATAACCTTAAGGACCATTAATGTTACCAAAATAAAAATAAAAATTAAGGACGAAAGGCTATAATTTTGCAAACCTATGGGACCATTTGTGATATAAAAAAAAAACTTTTTATTTATTTATTTAAACAATTGGCATTGAACATGATTTTCAAATTGTATTTATATTTTTTTATAAAAAAAAATAAAAAAATAAACCCTATTGAGCATGATTTTGAAACTGTGCTCAGCTCACCCCTGTGAATCAATTTATCTAACACTTCAGTCATTTGTCAAAATTAGGGGTGGGCATCGGAACCGATCAACTGAACCAAACTAGACTAGAAAAAATCGAAAAAAATTATGTTGACCAAAAAGTCAAACTCAATCCAAAAAACAAAACGGAACCGGTTCTAACCGGTTCCCGTTCCGATTCTATACTCCCAACAAACGGAATTGGTCAAATTAAAAAAAATGTTTATTTAATATTTATTTATATCCAATGCTATATTTTTAATCTCATAACTAATATTTACCCAAATTCAAATTCAAAACATCTCTCTTTTTTAGCCTTAATATTTCTTTTTGTATGAAATTGAATAATTTGTTAATTTTCAAGCAAAAAATAAAAATAAAAATGTAAGTTGAAATTTTTATAAAAAAATAATTTAAAAAGATAATAATAATAATAATCTGGTTCAAAACTGAGCCAGATCGAAACTGGTTCAACCCGAATTGGACAGAACCAAACCGAATAAATAATACCGAATTAGGTTCCAATTTGAGGCAAAAATCGGTCCAAACCGAACCGTGCCCACCCTTAATCAAAATAAAAGCACAAATGGTTCATTTGTACTCTAAATACTTGCCACAAAGCAACACGTTTGTGCTCTATAATTAAAGGAAAGTACTATATAGTACACTGACTACTTATGTTTACGTATCAATAATAGAGAAAGTAAGGAATCATAGAATTTAGGAATTTGGAAAGTATTGAATCGGTATAGAAAGAATCATTCGCATTAGGTTGTTTACTAAACATATGGAATTAGCAAAGGAATGGGGTTGATTCCCATTGTTAGTGTTTACTAATTTTCATGAATCAAAATCAAAATTAATTTGATTACTAAAATGCCCTACACATTTTCACCACAACACATATATGATTCTCAAATTGGCTAAGGAGACCAAACTAATCTTGCAGCAAACTAGTAAGACGGTGTAAACATGAGAAATCAATATGCTAAACAAGATGAGCAGCAAGATCCTAATTCAATGATAATTTTAATAACACCTTTGTCCATATCTAATTTCAAAACAAACAAAAAGAAAAACTCTAAGAACAGCCTTGGAGCTTTGTCTTCTGGCAATTTTTTTTTTTTTTTTTTTTTTTTTTTTTTTTTTTTTTTTTTTTTTTTTTTATTTGAGGTGTTTTTGAATTATGGTAAAATGGTAAGGGTATTTTTGGAAGTTAATAAGGGAAAACAAGAATGGGAATTGTATCAACTACCTCCTCCTAGTTGATCTGATACCTAGTTTTAAGAGGATGTGATTATGGATTTTGAGGTATGGCCCACTTATTTTTTCATTTCTGATTACAAGTAAATGTAGGGAAAATAAGGAATAGAAATCATTCTCTTTCCTCCCATACCCGTTACTAATACGTAAACATGCCTTAAAGTAATCATACTACGGACATCTTCACATAACATGATTATCCGTGCTGTTTGACATAAAGGGCACAAATGCAAGTTGTGCTTTTAGCACAGTTTTTTAGCAGTTCCAGTGCTAGTTGGTTAAATGTGTGAACGGAATATACCAGCAGACAACCAAGCTACTGTATAACCGAGTCCCTTATCTTTAAAAAGAACAGATGCTGGTCCCTCCAACCTCACTCTTCCACAAGATAAGTGGCCTAATAATCATCATCAACCAGTCGATTGCTATGCTGATCCGTATCTGGAATTCAACCCCGCCACAATGATAAAAAATACATGGTGTTATTCAGGTGGATTATCACAACACCAAAGTGGAGAGTCTGGCCATGGAGAAAAAAAAGGTTTTTAGCTATACTTCAAAGCCCTGTGCTTAGAATTGACAGGAAGGTGCATTAGGTCATGGATACAAAGTAACCTCCAACAAATTTTACATGCAAGTAAACTACACGCTTTAAATTCTCATTAGCAGCACTGGATTAAAGATAAAACACCAATTGGATAGCTCACAATATTGTGATTGCATGCGTGTGATTGGTGTTACTTACAATTTTCTCAAGCTTATAATTCGAGATTAGGGGAATGTGGGTCTAGTTAATTTAGCCCACTCGTGAGTGTGGGGTTCAACCAGGCCTAGTATGTTTCTTGTGACATCTTGATTATCTATAAATTTCATGCCTAATTATTATTTAGTGTATACCTAAGAGGTTGTTTGATAACCATTTAAGTTTTCATTTAAAAAAAAAAATTGAAAACATGTTTGGTAATTGATTTCATTTTCAGCTTTCAAAAAAGTGAAATATAGTTTCAAAATCACCTTGATTTTTAAAAACAACTTGAAAGTATATTCATTTTTCGTTTTCATTTTTTCGCGCTCCTTTTTATTCACTAATTTACATCATCATACCTGAAATACACTCCAGTTACCAACAATAGATATTGAGACCTCTCGACTTAAACTCAACTGCTCAATTCTTGCATTCGGTCATAGACCCAGTCCAAGCCTTGGGACCTCAAGTGTTGTTTTATAAAAAATAAAAAATAATAACTGAAAACTGAAATGAAATGGTTACCAAACGTGTCCAAGTTAATCAAATATCTCAGTTGCAATTGTTTACTTTCTTCTTCTTGAAGTTTCATGTTCTGTGGAAAATTTTGCCTCATAATCATTACTTGTTCGAATTGAGTTTTATATACGCACTTATTTCGAAGCCTAGTCAATTCCTGTCTCAGTGAAGTCAAATCAGCACTTGGGGGTGTGAAAATTAATTATGATTCCTCTTTCAAGTGAAGTCAAATCAGCACCAGGGTGTGAAAATTAAGAGTATCTCGAGTGGGGAGGTGCTAAAATTGGGGTATTAAATTAGTTTTTAAATCTTCATTTACATTTCCAGTGGAATAAACGTAACGTTAAATAAATTAACCACATCAACCAGCAAGTATTGGAGATGGCAAGAACATTGGTTGAAAATTAGTACAGAACAAACAACTATAGGACAAAATTTGACCTTCGGGTTTGTGCGCATACATACATACACCATAAAATAACACTGATACCATATTGTACTGTGGTTAGAGTTGCATGTGTATTTTGTACTGTGTACCTATTCACGATGAATTGTGCTGTAGCTACTTATAAACTTTTTCCAGTTTCTCTCTCATCACAATTTTTTTTTTAATAAGGTGGTCCTGCCTCCTTTCCCATATTGTCCAAAACCCACTTGCACCAAAGGATGATACGAGATCCCCCATGCAACTACCAAATTCCTTAAAAGTTAACACTGACACCATATTGTACTGTGGTTAGAGTTGCATGTGCATTTTGTACTGTGGCTATATAGATATGTATACGTACCTTTTCACGATGAATTATGCTGTAGCTAGTTATAAACTTTTTCCAGTTTCTCTCTCATTACACCTCTGCCAAGGTAAAAGTAATCTGGCAGCACATAAGCTTTTACTTGCATATATATATATATATATTTTGGCAAATTTGTGGACAACCGTGTATATGTATATACTTATTTGAGGAATTTCTCAAATAAGTTTATTGGGCTTATCCACGTAAATTTTTTAAATTTGAATCGTCTATTTTTCAAATATTCTTTCAAAGATTACCTCGACAAATATATATACATATATATATATATATAATCGGAATCCACTGTGCAAAGCCAAACTATATGATCAGATGTCGAAATATTTAGAGAACCATTCTTGAACTAATGTTGTTTAGGGTTACTTCCCGATCAAATATCCCACCAGAGTCCCATACAAACTAACCTGTTAACATGTAGTGCAGATCACTACAGCATATTGCTTCCAGGAGCTTCATGATAGTTCTTTGGCCGTGACGTGTCATCCATGCAGGCAGCAGGACCATTCTTGCGCCTCTTTCAAAATCGCTGGGACATAAACAAATTTTAATCCGTTCTACAGGGAAACGATTAAGCCTCAGCATATTTAATTAAGCACACAAACATGTGCTAATTGCTAAATGCGTGCCCCGAAACGACCTCCTTGCAGAATCAGAAAATTAAGCCTCTGCATTATTACTTTAATCTCACACGTGGCAAATGCGTGCCCGACAAAGTTGCTCTCTAGGTAGAGCTAATCCATCAATTTATCGACCTCTTCGTAATTTCACGAGACCATATTTAAATAGGACATTGCATGTCGGTACTATATAGCTGCCACTAACTTAGAAATGTTTAAAATTTTATTATATCATGACAACTGTTTCCAAAAACGGCAAGTTTCCATGCGGTGGTCCCTGGAAGTTTCATCCTATATCTTGATAACTGTTTCTCAAAATCGCCAGTGGCTGTGGGATTGTCCTTGAAGTTTTATCCTATGTGATTTTCTTGAGAAAGATCTTAACATGCCGACAACAATATTATTAATTTTGTAATCGAGATTGAAAGAAATATCAAAAAAAAAAAAAAAAAAAAAAATTCAAAAATGAATAGTCATAGCCCAATTTTCATGGCAGACAACGTTCAATTAAGTCACATCACATATACAGAACATTTTAAAATATAGTGGCACAGACTCCCAAAATCGAGGGGGCAAATATAGTGGCACAGAACATTTTAAAATTTAGCGTGACAAATAAAGAAAGATTAAAATAAAATTTCATATAATATTAGTGAGATAAGATCACCAAAAGGGCTTTGCTTATATGCAACGTGGTACCTGCTGGCGAGGGACATGCCTGAGGGATCGTGTCCCCGGCAAAGTTTTTCAGTAATAATTGATTTATCTGAGATTTTAGGGGACCCAATATTTGTACCACGTGAAAGATAACTGGCAATGATAAAATGCCATCTGCATCCATGCATTTATTTTTTATTAGATTGTCGTATGATCAAAAAGATATATATCTACTTTTCGTAGCTAGTGAGTGTGTTTAAACGTGTGAGGTGTCATGCATGTGCACTGCATATGTTGTAAGATTTGCAATTAAGGGAGAAATCAATGTGGGACTTGCATGATTATTTCTGAAGATAAGATATATTACATATGCGTAATCAAACGAGAGAATATGAGAATATCTGAATACGATTACGTGGTATAATTTATTTTCCCGTTATAATATGAATAAGGAACATATTAGCGAATGATATCATATCAACATATTCCAGTACCATAAACAAAACTTAATAGACATTATAATCATTGCACTAGACGCCGCATCCATATGACTACATCGTCCAGAATTCACCACCAAATCTAAACACAAGTGACGGGACAAGATGAATGACCGTTCACATATATTGTGGATGTAAAGCCTTAGATTTGTCTCGTCCTTGGGACCACAGAACTGAAGCACGAGCTCAACAAACAAATTTTGTTAGTTGGAGGTGGCTTGTAGACAGGAGGAAGAAAGGTAGCTACAATTTTATTTTCTTTATTTGTTAATTCTTGTTGGTTGGCCAAAAAGGAATACAATATTTACTATTTTGGGATTATAGGATGCGGCGGAGGGAGAATTATTTCATTTTATAGTAAATTTGGCTTACACCCTTTAAATTCAATTTGCTATACTTAAAACCCTTCACTTTTTGTTCCTATAAATAATACCCAATTTGTATAAGTAAAAACCCATGACTAGGATCCAACTCAGCAAGTTACCTAATTAAGCATAAAATTTGATTTATTGTACTTTTCAGATTCCAAAAATACCCCCAACTAAGCCATTATTGCATTTTGTATATTAATGTAGGAATCAATATGGAAACAGTTTTTAATTGGATTGTATATAATGACAGATGTTGAATTTGGAAATATCTCCAAATGGTTGTAATAGATGTAGGAATTAATTTTGGAACATTTTAAAAAAAATTTAACAATAAATTCAAATTTGGGTAATTGGTTTGTTTAATAAAATGTTTATGTTATTTTCTTTTTATGAATTATACATGACTAATAATCCACTTTATAATTGTTTATGAATAAAACTGTACATACTAATTATGTTGAAAAAATAATGTACCTATTTGTTTTATGAAAAATATAATTTACCTAGTATGAAAAGTGTACATAATTATCTATTCCAATATACCTACATTAATTTTAATGTACTTACAATTAGGATTTAGGTATTATATGTCATCCAATGTACCTACCATTTGAATAATATACCTACTACGAATAAAGTACCTATTATTTATCTAAATAATGTACCTATTTTTTACTATAAATAATATAGCCTTTTTTCTCTGAATAAAGTACCTATTATTTGTTTTATCAAACGTAATTTTTTTAAATGAACCTATTTTCTCTCTCCAAATAACTTACCAATTTTTTTCCTCTAATAATGTACCTATCTTTCCTCTTCAAATAATGTACCTATATTTTATATAAATTATTGTGTACCTATTTTTAATTATGAAAAATATACGCAATTACAAAGTAACTGACTTTTTTTTTGGGTAATATAATATACTTATATATATTATATGTATATATTTATATTATATTTTTCATTATTGGTATATATAATTGTATTTATGTATTTTTTTTTGTTTTTATTTTAGGGGGCGAGATGTGAGAGGGAATGACAACTAAAAGAAATGGGGTGATTGATATGCTATTAATAGGGAGTATATTAATTACAATTATGGCAGTTAATGAAATGCTTGAAATAAATTATAAATAAAATATGAAGTTTAGTGGCAATGATGTAAAAACATAGAAATACTACGACCTCTTATATCCTACTGGTCATTTAAATTTGAATTTGGGTTTTCAACGTAGTTATATAGATAGATGGGTTTGTGTCTAGGGGATATCAGTTGTATGGGCTTATATTGGAGTCTCTCTTCATTTTATTTTATTGGTCTCCCCCTTTAGTAAATTTAGTAAAATGTTCCCTTTTTCTTGCCTCTGGTTTGATGGGGCCACCCAAAAGACTAACAACGTTAGGCGCCAAGTCCTTTTCCTATTACCAAATGGGGGCTTCGAAATGCAGTTCCACAGTGCACAAGGTGGGGACTTCATGGTCCAATATTGGTACAATCTTAGTCATGTCCCCTTTCACAAAGAACATTATGTTTAGAAAGAAGTTTCTACACTGGACTACGCTAATTATAATTATCAAATTCATCATACATACATACATATATATATATATATTTATTGTGAAACCACGGAAGACATTATCTCCCCATGTTCTTCACCCAATTTTTGTCAAGAAAGCTCAGCCACATTTCAACAGCGTCTCCAGTTCATAGTTCAAAACAGGCCTGAATGGTGGGCGTGTTCGATTTTCTGGCAAGCCTCCAAAGACAGCAATGACCAACTTGATTTGTCATTTAAACATGTTGAAGAATACAAGTGCCATATTGAAAATTTAACTAAATAAAATACAATCTATAATGAGTGGTTCCACTACTAATATTACCGAAGCATTTTGTGATAAAACCACATATATACTAGGCTTTGTAGGTGACTAGGTTGAAGACAATATCAGTGTTACTAATTATAGACCACTGACTCGTCTCACTGAAAATTTGAACATAATTGCACAATTAAGGAGCAAAGTATTCCTCCAAAATATGAGCCACACATTCATAGTCTCCATTGTGTCCACTGTTTATCACGTGGAACACTATTATAGTAGTCGTCTAAATTCACAACAACAATTCCAAACAACACAACAAGCGTACAGATCCAGGCACATTTAGGTTCCTTATTTTCAAAAAAGCAAAAAATAAAAAATAAAAACCTCCAAACCGTGCAGATAGATTTTCGTTTATTAATTCCCATATATATTCAACAATCAGAATTCACAGGGTACTTGTTCCACAGCTTCTTCATTTCTCTGTCTCTCTTGCTCCTAATTCCCACTGGCTTTCTTATACTTGCTACAAAAAATAAGCCATGGAAGACATTATCTCCCCATGTTCTTCACCCAATTTTTGTCAAGAAAACTCAGCCACATTTCAACAGCGTCTCCAATTCATAGTTCAAAACAGGCCTGAATCGTGGGCGTATTCGATTTTCTGGCAAGCCTCCAAAGATAGCAATGACCAAGTTGTTTTGTCATGGGCTGGTGGCCATTTCAAAAGCTCAAGGGACTTTGCATCCAAAAGAAGCAACAAAATGACCAATAATTACCAACCCAAATTTGGGTTCAGCAATGTGAAGAGAAAGAAGGTGAATAACAGAGAAGTTGAAGTTCTTTTCGATGAAGAAGACATGGTGGACTTGGACATGAGTCTTGTTGATCATGGAGTTGGAGATGTTACTGATTCTGAGTGGTTTTACTTTTACACTGTTTCTTTAACCCAATCATTTGCTGCAGGCCATGGTAATAATAGTATTCTGGGCCGTGCGTTTTGCTCTGGTGGTTTTGTTTGGCTTGCAGGTGACCATGAGCTTCAGTTTTATGAGTGTGAGAGAGTGAAAGAAGCTAGAATGCATGGAATTCAAACTCTGGTCTGTATTGCAACTCCATGTGGCGTACTTGAACTTGCTTCTTTGTATGTGATCAAAGAAGATTGGGGCCTTGTGCACTTATCCAATTCCCTCTTTGAATCAGACAATAACAGGGTCTCAAAGCAGGGTAGCCATGACGGCAATGTACTAGTTTCTCTCCTGGAGAATGAGATGTTTTCAGGAGGTCAAAAAGATTTGACCAGACAAGGTAAGCAACAAGTTTCCTTAACGGAGAAAGATTGGTTGATACCAAATGCCGAAAGTGACCTCGATCGTAAATTAGTACCTAGTGCCAAACAATTATTTCCCTTATAATATTATTAGTAATCACTACCACTATTAGCTTAAACACTTTAAAAATATATTATTTTAGGACATTTTACTCAAAATTGTCAAACATGTTGTGTGTTGATGTTTAATAACTTTGTTTTGTCCAGAATGTGGTGTAAAAGAAGCTACGCCTGTCAATATAGGTGGATCATCATCAGACTCACCTTCTGATTCTGTTGGTAATTTCACTTCTGCGAATGCAAAAAACATTCGATTGAAAAAGAGAGGAAGATCATCAAACCATGGAACTGGTAAAGAATCATCAACCCATGTTGAAGCAGAAAGACAAAGACGCGAGAAGCTTAACCATCGATTCTATGTCCTCCGCTCTGTTGTTCCGAATGTGTCGAAAATGGACAGGTCCTCTTTGCTTGCTGATGCTGTGGCATACATCAATCAGCTCAAAGAAAAAGTTGAGGAATTGGAGGCAAAGATCCAAGCACAACCCCAAAATCCCGAAGTAGGTCATGTGAGCAATCTTGATCATCATCATCATCACAGCAGCCAAAGCACCGGCTCCATAGTTGATCATCGTAGTTCAAGTTATAATATTAATAAAGCAGGTGCTGCTCTGGAAGTGGATGTGAAGATTTTGGGCTCAGAAGCCATGATACGAGTTCAGTGTCCAGATCAAGATTACCCATATGCTAAATTGATGAATGCACTCAAAGCCCTAGGTTTTCAAGTTTACCATGCAAGCATTTCAAGTGTGAAAGAGTTAATGATTCAAGATGTTGTAGCAAGAGTACCTTATGGGTTCAACAGTGAGGAGGCAGTCAAAACGGGTATTATAAAAATATGGTACAACTAGAAAATAATTCAATAATCAATTTCCCTAGCTAATATGGACAATGATTTTATATAGAGCGTCTCCTTTTTCTTGTTTAGTTGTTGTTGTTGTAATTTAATAAGTTTAATAATTAAGGAGAGACTTGTTTATTTTCCAAGTTTAACATGATTTCCAATTTCCAAGTATAACAATTCTAAACTATAAATATATTATGTTAGTCAGTTAAAAATAAGTATTATGTTATTTAATTGTCATCAGCCTTTTTATTCAGAAAAACTTTCTTGTAACGGGAATAGTATTGTTTTGCTATTTCCGACCAATAATGTAACTACACGTGGAAGATAACCAGTAGTTTGTTTCTCAAACATGGTATTTCCATCCATAGGCTTGTTGGTTATGATATGAGGAATCTACTGTAAGTTCACGACGATACAGGGAGGAATATTCCTTTCGAATTCCGATTAAGATAGTAGCCAAACATATGTCGACAAATCAGTCGACAGACACTGATCGACATATGGGTGGCATGGGAGCACGTGTGGCCGTTGGGCTTATCACGTGAAACCTTGCTCTGATACCATGAAGAAGTCAAGGCTCCTCTCCAAAACAAATTGACAATGGAAGGAGCAGCCCAACTTCTTATAAACCCAGGCTAGGTCTCTTTACTTTTCAATGTGTGACAAATACTCTCAACAGGCATATCTATTAACATCAAAATGAAGATAGACCCGGACCCATTTATATACCAACTTGCTATATATTTCGATCTATTCCATAAATATGGTTAATTTTTTTTATTTTTTATTTTTGTTAACATGTGATTTCCATTTTGTACATGAAATAGAATGAGATAGATAGTTCTTGTATAATTAAGTTACAGCAAATTAGAATGTGATATAGTTGATGCAGCTAACTTTTATGATTAGATACATGTTATCAAGCATGGCTTGATTCCTTAAAATTGAGGCGGAACTCCTCTTCAAAATTAATAGGATTACAATAGTAATGAAGAAATGTCTTACATAAATTGTGATTAAGTTTTTTAAATGATTTAAATTTCTTTTTTTTATATATATACGAAATGCTTGAACCTCGTGTCCAATAATTGGCTTGACGAAGCCCGTGGCCGGTGATTGGAATGGGGTGATTGCCGAATGGAAAGTCTAAAAAACCAGCCAGCAAGGCTCGAGTGAAAAGAGAAAAAAAAAAAAAAAAAAAAAAAAAAAAAATATATATATATATATATATATATATAAGAAGCATGTGCTGTTTTGTAAGAAAACCACGGCATCTGTTCAGGAGAGTCAAAGCACGTGATATTTACATTAAATATTGCTCAGCATTTCCCATTTTTCTCATTAATTTGTCGGATAAAATAGTTGCAGGAAAAGATGGGAGGAGATCCCCATGCAACTACCAAATTAAGTCCATGGCCCAAATTGGTAGCCTCCGTTGGTGCCACTCAATGATTTCTCGATTTTTCTTCCACTGCTTTCCGACCATCCTCTCTCTCGCTTGAGTGACCGTACACGTGGAGATGGCATGTTGAGAGTATTATTCCACTTCATCATTTATCTTAATTACAAGAACAAACAAATAAACAAACTGCTTTAGATTTGGCGTACGCGATTTGGTATGCCCTATTTTGATTTTGCAATTCTAGTGTCTTCTTGCATTTATTTTGAATAAAAAGGGTATTTAACGTAGTGGAGGTTGTGGCGAGGGAGCCAATACTATAAATTCAAGATTATAGAGTTGTATTGTAACTAATATTGCATATAATGTTTAAGAAATAATTTAAGGGGGGAGAAAAGGACATCCCGGGTAGATTTGTATGTGCCCTTAGTGGAGGTGGTGATTTGAGTGCTGATTTCAAGGGGGAATAGAGGGAGAAGGACTTTCATGATAAGTCTGTATGTGATTCCGTCTCTAGTGGAGATGGTGATTTGAGTGCTGATATTTCAAGGGGAAATGGAGGGAGAAGGACGTCGATAATAGGTCTGTATGTGATTCCGTCCCTAGTGGAAGTAGTAGTACCAGCTAAAGATATATAGTGATTTGTCTCTAAATTTAATTCCAAATTGATGACCCCACCTCAGTCCTATACACACTATCGCTTTATATAAGGACGAGCTTCTCACATAATTAGGGCCATCAGTAGGACAATAATTCTTGGCTTTCGGCATTATATCATGCAAGTCATCTTCCTGCCCATCATTCAAAATTCTTCGGCCAAATGCCCCCAGATCAAACCATTCAAACAGTAGAATTGCTATGATCGATTAGCATGCATTTCCACGTGCTGATTAACAGATAATAAAAAATTGCATAAATTAAGAAACAAAATATTCGGACTTGAATTAAAAAAACTCAATAATGGACCTAAATTAACAAAGCTTTGTTTGGGAGGATGCGGCTCCACCTGGTGGACCGGACTGATCAATTAGATCCTTTGTATTCTCTATTGTTTTGTTTTTGGGAAAAGTCGTGGTACTCTTTTTTCTTAACCGGATTTTTCTCTCTTGGATTTTTCTAAGACAATATTTTAACGAAGTCACATTATTACTCCTCCGCTTTTATAGATTCTTGCTTAGAAACTGATGTACTATATTGGCTAGTTTGTTTAATGAAGTTTTACCCTCTGATAAAAAATAAAAAGCAAAAAACAAAAGACTAGATCTAACAGAAGAGAAACGCCATAAAATTAGGCTATCATCATCATCATCATCATCATCGATTAATATCTAATTATTATTTAAATGCAATGCTTAACATCAATATCATTGAACACACAGACATGAACTCGCTTTATTTGGATGGATATGAAAGTTTGGAAATTTGCAAGAATGGCAGAGCAAGCAAAAGCAAAGCCTCATATTGATCAAGTTTTCCATGGTAAGTCAACACCAAACCTCATCTCAAGTGGGGCCCTGCCCTCCATAAACTTAAATCTCATAATGCAGAACATGTAACATGGACAAATTTAACAGTTGAAAGATAAGGTGGTTGTGAAGCCCTTTCTGGACAAGCAGTACGTCTGTCTTTTTGACACCACAGTGATGATCAAGCTTCAATTCAACTACAAATTTTGTTAGGTGGGATGCGAATGTGATGCTCTTTTTTTCTTTTTCTTTTTTAAATACTGGGGTCTGGGTTATTTATTTTGTTAGGCCCAAATTAAGCAAGCAACAAAGGGAGAAATCTATATGTATCTGTTTTGATTTTCTTGAGTTGGCAATCATTAAACTTTTCATTTTCATCAAGCCTAGATTTCATAGCAACGACAAAATAATTGAATGCCGACGCGGTGATGGGATTGACAGCTTAAATGAAACCAAAGTTTATATTCGTGGACGGCTAATTATTTCATAAATACTATATGTTTTAATGAACCATTTACTGATCAAAGTTGTAATACCGCTCCTGGGGCGTGTGACTGGTGTGGTGGTGGTGAGGCAGATATATACTATAGATACCACACCTGAATAGTTGACATACAGACATGGATTATAATACCTGAACCTGGAAGGCAGTAGAAAAACTCATGTGAAAAGGAAATATTACAGTTTTGCAATTCCCGGTCAATTACGATATGTAAATGAAAAAGTTTATCACATACGACATATCATAATTGATTGTGAATATTAAAAATTATTATCCGCATACCATGTTTTACATAAGTGTTTCCCAGAAGACAGGTATGCTAGATGATTTTGCTTTAGCAGCGTTTTCCAGATTTAAGAATTATATAATAGGGTTTCCAGATTCATGATACAATAATTAAATGCGAAGGATTTTGAATTGATGAAAAGCGTTATTGACAAAACAATTGTCAGGTGAGAGAGGTTGTGGAGGATTATCAGTCACAAATCTACATATGGATTTGACAAAGCAAAACTAGCCAAGCGATGAGAAACTCTATTGCATTGGTTCAAAGAGAGCATTAGCATCTTCAATGCGATTTGGGAGAATTGCTTTTAGTAGCTGTGGAGTGAAGAACCCAACTTGGTTTTACATTATTGTTTTTTTTAACAGAATCAATGCATTGAACTCAGCTATAAATGCTTATGCATGATGCCTGCTAATAATAATATGTTGGATTTGGACCAACAACTACTGTTGCAGTAAGTGTATGCTATGTTGATAATTTTTTGCAGAGGAACATCAATAAAAATAATTTAGTTCTGGAAGTAAAATCTGAAAATAATAATAATAATAATCAGGGATTTGGGGTGGGTTTTGTGAGATAGTTTCCTATAACGGGGACAAAAAAATTCTGAAAATTATTATAGGGGATGGGACCGGGGACGGGAACGAGAATTGAGAGCAGGTACGGAGATGGTACTGCTATACTTGACCCGTTGCCATCCCTAGTGTTCATCCATACTTATCAATCACAATCCGACAATATATGCAAAAGTTGAAACTTCCACATATTTATGCATGATAAGATATGGTATGTCCTATTCCCATTCACTTCACTACCTGTTTCACAAAATCAGCCATAAAAATTCCGCTACTATTTCTTTTTTTTTGGTGAAACAGGAGGCGCAACCATTTTGTGGCTGAGAAATCCATTTATATTAAATTTTTATTCCAAAATATATTGTGGTAATTTGTTGTTTAAAGTTTACTTCCATCAGTCCTATAAAAGGAACTATTCAACATCGTTCATCTACACACTCATTACATCATTATTATTAGGAGTAATTACATTGTTGGTCACTAGAGTTAGCGTCGAATTTAAATTTAGTCACCAAAATGTTAAGTTTCCGATTTTGATCATCACACTTCGCGTCGTCAAGAAATGAAGTTCAATTGACCCATTCCGTCAAATAAGAGGTATGTAATGTGTGCATGCAGGGACAAAACTAGAAATCCACCATTTAAATAATTATTAAATTAAAAAAAATGATTGCTTGGTTGTTTGATTTTAAAATTTTCAGTTAATAAAAAGTTGTGAAGGGGAGCCAGGATCACACTGGTCCTTTAGTGACTACGTCCCTTATCCCAGTGACATGCAAGTTTTTTTCTTATGACACAGTAGGAAAAAGGTTTTCATATCATGTGAAAATTATAAGCATGTATATGCTATATAAACTCATGTTCGCACATGCACACTACATGTTTTTCATGTATTATTCGCTTGTGTTCCAATAACCAAAATACTTGGCTATTTAGGGAATGAGCCTTTTTGCATGAAAACAAAAGTCACCTTCCCGAGAACTTAATGTTATTTATGAAAATAAAAATAGTAAATTTAGCTTAACCCTTTGAAAGTCATTCTTCCTCAATTACTATCCATCTCTTTATTTTTGTTTGAATAAAATCTTGTTTTTTCTAAATACCGAATGACTAGGATCCAAAGTTACCTAATCAATTGCAAAATCGAATTTATTGTACTTTTGTAATTCCTAAAATACCCCCAAAAAGTCATTATTGCATTTTGTATATTAATGTAGGAACCAATATAGAAACAAATTTTAATTGAATTGTAACTATGACACACTTACCACATTTTTATCCCACAATTCTATACCACATGATGTGACACGTCCATATTATATGCCACATCAATTAAATCAATGAAATGTATTTCAATTAAGGCAATTACAAAAATAAATACGGGAATAAATCATAAAAGAAAAGAAAATATTAAATAATTTTAATTGATGTGGTTGTCCACCTCAGCTGCCACATAAGATGGTATAAAGAAGTGGTATACAAATGTGGTAAGAGTAACATTATTCTTGTGAAAATAGTTTACCTACCCAAATTTTATAGATACGTTGACTATTATGTACTTAGTATGAATTTACATAGGGAATATTTGAAGTAATTTGATGGTAGCCCATTATTTATGGGAGTGGAAACATAAATGTGCAGTGAGGTATTATTCATTTGTCTTAATTTGGTGATAAAAAAACATTAGCAACCAAATAAAGATCTAATGGCATGATTTGTAAATAAATCAACCTTCATGGACAAATTTTATCAAAATTTAGAATTAAACATTGTATTATTGGTGGATTATTGTCTAAAGTTTTTAAATTGTAAGGGCCTATTTTAATATGACCCAAATAAAAATTAAGGTGAATAATTACTAGATTTGGGCTTTTTAATTAATAATTTCCATATATACATGGTTACATCCCCTTATTTCAACCTATCTCCCGTTGGCATCTTCTCAATTGTTTTTATTCTCCTTTTCCTCTTTTTTTTTGTTTTTTTTTGTTTTTTGTCTTCTTTACTTTTTTCTCATGTTCTCCTGTTCTTCCTGTTCATGGTGGAATATTTGTGTAGGTCATCCTAGGAAGAAGGGGTTTATATTTAGTACCTATCAAATAGATTCGAGTGCTAAGGTAGTCGACCTAACTTATGTCTTCCTTACACTTTCTTTTGTTCTTCTTGATTCTTTTTATAGATAATTGTCTATGGTGGTAGAGATTTGTCTAGGTTATTTGTGTAACTAAGTAGAAAGGGCTACCAAATGGGTTCGGGTGTAGAGGTAGTCTACTTAACAAAGGGCAATACGATTTGAGAGTTCATATATAGGTACACTAATTTGTGTCTTCCTACTAATAGTATTTGTTATTTATTGGGCATGAGGTTCAGTAAAACTATGATACATTTACGTAGAATTTGATTGCACTAGAACAATAGATGAGAATGGTGAGATTGATGTTACAACTTACACTCACGTGCACCACACATTCTTCAAAATGATAAGGGCCCGTCTAGTAACGTTTTTGGAGAATGTTTTCTGAGAGTATTTTCAGAGAATGCAAACAAGAAAACAAATTTGCATTTTCAGGAAATGAAAATGCGTCTAATAGATTAATTAGAAAACATCTTTAGAAAACAAAAACAATGAAAATGTGTCTAGTAGTACAATTGTTTTTCAGGTGTATTTTTGCTAATTTTAGTTCTAATTTTGTTTTTAATTATGATATTTTTAGAGGCTAAAATTATTATAAACAATGAAAAAAATTAAAGCACAAAAACTATCTTATCTCCTTTCTTTTTTCTTTCTTTTTTTCTTCTTTTTTTCTTTTTCTCTCTTTCCTCCTCTTTTCTTCTTTCTTTGCTTCACAAGTATGTTTCTCTTTTTCTTCCCGTTTCCTTCTTTCTTCCCCTTTTCTTCTTCCTTTCCTTCCCGAGCTGCACCCACTCCTCCTTCCTTCCGTGACATGAATCCCATACACCCACCCATCTCTCTCTCTCGTTCCACTAATTAATGGTTGTGGTGGTTTGATTGGGTGATTATGGTGGCAGAGGCGGCCCATGGGGTGTGCAAGGTGTGCGACCGCACAGGGCCCCCAAAATTTAGGGGCCTCCAAATTTTTCCAAGTCGACCCATTAAATTAACTAAAACATGAAAATAAAAATGAAATATTAAATATCACCCCCACAACACCACATGCAAGGCACCAAAACTAAATTGAATTGAATATTAATTATCAACAAATTCTACGACTTAGAGAGTAGATGCCCTAATTTAATTCATTTTCCTCTTCCTAACTCTCACGCTGCAACTCTTCTTTTTATTTATTTATTATGGATTGAAACATGTGTTTTCCTCTTCCCAACTCTCAAGTTACAAAACTATTCTAATATTCTTTTCTCTTTCAGTAAGTATTTCTCACTCTCCTCTATCAAAATAAAGCCATTTCTCTTCAATACCAGTGTACCACCCTCTTCCATCAAATTTTGGATTGTAAAAACCCAAGCTTTAGCCATTTCCCGAAAATCACAGTTATTTTCTCCCTCCCTTATTCACATGAGAATTCACCAAGCATTGAAATTGGAAAATCAATTTATCAGCTCTGTGATTTGGAAGGGTGACTAAAGAAATTTTTCTGGGAAACTCTTTCCGAATGTATTCTTCCCGTGTCAGAAATTTTTGTTTCTATATGGATTTTTTTTCCTACTTGTATATATAGGGCCTCGACATCCATATTTGCACAGGGCCTCCAAAATCAATGGACCGGCTCTGATGGTGGTTGAGCTGGGTATGCGGTGTGGTTCTTCTTCCTGTCTCTGTTTTTCTTTTCTTTACTTCTTCCTCTGTATTTTTTTTTCTTAGTTTTGCAGATTTGTGTTATTTTGGGTCAGAGAAGATGGGTGTTGTTCCTGTTGGTGGGTTTATCAGTTGTCAAGAGAAAGAGCTAGAGTTGTTGATGGGATGCGTTCTTGTGTCTTCAGAAAACACTGAAAATGAAATCACTGAAAACAACTTTTTTTCGTTTTCAACTTTTGTTCACAAAGTCAGATTTGTTTTCAGAAAACGTTTTGTGAGGGAAAACGAAAACGATGCACCGAACGTGTATTTGTGAAAAACAGGAAACAAAAACAGAAAACAGGCTCTTAAAACATTATCAAACGGGCCCTAAACCTCCTCGGGAGCCACTAATAACACAACCTACAATTCTCCGCATCCATAACTTTTCTCACCCCCCGCCCAAATCTGTGCCCAAGCGGCCCTTCCCTCTTAAAATGGTATCTCCATTATGCAGGCATGGGGACAAATAAACTTTCGACAGATGGATAAGGTGGGATGTGAAGCCCTCTCTAAACAAGTATATCTTTATTCTTCAGACCATCGAGCACCAATAATTCAACTACAAGTCCTGTTAGGTGGGATAGTTAGGGAGGTAGATGAATTCCTATTATTATTATGATTTTATTTTAAACATCTCATTTGGTGACTCGGATTGGATCTTCACTTTTTTAAACGACACTAATCCAAGGACAAGAATTGCATATATTGGTTTCGTTTGAGTGGGGCAAATGGCCCAAACAAGTCGGGAGAATTCTTTTTCCACTAAGCTAACGTTTTTCTTTTTCCCAGCATATCATGACCAGATTTGCTAGCTAGAGAAGAACATATCATGACTAAATTTACAGGCACTATAGGACCCATGAAAGCCCCTTGAATTGAGTGCCATGAGAGACCAAAATAATAATAATAAGAAATATTAAATTGAATGCCATGATGGGATCGATCAATTGGGCAATAACTTTTGTGACCTGATGGAAAGCTTCTCGATACTTATTGACAAATTACTCTATTTTATTATTATTATTTTAGATGGGAAATTTCATCATTAAGCATATGAAAATCGTGCCGTACACTCTATTCAAAAAATTTAAATAATATTTCTAGTCGCTCATGGCTCACGTGAGTTGTGAGGTTTTGAAGAGTGTATGAAGCAGCTCACAACATAGTCAAAGAAAAACGAAAGTTTGAGAAAGCCAAATTCCCAAAACGGAGTCACATTCATAGTCTTAACAGTATCCTGTACGTTTAACACGTTAACCGGCATACGTGTCCTCAGTGGAAATTTTAAATTGTAATTTAAAAACGTTTATAATTTTTTAAATTATTTATTATAATAATAAAAAATAAAACGCCAGCTCTACAGGAACAGGTAGGTCTTTATTAATTCCCGTGTCCAATTACAATTCACAAGTCAGAATCTGAACTCCGAAAGCCTCACTCGCTCACTGCACTGTTGCTTCTCCTCCTCTGTCTTTCTTTCCTGCTACTAATTCTCACTTGCTTTGTAGCAACCAAAAAAAATTAATTTAAGCCATGGAAGAAATTATTTCATCAAGCTCCCCAACAAATTTTTGTCAGGAAAACTCCTCCATATTTCAAAAACGGCTCCAGTTCATATTTCAGAACAGGCCAGAGTGGTGGCTGTATTCAATCTTCTGGCAAGCCTCCAATGACAGCAACGACCGTGTCTCTTTGTCATGGGCTGGTGGCGATTTCCGAATCAACAGAGACTTGGCCACCAAAAGAAGCAACAAGGTGGTAAACAATTACAACCCAAAATTTGGGTTCAACAATGTGGAGAGAAGGAAGGTGGTGAACAAAGACGTTGAAGATCTTTTCCATGAAGACATGGTGGACTTGGCAATGGTGGATCATGGAGATGTCACCGACTCCGAGTGGTTTTACTTTTACAGCGTTTCTTTAACCCAAACGTTTGCTGCAGGCCACGCCAGCAACAATGTTCTGGGCCGCGCGTTCTGTTCTGGAGGTTTTGTTTGGCTGGCAGGTGCTCATGAGCTTCAGTTTTATGAGTGTGAGAGAGTGAAGGAGGCTAGAATGCATGGAATTCAAACTCTGGTTTGTATTGCAACTCCTTGTGGGGTGCTTGAGCTCGCTTCTTTGGATGTCATCAAAGAAGATTGGGGCCTCGTGCATCTATCGAAATCGCTTTTCGGATCAGACAACAACAACAAGGTCTCGCAGGAGGGCAGCTGTGAGGGCAATGCACTTGTTCATCTGCTAGAAAATGGCGTGTTTTCAGGAGCTCAAAGGGAGACGACCAGACAAGGTAAGTATAAAACTTTATTCATGTTAAAACCAATAGTTTACAGTTTTTTTTTTAATTATATTTGATTAGTAGTTAATTTCCTCTTTCAAATAATTGAGCAAATGCGGACAATGAAATGGTAAACTAGTGGCAGACAATCTTTTCACTGCTATTATTTTATTGTAACGGTCGACATTCTTAATTATTCTGGGTTCTTTTTATTGTTTTTCATGTTTGCTATATATGTGTGGGTTGAGAAAGAGAGTAAGAAATGTAGCTTTTGGGTCCTGTTCTAGTCGTGCTGTTATTGCAACTTGCAAGTGATGATTTCACCAGTTGTTTGATATGAGTATATTTTTTTGTTTGTGGAATACAAGCGAGAATTTAAAACAAAGGAAAAAGAGGTTTCTTACACACATTTTCAAAATGCCATTATTCCTTAAGGTCGTTATTATATTTTAGAACATGTCATCCCAAATTTTAAATTAGCTTATCTTAACATTGATACTTTGTTGAGAGTTATGCATCTTCATACCCTAAATTTTTCATCAAAATTACTGTTGAACATTAAAGGTGGTACAAAAGAAGCCGCACATATCAATATCTGCGACTCGTCACCAGACTCACCTTCGGACTCTGTTGGCAATTTCACCTCTGAGAATACAGCGAACACTCGATCGAAAAAGAAAAGAAGATCATCGTCAACTAACGGCGCTAGTAGAGAATCACAATTATTAAACCATGTTGAGGCAGAGAGACAAAGAAGAGAGAAGCTTAACCATCGCTTCTATGTCCTCCGCTCTGTGGTTCCTAATGTATCGAAAATGGACAGATCTTCTTTGCTTGCTGATGCTGTGTCATACATCAACCAGCTCAAAGCAAAGGTTGAGGAATTGGAGGCCAAAGTACAAGAACAACCCAAAAACCCCAAAGTGAGCAATTCAAGTAGCCTTGATCATCAGAGCAGCCAAAGCACCAGTTCCATAGTTAATCATCCTCATTCAAGTTATAACAATAGATCAGTTGCTCCTTTGGAAGTGGATGTGAAGATTTTGGGCTCCGACGCCATGATCCGAGTTCAGTGTCCAGATCAAGACTACCCATATGCTAAGTTGATGAATGCACTCAAAGCCCTAGGGTTACAAGTTTACCATGCAAGCATATCAAGTGTGAAGGAGTTGATGATTCAAGATGTTGTTGCAAGAGTGCCTTATGGATTCACAAGTGAGGAGGCTATGAGAGTTTCTATTATAAAAAGTTGGTGCAACTAGAAGTTAATTAGTTTTTTTTTGGTGAGGAGATTTAACACTAGGAGGTTTGCTACCAAATTTTTGTGTTGAATAAAACTGCTGTGTTTTTAACTTTTTATGCAAGTGCTTTAATTTTTTTTCTTTTTAAAAGTTATCTCACGTATGCATTATTACAACAACAATTAATTGGCAGATTAACTATGGTATGGTAGGTGTCTTCACACATGAAAGTCGCCATCATACGTACTAGTGATATTAGATGCATTTTAAAATCCGAGAGGGTATTTATGTAATTTCAAAATTTTAAAGAGATTTTATATAAAAAAAACTTCCCGAGACGTGAGTGTAAATAAATCAAAATTAAACCCCACCATATAGCTGGAGCCTGGATGGATTAAATAATTAATTGTGGGAGCTCCTACTTTTGTATAAAAAGTACATTTGGGAAATGCATCCTCAAAATCACCATTAATTACGACACAAAATTAAGATATAGCCACTTTAAATTTGTCCTGACTGACAAGTATGATTTGAATTTTTTTTTTTTCATTTTATTTCGATTTGGTTGAGTTGGGCCGAAGCCCAACAACTTGATTGAGTTGCCACCTTGTCGCAAGGCTGGGCCTATGCAAATGTCATCAAGGCCGGAGCGAAGCCTAAGCTCGTGTGGGCTGTCAAATCCTAAAGCTAAATAATTCACCATCCCATCTATCACGATCGCCATGTATCAAATACACCCAATAATGTATTATAATAAAACTAGGTTATAAGTTTGGCCCAAATCATGCAGACCGCGCATATCTCCGTTTGTTATGATCAGTTGATTGCTGATGTGATTTGAGGGCTTATGTTTCCTCATTCTTAGTGCGTTATTCATTCATCACAATTTGATGTTTTATGATTTGACTTCACTCACATGCGCCAAACAAACTCATCAGGAGTAAAAAAAAAGAAAAAAACTTACATTTAACGGAAATAATATTGTTTTGTTATTTTCGGCCAATAACACAATGATATATGAAAAAGTTATCATACACATCATTGCGTTATTAACCGGAGATAGCAAAAAATGTTATCCCCATTTCGTGGCTGACATATCCACAAAATTTCATTCCAAGATATCCTTTTGTTTGTTGGTGCAAGGTTAATTCCAAAATCGACGACCCCGCCTCAAGTCCTACAGACTATTAACAAAGACTATATACTTTTGGTAAGAGCATCAGTCATTAGACCAATAATTCCTAGATATGCCAAATTCATGCAAGTTCCATTGTCACATCCAAAATCGAGGAGCCAATTGAAATATTAATCCAATATATACGAGGAAACAATTAGGCTCTGTATATATAGTTAGGTTAGGTCCACACATTTATGCCACATTAGGACGTGGGCAGAACTCTTTTGTACGATATTAGGACATTATGACCTCATCAAAAGTCCTATACAGTTGGGTACTGTTGTTGATAATGGGGAATAAAAGTAATATGATGGTTGCAAAGAAATTAGATGGAATGAAAGCCTTATTGAACAAGATCTAACCTGAGTATACGTTAATCATGTCATTTGGTAGCTTGACTGAATAAGAGATCATGGAATGGAAATCTCAGCTTGTCAAACAAGTTTGCTCTCTGCAGGCACACATCACATTTTTTTTGCTTTATTGCCGTGGTTTACTTTCCCTCACCTTGTACTGCATGTGGTCAAAAGTCGTCGAGTCATGATTCATGAAGTCTCCTTCAGTTTTGTTCACAATTAATCGTCCACACTCTGTGCAGAATATAGATGGATATCTACTTAGCAGCGTCTCATACTAAGATAATTCCAAGTAAACTGTTCAAGTGATTGGATCGGCCACAGGAGTCAAAGGTTAGGAAATGAAATAATGTGATCATGACGTAACGAAAATGAGTCAAACTCTAGTAATGTAATGAAGTAAATTGTATGTAGTTAACATTTGTATTTTAAAATAGAAGTTATATGTGGGTTAGGACGGTTGGTTAGGGGAGTGAATCTGCCTCATTGCACACAAGTTCGAAGCCTCCTCCCTGTAAATTAGATTCAATGGACGACGATTTTGTACTAAATCAAAACATTAATTACTCTAGTTGCTAAATATAAAACGCGTAGAAAAAAGAAGTATTTTACTTTCTGGTTTGGCTGGGACAAGCAAATTTTTTGGTTTGGTTGAGTAGGGCCAAGGTCGGCACGAACAACATGGGGAAGAAATGGGATCGCAAGAAGTAAACGGGTGCTTTGAAATTGAATTCCACAAAACAACAGTTTAAAGGCTTCATAGGTCCCAATTTCATATAGTCCATGATACGTTGAATTCAATGCCATGAAACGATCGATAGGACAATAAGTTTGTGGAGTCAATTATTTCTTGGTAGAAGGATCAAAAGATGAGGGCAAATTGGTTGGTTTTAAATTTAATATAAAAAATCAGAGTAAAAATAAAGGCTTGTCCAATATAGATCCCTACATTTTCTATTTCCTAGACATATACTCATCACTCTATAAATCTATGAGTAAAACCCAATTTCAAATTTAAATGACTAGTAGGATATAAGAGGTCGTAGTATTTCTATGTTTTTACATCATTGCCACTAAACTTCATATTTTATTTATAATTTATTTCAAGCATTTCATTAATTGCCATAATTGTAATTAATATACTCCCTATTAATAGCATATCAATCACCCCATTTCTTTTAGTTGTCATTCCTTCTCACATCTCACCCCCTAAAATTACAAACAAACAAAAAATCTGTAAATTACATGTCCAATAATGTACATATGAAAAATATATATATAAATATATACATATAAATATATAGTTATATTATAAAAAAAAAAAAAAAAAAAAAAAAACAAAGTCAGTACTTTGTAATTGCGTATAATTTTCATAATTAAAAATAGGTACACAATAATTTATATAAAATATAGGTACATAATTTACTTGTACCTGTAAATGTGTATAGGTACATTATTTGGAATAGATAATTATGTACACTTTTCATACTAGGTAAATTATGTTTTTCATAAAACAAACAAGTAATAGGTACATTATTTTCTCAACATAATTAGTATGTAAGTTTTATTCATAAACAATTATAAAGTGGATTATTAGTCATGTATAATTCATAAAAAGAAAATAACATAAACATTTTATTAAACAAACCGATTACCTAAATTTGAATTTATTGTTAACTTTTTTAAAAAAATGTTTCAAAATTAATTCCTACATCCATTACAACCATTTGGAGATCTTTTCAATTTTAACATCTGTCATTATATACAATCCAATTAAAAACTGTTTCCATATTGATTCCTACATTAATATACAAAATGCAATAATGGCTTAGTTGGGGGTATTTTTGGAATCTGAAAAGTACAATAAATCAGATTTTATGCTTAATTAGGTAACTTGCTGAGTTGGATCATAGTCATGGGTTTTTACTTATACAAATTGGGTATTATTTATAGGAACAAAAAGTGAAGGGTTTTAGGTACGGCAAATTGAATTTGAAGGGTGTAAGCCAAATTTAATATTCAATTTGAGATAAGATGTAAAATAAGGAAAATACTTCTCTCCTTACCAGGTAAGTAGGAGCTCCTACATTCCTGCTAATAGCAGTGTAATATGTGTATAGAAGTTTTACTTTTTATGTTTTTGATGAATTATTTTTGCATATGTGTCAAAATGTGATTTGTAAGAAGAAAAAATATCTCCTTATCGAAAATGAGGCAAGTAGTATATGTAAAATAATAGGTTGATTTTTTTTATCATAGCGACGTAAAGCAACCCAAGAATCCATATAACCAATCAAATTCCAATTTGTTGTAGGAACTTTTGAGTTTAAAATTCGTGGGACAACAAGTTTTTGAAGTACCATTATTCCTTTAGTTACATATCTATCAATCGAAACGCGTACAACTTTTTACTTTATTTATAATCCTAATTATCATAATATAAATCATCAAAGACGTACTCAAAGTCTCACAGATTACTTATCTAACAAGGTCGCAATTATTGACTCCTATAAGTACAAAACTACACAATACAAAACACATTGATTGAACAAAATTACAAATTTGAGACAATTTGAAATGGTTAGATACAATCTCTCACATATTACTTATTTAACAAGGTCGCAATTAGTGAATCCGATAAATACAAAACTACACAACACAAAACACATGGATCGAACAAAATTACAAATTTGTGACGATTTGAAATGGTCAGATCCTTATGAGATATTGAAGTGGACATTGAACAACTTATTATGTCTTGATGTATACATATATTTAAGATGATATTATCACCATGTAAACATGAAATGGTCAGAAACATGCATTGAACGACTAAGTGGGCCAAGAAATCTTTTTCCGGCGCCTTCCATGCCCAACATAAGCACGCCCCATGGGACCAAATGATGTCATAATTAGTACGATTGTGGTACCCGCATGCCATTTGGACTTTATGACCTAGCACCAATCAATTTTAAAGCGGAAAGGGTATGCATCCCAAGTTCTAGATTCGATTACTCATCCCTCAATATAATTTGTATCAAAAAATTCATTATTGCCATAAACTTAACTGCATATTCTAATAAAATAAAAGCAAATAGAATAAACACATATATGACGACATATATTAATACTAGATCACCCGAACTATATAATGTAGATTGTTATGTCACATTTTTAAATAAAGCTACACATTAAAAAAAGAAAGATAATTTTTAAATTTTTCATAATTATCTATATATATATAAAGCAAAAAGTAGAGAATGATGAAACATTCAAAATACTAGAAAATGACATTGGTTAATTCAAACATTAAGAATTGAAATTATTAATTAAATAAGGATAATATGGTAAATTCACAATTTTTTTTTTCATATTAGAACAAAATCAAATTAAAAACAAAATCAAATAATATGTTATACTTTTATGGAATATAACTACCCATATTATCTTTTCTTAATTCTTAAAAAAAAATAAAAACCAAGTATATCTATATATATAAAGCAAAAGGCAGAGAATAGTGAAACATTCAAAATATCAGAAAATGCCCTTAGTTAATGCAAACATTAAAAAATCAAATTATTAATCAAATTATCATATGGTAAATTCACACTTTTTCATATTAATTTTTTTAATTTATTATAAAAATCAGATAATAAATCCTATTTTTATGGAACACAAGTACCCATTATCTTTTTTAATTATAAAATAAAATAAAATATTTTTAAAATTTAAAATTAAAAAAATTAAATTTATTTATTTATTTAAAAAAAAGCCTCTTGCAGGCGCGGAAGCGCATGCAAAGAGGCTAGTAGTATATAAAGCAAAATGCAAAGAATGGTGAAACATTCAAAATACCAAAAAATGTCATTGGTTAATGCAAACATTAAGAATTGAAATTATTAATATAATGAGGATAATATTGTAAATTCACACTTTTCATATTAAAAAAAATTTAAAATAAAAGAAAAATAAGATAATGGATCCTATTTTTATGGAACATAACTACCCTTTATCTTTTTTAATTCTAAAATAAATTTAATTTAGCTAGTATGACACTATGGCTCTCTTCGGGTCGCTTGGAAGGATGTGGAGCGGCGGTTTTGTTTCTTAGTTTGTTTAAGTATAACAATTCTCAGGAACTTTTTAAGAATTTGCTATGTTTTGTTTTATCATTAGGCTGTTTTATTTTTATTTAGCTTTGGCTTATGATACGGATTTTCCATTTTGTTGTTGCGCGGAGGATCTGTACTGCGTGGAAGTCTTTCTTGAAGGGACGGGAGGGGTTTGAGAGGTAGCGGCTGGAAAGTCTTAGAGTAGGTTTGTTTTTCCTTTTCGCTTTCCTTTCGAGTGGATCCCAATTATCACTTGGGACACTTAGATTTACAAGAATCTTGTGGGCATGTTTACATAACCGGAATGAGATTGGGTAAAATAAGTCATTCCCATTACGAATGACTCCTTTGTTTATTTGCACTGGCGGAATAAACAGTAGTGTGGGTTGCACAACAAATCTGATTCTTGATATTGAAGAGATTTGATTTCGCAGAGGGGAGGTGGGATTAGAGAAGGGTAAAAGGAAATGAATTTTTCATGCCAAAAATATCCTACGGTCCCAACCACCTCCCCCACCCTCTCATCTTCTTCCAGCAAAAGAAAGAAAGAGAGAGATAGAGAATGAGAACAAAATAAATAGAAAAAGAGAGGAAGAAAAGGATAAAAGAGGAAGAAGAAGAGAGAAAAAGAGAAAGAGGCGTGTGAACTACTATCTCCATTTTTCTTTTTCTTCTTTAATTTTTTCAGTTTTATTTTTTTCAAACAACTACCTACCTGTTGATAGTAATAATTTTTTTTTTAATTATGTTTTTATTTTTACAGAATATTAAGGTAGTTAAGCTTATTGTTTTGTAATCAAAAGTTAGTTTTATTATTAGTGAAATAATTTTTTTCTTATGAAATTGTAGTAGTTTTTGGAAATATATATGTATTTTGTTCAAGGGCATTTTCGTAATCAAAATGATTTTCATTCCGATTCATGATGAATAGTAAACATTTTAATGGGAATGAACTCTTTTTCATTATGATTCGTGACAGTTAGTAAACAACTTAATTAGAATGCATGACTCCGTTTCTTGCTTAACCCGATTCATGGTTACTCCAATTCCTTATTAATAAACATGCCCTAAATGCTTCACTGTCAAAGAGTTCTAGAAGGCCAAAATCACACCTACCACAGACTATGATGAGGGTACTGTCTTAACGTTTTAGGTGACGCAGGAGTAGGCCACAACGATGAATTATTGAGCATTTAACTGCTTCTGTGTACTATTACAATATATGTTAATTACTGATATTATTGGGTTTTATTGGAGTGAGGTGGGGTCATAATTTGAATTTTTGACTCAAATCTGGATGGTCAAGTGTGATAATGATGTGTATTTTGGATGCTTATTAAGAGTGAAGTGGGGTCATGGTTTAATTCATTTGGAAGTAACCTTAAAAAGGATTTAAGCTCTAATCTGATCTGGTTTATCTATTTGAAGCTCTAGGTGTATCAATAATCTAAACCCGTCGATACGTTTATGTTTATTATATTGTGTTTCAATACTCTTTTCCTTCATTCAAAAATCAATCATCCAAGCCAATTGGGTTATATTGAATTGGATTGTTAATGTTATAACAATCATATTTATAGTGGATCATATGTGAATTTTGTAATAATTTGCGATTTCATGCCGATGAATACTTGAGATAATCAATTGTAGATACATATATTTTTCTCACAGATAATTTAGGCTCAAAACTATGTTCTAGTACTTGTATTAAGGAAACAATGGAGAACTTGACCCCAAAAAAAAGTAACAATGGAGAAAACCTTAATGAAGTTGTTCCCCTATTACATAATAATCCAAAAATGACATCATCTAAAAGGAAAATGCTTCGTAATCTTACTATCTTTCAAACATGCCTACCAGTTGTTTTCACATGATGAAGTGGTATGTTTAGCAACATTTTCGGAGAAAAATGTTGAGATTTGTCACTTAACTCAAAATGAAGGAAGAACAATTTCGTAGGAGAACATGGTGGCAAATGATGAGTGCAATTTTCAGACAAGTGACAATGAAACGAAATCCCGCAAAGTTAACCCACATAAATCTGGCCACATTCAAGGTCTCTACCATACCTTGCGTTTATCACATGGGACAATTAGTCCTACGTTTACAAAAAATAGTACAAGGATAGGTTGTAGGTATCCCATTATTTAATTCCAATTCACACACAGTCACAACACCAAGAGCCTCTCATTCGCTCAGGTCCGTCTTCTTCCGCTGCTTCTCATCTTCCGTGTCTCTTTTGCTACTACTTTTGACTTGCATAAGTTATTTAGCAAACAAAAGAAAACGAAATAGCCTGAATGGAAGAAATTATGTCCTCTTGTTCTCCAAACTTTGGTCAAGAAAACTCAGCCACACTTCAACAACGTCTCCAGTTCATCGTCCAGAACAGGCCTGAATGGTGGGTTTACTCAATTTTCTGGCAAGCCTCTAAAGACAGCAATGGCCAAGTTGCTTTGTCCTGGGCTGGTGGTCATTTCCGAAGCTCCAGGGACTTGGCATCCAAAAGAAGCAACAAATTAGTCCATAACTACCAACCCAAATCCGGGTTCATCAGTACGGAGAGAAAGAAGGTTGTTAACAGAGAAGTTGAAGCTCTTTTCCATGAAGACATGGATTTGGACGGTGGAGATGTCACCGACTCCGAGTGGTTCTACTTTTACACGGTTTCTTTAACCCAGTCGTTTGGTGCATGCCATGGGACTGGGAATATCCTGGGCCGTGCGTTTTGTTCTGGCGGTTTTGTTTGGCTGGCAGGTGACCATGAGCTTCAATTCTACGAGTGTGAGAGAGTGAAAGAAGCTCGAATGCATGGAATTCAAACTCTGGTTTGTATTCAAACTTCATGTGGAGTTCTTGAGCTGGCTTCTCTGGATGTGATCAAAGAAGATTGGGGCCTTGTGGAGGTTTCCAAATCTCTTTTTGGATCAGAAAACAGCAGAGTCTCAAAGCCACAGAGCAGTCGTGAGGGTCATGTACTTGTTCCTCTGCTTGAAAGTGGAATGTTTTCAGCTGGACCTCAAAAAGAGTGGACCGCACAAGGTAAGAAACACATACAACAAACATCAACGATGGTGTTTGAATAAAATATATGCACTTTTTTATTATTTTATATCAGGGCATTCACTCAATTTTTCATTACCATCAATATATATGTTTAATTCTTTGACGTGCAGGTGGTACAAAGGAACGTTTTGCTTTGAATATTGGTGGATCATCGTCAGACTCAGGGCCTTCTGACTCAGTCGGAAATTTCACGACGGAGAATGCGGAGAATAACGGTCGATTAAAAAAGAGAGGAAGATCATCCAACCATGGAACTGATAGAGAATCACCAATAAATCATGTTGAGGCAGAGAGACAGCGGAGAGAGAAGCTTAACCATCGATTCTATGCCCTCCGCTCTGTTGTTCCAAACGTGTCGAAAATGGACAAAGCTTCTTTACTTTCTGATGCAGTTGTGTACATCAATAAGCTCAAAGCAAGGGTTGAGGAATTGGAGGCTAAAATCCAACAACAACCCCAGAAACCGAAATTAGGTATTTTGAGTAATCTTGAGCATCATCAATCCAACCAAAGTGCCAGTTCCATAGTCGATCATCATCGTCAACATCATCATCATCAAGCAAGGCCTAGGCCAGCATCAAGTTATACTAATAGTGAAGTAGCTGGGGCAATAGAAGTGGATGTGAAGATTGTGGGCTCAGAAGCTATGATACGAGTTCAGAGTCCGGATCAGAATTACCCATATGCTAGATTGATGAATGCACTAAAAGACCTTGAATTACAAGTTTATCATGCAAGCATATCAAGCGTGAAAGAAATGATGCTTCAAGATGTTGTGGCTAGAGTTCCTCATGGATTCACAAGTGAGGAGGCCATGAGAACCGCTATTATAAAAAGATGGTACAACTAGAAATTCAATAATTAGTTTCCCTATCAAACGAGAATCTCCTTCTTCTTCTTCTTTGGTAGTGATTGTCGTAACTGAAAATTGAAGTTTCTTAGCCAAGTTTGGAGGAGGGGATGTATCTGCGTACGTTAACTGTAGACTTGTTTTCCAAGTTTAATATTTCTAAGCTATGAAGATATGATATTAATTAGCCTACTCACCTGCTATATCTCTCTATTACAAATATGTGAAAAACTATATGTTGTTTCTGCCGTTGCGCGGTAGATTTGTATTGTAGGTCTAAGTACATGTGCTTTCGGTTGCTGGGTTGTGCATGATTCTCTCCATACCAATACAATATATGTTGTGTTTGGTCACTAGAGAAGATGTGTTTTGTTTGCTCATCAATAATATACTATCACTTATTTTCAAATATATATATGTCGGCTTAATTGGAATCCTCTTATATTGTAGCACATTTATGTAAAATATGTGTTTAGGAAAAATTATTGTACTTAACTATAACGAAAATGCTATATGGTGAATCTTTTTAGTAAACTATTTTAACATTGTTTCTGTACATGAAATAATGAACTAAAATCCTTTGGGGTTACAAGTAATAAGGGAATGAGAGAAACTGAGTTAGAATTAAGATGGGTCGCATTCTACTCTTCTAATGTGATCAATGAGCTGGTTTGAGAACAAGAACTAGTTCTTGATCTTCGTGCAAAAAAAGAAAAGAACTAATTCTTGATCAGAGTGCTCGGTTAAGAGGAAATTGTGTCCTTTGTTTAACTACTATGCGGACCTTTGGATTTCGAAGATGCTAGCTCCATGACAAAGACTAATTAGATTGTCTCTATAGCCAGAATTTTAAATGGGTTTGCTAACGGCAGACTTTTTAGTTAATCAAGGTCTGTTTGATAACCATTTAGTTTTTAGTTTTTATTTTTTATGTTTTTTAAACTTAAAACTTGTTTGGTAACTAATTCTAGTTTTCAAGGAAACATAAAACTAAACAAAAGTTGTTTGGTAACTGATTTCAGTTTTCAATTTTATGTGGAACTTGAAAATATAATTTTTGGGGTCAAATTATGAATTTGAGATCATAGATGTATGTTACAAAGAGTTTGTAGTATTTTTCGGTGAATTTTTTGGAATTATGATGATTTTTTGGGTGAATTTTGGATCTAAAGGTCCCGAGACTTGGAGTGGATTCGTGGCCGAACGCAAGAATCGAGCAGTTAGATCCAAGTCCAGAGGTCCCAAATATCGAGTTTTAGGAACTGGAGTGCATTTCATTTGTGGTGATGTAAAATTAGTGGATGAAAAGGGACTAAAAAAGAAAGAAAAGGAAAACAACTTGACTAAGGGTGATTTTGAAAACTAAAAACGAAATCGATTACCAAACATAGTTCTAGTTATAAATTTATTTATTTTTTAAAAAGAAAGAAAGAAAAAGAAATGATTATCAAACAACCCTTAAGTAAAGCAGCATACAAGAATAAAATTTAGAAATGGTTGCCGCTTCTCATCAAGTTCCAAACTTTTGAGGTCGAGGATTGAACATTTTTTTGTAAATATAAAACGCAACTTCAATTGCCGAACAAAGCCAAAATACACAGAAATGCATAACTTGTATAACACATCAAAATTTTCCACCCTGCCATAAAAGAAAAAGAAACTGTATGTATATCTTTTTGTATGTTGGATGAAATTCAGAAATATCTAGGGTCGAAATGATTACGTATGATGCTCAGATTCATTGATCATGCATTGATGGAGACTTTATAAGACACGCATAACACACCGTGACAGCGATCAAAGGAATCTACATTGGTATACACAGTACCTGCGATGTTGAAAATGGATAATTAAAAACGTGTCTTTTTTGGGTGAAGGCACATGTGCAAATGATTTGTTGAGACCAGATTGAATATGTACACCATATTATTGTCTAGGATGTTCAAAAGTTGCATGCTGTTACGTGGGAAACAAACACTTTCCATAAGTGGCACGCGTGTTGAAATTCAAATTTGCCCTCATGGGCTGCTGCTAGCTCCTCAGGTGCATCGCTGTTAAATACAGAACAAGATTGAAAGGGCTCCATTTAGAACCTGCCACTGATTTTTTTTTGGGTCAGTATCAAAAGTTTCAATAATAGAAAGGCAATATCAATTACATAATATTGAAACTCAAAAAAAAATAAAAAACTAAACAAATGCAACAGTAAACTCCCAGAGTTCAAAATTGGCATAAAGTCATAGCCAACCAAAAGCCGAAGCATCGCTGCCGCTGATTTGGCATCCCAGTTGCATGTTTGATGATTCGACAGGTGGTTTTGTACGACAAAGGTGAAATCATGAATTTTTACAAAGGTGGACAGATTTTTTCCTTTATTATGTGCAAGTGGCTTACTTACGCTTTATTGAAAGGCAATTGAACGTACTTGGTCAATTCTTGGTGAGGTGAGATGAACTAGTTTCAACACATCGGGTGATTTTCCTACAAGTTAACACAGAGTTTCCACTTTTCTAAAGGATTAGCACCAAGTTTTCACCCTTCTAAGTGAAAAATTATCACCCTAAAGGTGATTCCCCCTTTGCCCACGCACTCAATCATTGAATGACACAAGCATCTTTGGAGGCATTAGACTTTAATAATACACTCCATTTTCAATTATAAAGTTGCACATGTCAAAATCTGATAAGTTTTGAATTACTATTTTTAGCCGCCCGATCAATTTGAACAGTTGTGATTCATTGTTATTCTGGAAGGAGAGAAACACCGTTCATTGACATTCAGAGCAGCCAACCAAACATTTCAATGCCTGCTTTCTCAAACCAAATAATCTTATCTCACTTTTGTTTAAATTGGAATTTTTACTCTTCTTAAAATGAAGACCACCACTGTTATTTTTTTATTATTATTATTTTTTTACCCTAAGGCGCAAAAATTTGAGAAAACCCCAGATGTAATGGGCTTGAGCAAATGGACTGAAATCAATATTGGGCTCAACTGGAATTAACCCACTTAAACCAACTTTGATAAACTTTTCTGGGCCCTTGTTGTTGATCACTCAAAAGTTCAAAACTCTACCTGTCCATATCCATTAGGCTACTTCTTCCAGGCCCCATTTCTCCTCCACACTCTAATAGTATATTAATCCAAAAGAAAAAAAAAATTGAGTGTGCCTAAACCAACTTCTTTCTCCACCAACCTTTTCTTACTTTAATATGCAGCTTAATTAGGCAGAAAGTTGGACGAGCTTTTAATTTATATGTCTGCTTTTCTATGCAGCTTCCATCACTAGCCCCCCCCAAATTAGTTAATTCCTGTCAGTATCATTTTCTTCACAAAATGATATTCTAAATTATTCTAATGTACAGTGATGGAATCGAGTCCAAGTGGAGGTGAGGGGAGAGGTGGACACACAGGTATAACATACTGACCTAGCCCACACATCTAAGTTCAGATTGATAGTTTGATAACGTAAACATTTTATTTATATATGCTATGAAATATGGTGGCAAAACAACATTCTCCATGAAACATAATCAGCATAATGACATGCATGGGCATGATCTTTTTTTTTTTTCTTGCTAATTATCATGTCTTTCCCGTTTTTTTTTTTTTTTTTTTTTTTTTTTTTTTTTTATAGCTGATCCCTTCTTAATTGCTATCAACCAGCATTATTTGTTTCTCTCAGGAGCTACAACTTGCAAATCCACAATGGCGACCCAGGCCGTCAGTTTAGTTGGTCCATGCCGATTTCAGCAACTACTAGCTTACTAGCTTTATTAAGCGTATCAAAATGATAATTTTTTTTTGTTTGAAAGTCACATCTCATGTAGTGTTATAAATTTTCGTGTTATAATATTAATAAATAAAATAATACACGTGTATATATATATGAGATACACCAAAAAAAAAAAAAAAAAAAAAAAAAAAAAAAAAAAAAACTAAAACCTACATACTCAGTGGCGGAGCCACTCCCAGACCTGGAGTGGCCCTGGCCCCTCCAGATATTTATCTCTCATATATTATATATATATAACATATAGAATTTGTAATAAACAACTTATAATTTAAGTTAAAATTTCTTCTAAAACAAATTAGACATGACTTAATTAGAAATATTTAGCTCTAAACATGTAATTATTGAATATTTAAGTGTTTTATATACTTGTATTTCTACTTCGGCCCCTCGAACTTTACAATTCTAGCTCCGCCCCTGTACATACTCACATTGGTTCAATTCTTTGGGTTTCTTTCATCAGCAAGCAATTTAGGTCGTTTCTCTCACCAACCTTCATGAATAATAGCCGTGAGGACAAAAAACAACTATTTGCATCCTACATTAGCCAACAGCCCACACTTTATAGTACAATATTGGAAGAAACTTAACACTGCTAACATAATGCAGGCATTATGCGTCAAAGTTGGGTGACACTGCTCTTTACAAATCAAAAGTTTTCTATCATCCACAAATCCTAGGCCACTTACGTAAATGATATGTTGTTAGTTGTGTATGTGAAACATTGATTATGTTATTTTTTCTTTCTAAAGATGTATTGTTCATAAGCATTTAGCTATCTCACAATATAATATTCAGCATACGAGAAATATTAGCTACATTCCCCTTCTACTTTCTTCCTTGATGTTTTCATCCTACGATTTTTAGAAACGAGCAAATATATGAACCTAGTGTGTTTGATTAAACACTGAAGTAGCACGCTATTAATCAAATTGCTAAATGATTTTCAATTTAATTGATTTTTAGTACGTATGAACAATCCTTAAAGGATGACCACAAAAATCATTCGATTTCGATTTCGATTATCGATTATCATAAAAGATTAACGAAGAAATGAAAGGTACAAAGAAGTAGCTAGCATTCTCCTACTCATAAACCATAATACAAAGGTACATCATGCCGTCAAAGTGGGGCGACTCTGCTATCATACAAGATTTCTCTCCAAATCACAAAAATATCCTGGCCCCAGAGGTCATGCTCATTTCAAACTCGATGAACAAGTCAATATTGTGTACTTGCATTATTGTGAACATGTTTGTAGTTTGTTTTGGACTGTCGAAGACGCGTAGCATATTCAGCCATTATCATGCCAACAATTAATATGACCTGGTATATATACCTAACAAAAAACCCATGCATTTACTCATACAAAAACCACATTTTTTGTTTTGTTTTTTAAGCAAGGTGTTAAAAGTTGACTAGATGTTCACCGGCAAGAATTCAGTACAAAATTAACGTGTGGTGAGACTGAAATGATCAGAGTGGTTTGTACGTCGTGTAACATGAATTGCTATATAAGAGGTGCATTAAGTCTTCAAGCCACTTTCCACACCCACCACCCTAGTTTAAGTGTGACGTCTCTAGCTATTTTCAATATTCGATGACTCACACAAAACAAAGTACTGGTGGTTGTCACTAGATTTCTTTTCTTGTATTAAATTTTATTTTAATTGCGTTGTAACAAAACTGGTGGTGGTCACTAGAAACTAGTTTGTTTCGTGCTTAATTTGGAGAATTTGTTCTTATATTATATCATCCTTCAAGATTTACCCATATTCGGCACATAATTGCTTTGCACCAGTTATATACTATCGCGCGCTTATTTTCAAAATATTATACGTACCCTTCAAGAAATGACATCCATATGATTTAGGCATGCATTTTCCATTATTTATACCAAATGAGAGAGAGATGAGACCAAGACAACAATAAAAACAATAAGGATTTTTACTGAATTTCATCTTATCTTTATCATATCATTAACTTGACATTTTATGACTTAGGTCTGAGGGCATTTGACAAACCCAACAACAATACACAGAGAACAATTTCCACAAGGTCTAGCTATGGCTATAGCTGATTAAGCGCCATCTGAGACTTGGACAGTTGAAGAGGAAGAAAATTATAGCCTCCCATTATCTCATTTTTCTCAGGCTACTTTTATATATCCACCTCTCTACCCCTCTCTGCTAATTTCGAAAACTAACATATGCATATCACATCGACTTGACTTGAAGAGGTCTTATATTTTTCTTAACCACTTTTTGATGAATTTCTCCAAATCTTCTCAAGCTCTCTAGCAAACGCCTTCTGCCTCCCAAGCACAATGGTGATGTGATCTTTCTTCTCGATCACCTTCACTCGAGCCCGAGGGATTTTCGACTGCACATTGTAGCTGCACTCTACTGGGATTAGCTCGTCGTCTTTGCCGTGAAACACATTCACATCACATTTTAGATGGTCTCTCACAACGTCTAAGTATTTGTCCATCTTGCCGGCTGTGCCACATATAATGTTGTGCAGTGTGTGCCATGCTGCGTTGTGAGTGTGGCAGAAGAACCCTTCATACAAGAAAGTTCTGATCCTGCAGATTACCAAACAAAAAAACAAATTAGTAACTTGATTAAATTTAATAAGTCAATTCATTACATACAAAAATAATTCCAGATTTCTTTTTTTTTTTTTTTTTTTTTTTTTTTTTTTTTTAAGCGTATGTATCATATGTACTTATCATATATCTATCAATCAATTTTATCATAGATGGATGCCACCTATCTATATAAAGATGTTAGAATAAATCATTTTTATTGAATTTGCAGCAACATTTTCCTGCATAATAAATGACGAAACCAAATTAAATTGAAGCTTCTAAGTCATCGGTCTCCATCGGTTGTGACTTTGGTCTCCTAAATAATTGACCCATGTCCCTCAGCAGCAGCGGGGAAGAAATTGAAAATTGACCCTTGCACCATACCTTCTCCCCTATTATTTTACATTTGAATTAAATTCTACACCAAAATCATATCTAATGTACGACAGCGTTTCATTGAGAATTTATTAAGAATTTCTAATCTTATTCGTTGAAGCGCATGTATGAAAAACATGTAACGTTACATCTAAGATTTCTAACCTCCCTCGAATAAATGCTTTTTATAAATGTGGAAGAAGCAAATGTTACAAAGTTATGGACCCATCAGACATTGACTGGTTAATGCAAACACAAGCTGTACCAGCTCAGCTGCCATGGTATTTACTAATTGGAGATGATGGGTGGGTTAGGATCTATCGGTTATCATCACAGTGGACCAATCAATGCCGATCCGTACAAAAAAGGGTCCACAAGTACCGTTTTGGAAGCTTAGAAAATTGTTAATGGCATATAAGAATAACGTGGTTTCGTGTGTCTAGAAATGGGCTTTGGTGGTTGGAAATGAAGCACAATATTCTACAAGGTGATGGTGAAGCGATGAATTCAGTTGAAGAAAGTTACCTGTTTCTTGTGACAAGTTTGGTAAGAAATTCCACAATTCGGTGGTTCTTGCAAATCAGCAAACAAATAGTCCTTGAGATGTGCTCGTACCAGCAAGCAATGGAGGCACCAAAGGCAATCACAGGCCACACCCGCCTTGGAGCCACCCTTCTCATCACATATTGTGTTGCTTGTTCTCCCTTTGGTATTGGGTAATATGGCTGCCATGTCATAGGTTCACAAAATAGGGATAACGCCAATTAAACTTGTGGACAAATAATGCCCCCAATAAATGTACACTTCTATAGATGTGACCACATGATATAATGATAATTTTTGTGCTTATGTTCAAAATTACGGTCTTTTAAAAACGACGTGGTTTTAAATATGATTAAGCATAACATCACGACAAGAAAAGCACAGAAATGGAAAACATTGTTTTCAAAAATTTGGGTAAGGGTCATATATAATCAAGAGGTTGAACTTACAGGTGCAAGTAAGGTGAGGGACTTAATGGAGAGAGGGTGTTTAACAGCAAGAGCAAGGGCCAAAATGCAACCCAAAGAATGAGCCACAATGTGGAAGGATTTAACTTTGTTGGGTTCAAGCACAGATCTCTCTATCATCTCCAAATGCTCTCTGAGGGTGTACATGGAGTCAGTTGGCTTTGGGCTCCTCCCAAACCCCAACAGATCAATAGCAAAAAGCCTAAAACTTGATTTTGCAGCACTTGAAAAGTTGGGGAACAATGTTTCAGTCCAGAATGCTGATGATGAAATAAACCCATGTATGAAAAGCACATCTTCTTGTGCCTTATAATCTGAAATGGCAAGAAGAAATAAGTCACATAATACAGATTTTGTGACATATATTTTGTGAAAAAGAGAAAATTATTTTACCTTTGGGTCCCTCGGTTCTAACATAGAGGCTTTCTTTGCTATTAGAGGTCCAAGAGGTACAAAATTTACAATCACAATCAGACCACCTTGGGATTGGATGGCATTGTTGGCCTCCAATCTTGCCTTGAAGCATTTCAACAATGGTGGAGTTGACAGTGAAAGTGGATCTCACAGTCCCTTTCTTGGTCTCCTTCATGGTCAGCTTTGAGACCTCAGACAAGAGGGAAGGCCTTGTGTAGAGAGTGTCAGAGATCTCCTCAAGTTGCAGCTTGGTGGAGCTAAGGCACACAATTTTAGACTCACCTTGCTCAGAGACCAAGATTTTGCCACTGCTAGTAATGGCTTCTTTGGATGAGGAGCAATAGCAAGGCTTCCATTCAGCTTCAATGAAAAAATCAGCAACTCTGTACAGAAAACAGAGGAGGAAATCCACAAGGTCTAGAACTGAGAACACAATGAAGCTCACAGCCTCGTTTATGACCCTACCAACCAATGCCAAAGCAGATTTGGCCTTGCCTATGGAAGCCATTTAAGCTCTAAGACACACCAACCCAAAATTGTATAAGTGGTGAAATAAGAGGCGGAGAGAAGAAGGGTTGCTATAGAAAATGCAATGTCATAGATATAATCGGTTTGCTTGGTCTCTCAAGTGCAATTAGCTGTAGCTGAGCTTCCTCTTCCTCCGCCCTCTCTCTCTCTCTCTTAATAGAAAACCCAAATGCTTGAAATAAGAAGAGAAGGGCTAGAAGAATAAAAGGATGTGGGTCAAGGTCATGACTCTTTCACTATCTACAAATGGCTGATGAAAGCAAACTATGGGACGACCTTGTTCACTCCCCCCCTAGCTAGGTTATAAGAAACCCATGTTACATTTGATTGAAGCGTGTGGGAGATTGAAGCGTGAGAGAGAGAGAGAGAGAGAGAGAGAGGGTTTGCAAATGCAATATTGAGAATCCAAGTTACCAACAGATGGGCGTTAAATGTATTGATTGTTAATAAACATAGTTTGTTGGCCAAGATAAAAGGTAGGTGGTAGTTGAACCCCCCATGTATGGCAACAAATTCTCCTCAGCAAAGATTTGGACTTACAAATAAAGCCTACTTTTATATATCCACCTCTCTCTCCAAAGAAAAATTTGTTCTATAATTAATCAAAGATATCGACGGTCGACTAAGTTGTTTCTTCTTGCCATCACAATCCCAAAACCCGTGCCACAAGGAGAGGAAAAAGAAAAATAAGGATGGGCATATTGCTTGCCCATGATAAATTCCAGGGTACAATTTTTTCTCATCCACTATGTTACACCTCATCCTTTGTAGCTCGAAGTTGCCCATCTCATTAATGTGCCCCTAAGACTTATTTATTTTTTGTGTGAAAATGAACAGGTACTCCCAAACCTCTAATATTTATTGCAGGCTGCCTAGCCACATGACTGCCTCCTAACCCAATAGGCGACCATTCTCACTCCCACCGTTCCAATAAGGTCATTGAAAATTTTCTAGCATAATTAACTTTATTAATTGGTCATCCTATGGACAAATTAAGATCCATAAGCATATATACAAGACTTTAGAGTGGCGAATGGGTTTGTTCGTGTAGTTTTTGGTATTAGTGGTAGGTTTGAGTGATTTGAGGAGCTACTTGATTTCATTAATGACACCCTATTAGAATTCTTGTAATAGAGGTAAGCCCCTCAAATATTTTTCAATGATCAATAAAATTTCTCTCATATCGCCGACATTCCCTTAGAAAAAAATCCATAACCATATACAAGACTTTTGTTACCTTTCTATGCCTGATAATTATTTGACGGTCGATGAAAACAACAAGGGAGCTTGTTAGCACCGGCACTGCATGGTTCATAATGAGGTCTACTTCTTGTGAGCATCGGTTGAGATATCCTTTTCCGATGAAACCCACAAGTTGATATTGTTGGGAATGTTAGCAGAGGGCAAATAAACATGCATGTATGCATGCATGCTGGCTTGTCCAATTTTACATCGATAGGTTGATCGATAAGGACACAAACAGTACTAATAATCGTACTTTGGGAAGTTAATTAGAATTAACGTAGAGATGCTTAACATTAACTCATTCGTATGCATGGCTCTATTCATTTGGGAAAAGCTGGCTTGGAATATACTTACTTAATTGGTCGGCTTAATTTATTATTGTGTGATTTTGCTGTTTAAAAAAAAAGGAATAAAAAGAAAGAAACAGCTTTTGCGACTTATATATATTATTCAAGCAAGTAAACTCCTAGCGAACAATAAAAGTCAGGGAGTAAAACTTGCAATTTAAAACAAGCTTTGCGTCTGAATTTGAAGACAAACCGGTAGTCTAGCTAAATTATATTTCATCCCACAGAGTTTTTAGTTTCTAATCTACAAAGACTTTACAATTTGTGTCATGGGAGAATACTGAAAAATATCTTTTTATCATGCCAAAAAATTCTGATTCTAACCAGACGAAATATTATATATATATATATATATCATATGGTTTTCATCATGAAATTTTTGAGTGTGACTCCCTCCAAGTTGGCAAGATTAGTGTGAGTATACTCTTGTGATGATTTCTTGTAGTAGTTCACTAATGGATGGGGGATTTTAGACATATTTCGTCCTCGTCAAGTTAAGTTGTTGCTCATTAGTTCGTCCTAATTTGTCGCTCATTAATTAGTTCGTTTTGGTTTGTTGGCAATCCATTGGTTTGAAGAGAGCCGCTTACTCTATTTAGAATGATCTCTTTGAAGATTGTATGTTCAATTTTTCAAAGTGAGAATGCACGTCTAAGATGAAATGAGATCATTTTATGGTGAATGGGAGTAGATTTTAGTGCCTCATTAGGGTTGGAGCTACACCTATGATTATGAACATTCAATCTATAGAATATCCCTGGTTTAAAGGAATGGACTTGAACTGAAGACAGGAGCCCCATGTGGTTCCATGTGGTGGGAATTGACATTTGAAAATAAATAAATAAATAAATAAAAAGAAAAGAAATGTAATTTACCTCTTAAACATTTAATTCTCTACAGCTTATTATTTCCTGATAACTATTTGGGGCTTTGTCATACGCCGCACAGATCTTTTGATCGTTTTTAGCAATTAGCATGGTTCTTTGGAAGTGTCTCTTTTGTGCAGATCTGCCCCCTATCGAGATTATACACAGATCAATATATGTGCTAAAATACACACTAAGGCCAATCAGTCTTCTTGTCACATATAACCCCTTTAGCACGAATTTAATTCTGTACTTTACTCTCTGCAGCGGCAGAGTCGGTGGTGAGAGCCCACCAAATCAATCAAACCAGAAAATATTGAGAGCCCGTTAAAGGAGAAATACTTCTCTATCCCCGTTTCGTTGCGTTCTCTTTATCTATCTTGAATCCTCGCAAAAGAGGACTGAGGCGAGCGATAAAGACAATGAAACATGAAACCGGGGCTAGCTAGGGCCGCCAGGCCTCGACCAATTCCAAGACCACTTCCAATATATATGCTGTCATTAGAAATCTCCCACGGCCATTCCAAAGATTATGTACCTGCTCAAACCCGGCGCATTGCAAATTAGTGCATCTCGATAAAATAACCCATTGAATTCTGAACCTTCAAACTTTTCTTCAGATTGCCAGGGAGACCCCTGAAATTTCTGATTGTTTTCTGCAGGTTTAGGTGCTCAAATGTTTGTTTTGAAGCTTGCAGCCCTGTTTTGCTTTTCACTTCATTGTGTTTGGAGGACTCTTGGTTGATCAGGAAACAAGACTACATTTTCATTCACTCTCTCAAAGGCGATTCTCCCTCCTTATGGCATTGATTTTAAGCCTTCTGGTGGACCCCCCCGGTCGATTCACAAATGGTCGACCATTCATACATTGTAGGTAAATGCATTAATGTTAATTTGCTCCCACCAACCTAGCTATGACTTGGTGCTCTCTTAGCTAATTTCTAAAAATAATCATCCAACTAATTCCTTCGGTCATTTAATGTTCTATGTCCAAAATGAAAAAAAATTAATAACAAGAATAGGTCTAAGAATTCATCAGTAGTGGGCCTGAGTTTTAAATTGCTCCCATCAGATTTTTATTATTTTATTTTTGTACTTATTTATGTGTGACAATGATAATTCAGAAGCCCACTAATTACCATTTTCCATGCATTAAGATGGATCTCTAATGGGCCCCAGAGATTTTATAAAATTGACACTTTTAAAATTGGCGTTTGGATTGTTTTTTTGTTTTGTTGACCTAATCATAATATTAGCCTTTATTAACTAATCGTAGCTAATTTGCATGGTGTAATCATGCAAGCTGTGGAGCCATCATTTCCTCCACCTTATCTAGCACCGAAACACTCAACCAACTCATCCATCGGGACTAATATGCTTGCGGCCGTCTGGAAATCTTAGATGAAACGGGGGTTTTTATTTGGATATTATAATTAGGACTGTAATCACAACCCCCTTAAATTAAGCTCACAGATTTGTTATTATTATTGAACACAGATTGGAAGATTTCCTCTGCGTGAGCAAGTAAATAATTTTGAGCAAAGCAGAAGTTACATGGTGAAAGTAATGGGAGAGAAGACATACATGGGTTCTAAAGAAGGCAATCTTCTCAGTTCACAATTGGATCCAATGATGTCCTCAACTATTCCAAACCAACCATACCTGTTTTTGGTAATGGCAAAGTCTCTCCTAACTTGTTCCAATATTTCATGGTCTCTAACTTGACTATACATCTCAAGGTACAAACTTTAACCAATCATCTAATCAAAGCTTAATTAGCCCTAAATAAACAATAATTAAGCTTACGATTTTGATATTTCTTTGATCTAATTATGTATGTAAGTTTCTGTGTGAAGAGATTGCACTTGTTGGGAGCTAGAAAGTTCATTGTGGTAGGAGTTGGACCGCTAGGATGCATACCCTTTATTCGTGCCATCAAATTATTACCTAGTGGACAGTGCTCTGCTGAGGTGAATGAGTTGATCCAAGGCTACAATACCAAACTGAATGGGGTTTTGGATCAACTAAATCAAGAATTGGGTCCTGACGCTATCTTTGTTTATGCAAATTCCTTTGATATCTTCATGAAGATTATAGGAAATTATCATCAATATGGTAACCAGCTTTCAAAACCAGAGCTACCCTTTAATTCATTTTACCGTCTGATGAAGTGAGTTTGATAATTTTTTGGTTTGCTAGGATTTGAGGATGCAAATGAGCCATGCTGTGGTGGCTACTTTCCACCATTTATTTGCTTCAAGAGCAGTGGTACAAACAGAAGCTCTGCGTTGTGTGCCGATCGGTCGAAGTATGTGTTCTGGGATGCATATCATCCTACAGAAGCTGCAAACATGATCATAGCCAAGGGGTTGCTTGATGGGGATGAAAGTGTTAGCTATCCCATTAACATCCGTGAGCTTTACAAATATAACTCCTAGTGTGACATATATATGTAGCCTACTTCAAAATGTTGGCCCAAGATTGTAATGTAGGCAGGGAATGTTTATGTTTGATCATAATGTTAAATCATTGAAGGAATATCAAGAAACGCAGAAGATGGAAGAAGCATCATTTTTAAAACAGATTCCTGCCTTCAATTACAAAGGTCAACTCTACTCTGGCATTAGTTTCTGACACAGCTAATTAACTCAAAAGATAAGTCAACCCCCTGCAATCTTGCAATTCATTTTCTAGGAAAATGTTTTTGAAGTTGAGAAAAGAAAATTAATGTAAACAATTGGCTTCTCTTCTGTAACATCATCTTCCCCATTCAATTCCTTTGATCAATGAATATCAGAAGACCATTTCTTTATAAGAAATTAAAGGGGTTGACCATGCATGGCTCTTCCTCCATTACAATTTTATTCTGTTTGCCAACTACCATCATCAACCACATAAATGAAACTAATAAGTCAAAATGCAGACCCTGCATGATTTTTAATACTCAATCTGCAGACCTGTTGACCTGCTAAAGGACCTAGTAATGGAAATCCAAACCACAGTTCAAGTTTGTGAGGAAATGCACACTTGCAACACAGAAATCAATGATGTTGTTGTGTATATACACTGTTTCCTTCCCAATGCGCTGAGATAGTATGAAAACCAAGATAAATTACTAAAGTTTTTTTTTTCTTTTTCTTTTTGGTTTTTCTGGTTTGATGTCTATAACGTTAATAATTAATAAAACATTGAATTTTATTAAAATTGAAGGCAAATTGAAAGATGTTGGGTATTATGAGATGCCAATTCTGGGTCCAGTCTGCAGTTATGCAGTTGTGCAGGATATGGTCTTTGTTAACAATGCAGCCAATGGACATTAGGAAATTGGTCTTTGTTAGTAATGCAACCAATAGGCCTTGGGAAAGTATGGGTTCTAAACTTCTAATAGAGCCATATAAAAGGCCAAACATATTTTAAATCTCATATTGGGCCTGGGACGCTAATACCAATTTATTTTTCCAATATTATGAACTTGCTTGGGCCAAGGCCCTGCCAGCCAGTAGATGCAAAATATAAATGAAAGTAGATTCTGAAAATCTTATCTGCCAATGTCTAAAGATATTGTATTTATGTAGTTAAATAATTAATAGAAAAAGAAAAGGAAAAAAAGAAAAAATCATGAAAGGTCACTAAAAATCATGATTTGTGTGTTTCAAACTGACATTTTTCTGTTTTTGATGTACATATCTCATGATTTGTTCAACTCTAGCAATGTTTCTTTTCCTGATGTTAGAAGCGATTCAAAGTTCCAACATCTTAGATCTGAAAATTAACTAAACAACACCAGCCAGTAGAACATTGAGGTTTCTTACTCTACAATAGTTACAATAGTGTTACGCCATACACCACCAATCAATGAAGCATGCTTCCTATCCCACCACTATTTCTTCGCATCAATCTCCTCTTTAATCAACAAAAGAAGAGTTTAATATTATATATATATATATATATTATATTTAATCCGATAATCGATTCACATTACATAAGAATGTTACATAAATGACTAGGGCATAGCTACATTAAAAAGTGACAATTTAAGAACATTTCTTATTTCTTGCATCTTGAAACAAGGAACAAGAACACTAGGCTGCATTGCTCCTCATAATCTTTTCAATGTCTCCACCTTTGATTTACCTGTTTCTTTTATGATTACCAAATCTTTCCTCCAGCTGAGGGAATATATTGACAAGGATGTTATACATAGCTTTGTTATTCCATTTTCTCCATCTCTTGGAGAAAACAAGTGAACCAATGACAATTGCACAGCCAAATGCAAATCCAATTTCAACACTCAGAAGATCCCAATCAATCTCATGTTCAGAATTGGAAGGTTCCATTCAATGTTGTTGGTAGTGCAATCCTGTTTTGTTATCATCCACTGTCAAAGAAGGTCCCCATAATCCTTTGTTTCCTGTAAATGAGTCTTTTGGAAATGTCGAAAACTGAGTACCGGTTGGGATTTTGCCAACCAGTTGATTATTTTCCAATCATATCTGAGCGCCGGCCTCATGATCTCAATGATGGATGTGAGGACGATGATGATTTTGATGATGATGTTGGTGACGTTGATGGCGATATTGACGACGTTGATTCCAGCAACGATGCTTTCTCAGATGCCATAGATGTGTTCTCATTGTCAGAGGCAATAGACATTACGGAAAAGAAAGCACAGAAACAACATGAAATTTCATAATCAAGGGAGATGAACCAAAAGTGCTCAAATGTCATAATCGAGCGGTTTCTTCCAGATGCCACTGCATTGGCTGCATCATCTGCTCCACAGCTAAATGTTTCCCATATCAGTTCGAGCAATGAGCTTTGTTATCCATGGAATTATCCAGAGCCAGAGGCTTGTGTTTCAAGAACAGTCTGCAGGCAATCGTACTCTTCGCCTAAGGGTTGTGGCTTGCATGTTTTCTTCCCTTGGAGCATGAAGCACAAGCTCTGTGGAGTTAAGAGCCCTGTCAGTGCACAAGCTCATTGGAGTATAAAACACAAGAAACATAGATCGTAAGCAGCTGTTTGTGGTCTCTAGCCTTTTGTTGTTCTTAGCTGTTTGTGTTTTCTGGTCTCTAGCTTTTGTTTTTATTCCTGTCTTCGGTTTTATGTCTGTTTCTTCCCTCCTTTGTCTTTCCTTCGTTTTGAATGAAAGTTTCTCTTGACCAAAAAAAAAGCAGCTAAAAGGCTAATTAAGTAATTAAAACTTGATGTATGGTATAATTATGAAATTTTCTTCTTTTTGCTCCTTCTGTTTCTATCTGTCAAAAAGTTTTACTTACATTCTGCTTATTGGTTTGATCTGATGATGCAGATAAATTAACTGCAATCTAAATAAGTTTTGCATTTAAATCTCCATATAATTGTTATGTTGCATATTGATATGGATGAATTGGTACCTGTGCTGGTAATAATGAAATTTTAATTTCAGATTATGGCAAAACAGTATATTACCGACATGAAATTGCTTATAATTTAAGGTCACGAAAGGCTGGCTATTATTCACCAAGACATTTTCTACTAAAATCCAAATGTTGCTCATCAATACATGGCTTGTTGAAGTTTTTAGGACTTTCTTAGTCACTAAGGTTAGACTTCCTTGTTTTCAGGTCTAATACTTACGTAGCTGTTAATAATTCCTGTTTCTAAGGAACAAGTATTGTTGCACGTTCAGTTTTAAGTCTAGTCATATACCATGATTCTAGGTGCTGTAAAATCGTGGGTTGTTACATTTCCATTCAGTTACTTTGTAAGGCTTTTAAAAGCCATTGCTATCTTTGAATTCAATAAGATATTCTTCCTGCAAAACAAGTGCTATCAAACTTTCTCTTACTCAGTTTCTTGTAGATTTTCTGGTTCCAACATTTGGTATCAGAGCTCCACCACGGGGCCTGATCAAAAGTCTTAAAGTAAACACGAGTTCAGTGAGAAGGGGTAACAATATGGCTGGTGAAAGCAGTTTTGTACAGCCAGCCATTCCTAAGTTCGATGGGCACTATGATCATTGGAGCATGCTAATGGAGAATTTTCTGCGATCCAAGGAATACTGGTGTTTGGTGGAAGCTGGGATCCCTGCAGCAGCAGAAGGGGTGGATCCTACAGAGGTACAGAAGAAGACAATCGAGGATCACAAGCTAAAGGATCTGAAGGCAAAGAACTATCTGTTTCAAGCCATTGATCGATCGATTTTGGAGACAATCCTAAAGAAGGATACAGCAAAGGATATTTGGGACTCCTTGAAGCAGAAATATCAAGGCACAGCCCGAGTCAAACGTGCACAGCTGCAAGCTCTTCGCAAAGAGTTTGAGGTGCTTCATATGAAGGTGGGAGAATCGGTGAACGATTATTTTGCACGAACTCTCACTATTGCCAACAAAATGAGAATTCACGGAGAACAGATGGGTGATGTGGTGGTCATTGAGAAAATCTTAAGATCCATGATTCCAAAATTTGATTATGTTGTGTGCTCAATTGAGGAGTCAAATGATATTGACATTCTGTCCATCGACGAACTTCAAAGCAGTTTGCTAGTTCATGAGCAACGAATGAGTAGACATACCACGGAAGAACAAGCACTGCAAGTCACGAATGAAGCTCAGCCAGGAGGATGGAGTGGGGGTCGTGGCTCTTATCGAGGAAGAGGAAGAGGCCGAGGCCGATCTGGGTTTAACAAAACCATGGTTGAGTGTTACAATTGTCATGGGCTTGGCCATTTTCAATGGGAGTGTCCTAAAAAGGAGAAGCAAGCACACTTTGCCGAGACAAGTGAAGAAATGCTGCTCATGGCTTATGTGGATGACAACAAAGCTAGAAGTGATTGCCTATGGTTCCTGGATTCAGGGTGCAGCAACCATATGTGTGGTAAGAAGGAGTTTTTCTGTGATCTTAATGAAGGCTTCAAGGATTCTGTCAAACTGGGAAATGACGCAAGCTTGAAAGTACAAGGAAAGGGCAGCATTCGAATGGAGATAGATGGGACCATGCACATGGTTACTGAGGTGTTCTTTGTGCCAGACTTGAAGAACAACCTACTAAGCATTGGGCAACTACAAGAGAAGGGTCTTGCAGTTCTCATGCAACACGGAACTTGCAAGATCTTTCATCCTAACAGGGGCTTAATCATGGAAACTGCCATGTCACATAACAGAATGTTCATTATCGTTGCTCGATGTCAGTTAAAGGAACAAAGGTGCCTTGTCTCCCTTATCACAGACCAATCCCAACTCTGGCACAATCGATATGGACACCTAAGCTGGAATGGTCTCAAAGTTCTTCAACAAAAGAAGATGGTGGAAGGTATGCCACATGTCAAAGCTCCTCTTAAAGTTTGTGAAGATTGCTTGGTGGGGAAACAACAAAGGGACTCAATTCCAAAGGAAAGCATATGGAGGGCTTCTGGAATTCTTCAGTTAGTACATGCTGATATTTGCGGGCCAATCAATCCAACATCAAATAGCAAAAAACGGTATCTCATCACCTTCATAGATGACTTCAGTCGAAAGACTTGGGTATATTTTTTGGTGGAAAAGTCTGAAGCTTTTGTTGTTTTTAAAAACTACAAAGCTAGGGTGGAAAAAGAAACTGGAGCATACATAAGGGCCCTTCGCACAGATCGTGGAGGTGAATTCACATCACAAGAATTCACTAATTATTGTAGTGTGAATGGGATTCGAAGACAACTGACAGCTGCATACACTCCCCAACAAAACGGAGTTGCCGAGAGGAAGAACCGAACAATTATGAACATGGTTCGCAGCATGCTTTCTGGAAAGCACATTCCAAAAACATTTTGGCCTGAAGCAGTTAACTGGACTGTGCATATTCTCAATAGAAGTCCTACACTTGCTGTGAGAAGTAAGACACCGGAAGAGGCATGGAGTGGAGTTAAACCATCAGTGAGTCATTTCAGAATTTTTGGATGTATCTCTCACGTTCATATACCTGATCAGAGAAGAGTAAAGCTTGACAACAAGAGTCTCAAATGCATATTCTTTGGGGTAAGTGACGAGTCGAAAGCTTACAGATTATTTGACCCAATTTCTAAGAAAATAATTGTGAGCCGAGATGTTGTTTTTGAAGAAGATCAAAGTTGGGATTGGGAGGCTTGTTATAAGGAAGCCATTGTGGCTGACCTTGAGTGTGAAACAGATGAAGGAGAGGGAACAGAAGTTGGTGACAATGAGGAGGAATTGGAAGCTGGCAGCACTGAAGAAAACGAGGGCAGTGAAGAAACGGATCATGGCGTTGCCCAAGAAAACTTGTCTCATGAGGAGATTGATGAGAACTCACCTCATGTTGCACGGACACGAAGACCACCAGCATGGATGAAAGACTATGAGAGTGGGCAAGGTCTTTCCGAGGAAGAAGAATCAAACATTGCTTACATGGCTTTGTCCACTGACAGTGATCCTATATTCTTTGAAGATGCAATAAAGAATGAGAAATGGAGGCAAGCCATGAACTCCGAGATCGAGGCAATAGAAAGAAATGATACGTGGGAACTCACAGAGTTACCACTTGGCAGCAAAGTTATTGGGGTGAAGTGGGTTTACAAGACGAAACTCAATGAGAATGGAGAAGTAGATAAATACAAGGCACGACTCGTTGCAAAAGGGTACAGTCAAAAGTATGGAGTAGACTATGCTGAGGTATTTGCACCAGTGGCTAGGCTTGACACCATTCGAGTTGTGATTTCACTTGCTGCTCAGAAGGGTTGGACGATCTATCAACTAGACGTCAAGTCTGCCTTTCTACATGGAGAGTTAAATGAAGAAGTTTTTGTCACCCAACCTCCTGGCTATGAGAAAATGGGACATGAATACAAAGTGTATAAGCTTAAGAAAGCGTTGTACGGTCTGAAACAAGCTCCTCGAGCTTGGTACAGTCGTATAGAGACTTATTTTGACAAGAAGGTTTCAAGAAGTGTCCCTATGAACATACTTTGTTCATCAAAACAGCGGATGGAGGTAAAGTTTTGTTTGTTTGTCTTTATGTTGATGATCTCATATTTACTGGAAATGATGAGGTTATGTTTAAAGATTTCAAACAATCCATGATGATTGAATTTGATATGACTGATCTCGGAAAGATGAAGTTTTTTCTTGGTATTGAGGTGTTGCAAAGGCCAGATGGTGTTTTCATTGGGCAACGAAAATATGCACAGGAGGTGCTTGACAGGTTCAAAATGGATCAATGTAATCCAGTGCATAATCCAATAGCTCCTGGGTTTAAACTCATGAAGGACGAAGATGGAGTAAGGGTAGACAGTACACTCTACAAACAAATTGTAGGAAGCCTTATGTATCTGACTGCTACACGTCCTGATATGACATTCATAGTTAGTTTGATTAGTAGGTACATGGAGCGTCCCACTGAGATGCACCTACAGGCAGCAAAAAGAGCATTAAGGTATGTAAAGGGAACTATTGATTTCGGGGTGTTTTACAAGAAGGGAGGAAAGCAGGAGCTTTTGGGATACACGGATAGTGATTACGCAGGTGATCAGGATGACAGAAAGAGCACTTCGGGGTATGTGTTTATGATGAGTTCAGGTGCTGTGTCTTGGTCTTCGAAGAAGCAGCCAGTGGTCACTCTTTCCACCACTGAGGCCGAGTTTATTTCTGCAGCATCTAGTGCTTGTCAAGTAGTTTGGTTAAGGAGAATTTTAAAGGAACTGTGTCATGATCAATGCAAATCTACAGTGTTATATTGTGACAATGTATCAGCCATCAAACTCTCAAAAAATCCAGTCTTGCATGGTCGTAGCAAACACATTGATGTTCGCTTTCACTTTCTCCGTGATCTTACGAAGGAAGGAGTTGTGGAGTTGGTTCAGTGTTCAACCCAGGAGCAGGTCGCAGATATTTTTACAAAGCCTTTGAAGCTTGATGTTTTCTTAAAGCTGCGAGGTTTGCTGGGTGTTTGTTCTTATCCAGCAGTAAACTGAATGACAATGGTATTCAGTTTAAGGGAGAATGTTGAAGTTTTTAGGACTTTCTTAGTCACTAAGGTTAGACTTCCTTGTTTTCAGGTCTAATACTTACGTAGCTGTTAATAATTCCTGTTTCTAAGGAACAAGTATTGTTGCACGTTCAGTTTTAAGTCTAGTCATATACCATGATTCTAGGTGCTGTAAAATCGTGGGTTGTTACATTTCCATTCAGTTACTTTGTAAGGCTTTTAAAAGCCATTGCTATCTTTGAATTCAATAAGATATTCTTCCTGCAAAACAAGTGCTATCAAACTTTCTCTTACTCAGTTTCTTGTAGATTTTCTGGTTCCAACAGGCTTGGCATTCATTTACATATACAAATAGAGTGAATCATATCTTTTGGAAAGTAAGAAAATGCGTATTCAGAAGCACATTCTCTTATCTTCCTCAAATTGCCGATGGTGCAATGACGTAAGTTGATTGCTTATGTCATTTGATTTGCTATGATGCATCAACAACGCATAACCACATTTTTCTTATATCTGTTTTTTTTAATTATCGTTGCAGTTCCATTGTATTTGCCACAAAGTTTTTTATTTCCTAAATTACATTATTATTATTAAAAAAAATCTTAAATACACTAGTGGTTTTGGAAATGTGTTGAATATCATATCAAAAAAGTTTATATGTTCAGAAAATAGAGAAAAAAAGGTTTATTTGATATTTCTAACGGTACATGGTTGACACGAGCTAACGATTCACAAGTGAGACATTTCAAAAATCCAAGGGAGGTGAACTCGGGCAGCCTCGGGGTAAGCAAAGACCCCTGCCCAGTGATTCTAACAAAGTGTTGATAGATGAATGAATAACCGACTATGAATATATATAAAATCAAAATATATGAAATAGAGAAAAAAATAATTAAATCTAATCCAGCAGCGAAATTGAAAGCGATAGAGAAAATAAGAGAAAATGAAACCAAAAAAAAAAAAGTTCCAGTATTTGAGAGCATGTTCGATTTGTAAGTGATGAGATTTGAGAGTATGACTCGATGAATTGAAGAAGAAGAGTCGATCTTTTTTGTTCTCAAAGGCCATCTCCAATCATAGGGCTAAATGTAGTTCAAGGCTAAACATTTAGGCCCTTCAAAATATTAATTTTTTAAAGAATAATGCATGGCTAAAATTTTCCATCTCCAATCATGCATAGCTATATTTTAGGGCCATTCATATTTTATTATTTTGAGAAGAACTATGGTACAACACCAATGGCAGTAGATTTTGCAAAGGAATAAATCAAAAGGCAGCAACTTGTTGTGGTTTATTATTATTATTTTTTTCTCAAAACTTATTGGGCTATAGCCCACTACCTCCCCATCGAATTAATCTATCTTTGGTTAGGTTAACGAAAGAGACGTCTACCGATCCAAATTGATCCGTGCTCAGACCTACCACCACCACAACTAAGAGTGCAAACTCAGAATAATAAAAAAGAGATAAGCTTTAAAAAATCAAACCATAAACAACACAAATAAGAACTCTCACGAAGGAAAGATGAAAAATGCTCATAAAAATGAAAGGTGAACAATTGATGGAAAAGTAGATGGAAGTCTTAAGAATATGACGGTAGATCGTCAATTGGCGATTTATAAAAAGTTTGTGTCCTTAATTTATCGAAAAAATGATTAAGGGGCTAAATTAACAAGATAAGCACATTCAATACAAACATTATTCATTTATCATGTTGTGATCCAATCACCTCGCCAAAATAGCAAAAAAGTCATTGTGAATCGTGAGATTCGACCCCATGTGGCCTGGCTCAAGAAGTAAAGCACCTTTTGCGGATTGTGCTACAACAGATTTTCTTATAAATTAGGATTCGTTTCCAATTTATATGCATTTAATTTGCTTTATAGTCTTATTCGTTTCCAATATATATATATATATATATATATATATATAATACAAATTTATATATAAACCCTCACCAGTATCCTATGTAAAACATCTCTTTCAATTAAAGATGTCATAAATCCTCGTCACTCGGATTCCCAAAGATTCGAGGCAGGTAGCCCCCGATGGGGACATGAATTCCTCCACTTTTTTTACTGGAAATAGGAGCAGGGACGAGGGTAGGGATCGACCTAGGGATGATATTGTATTTATGTAATTAATATAATAAAAAAAGAAAAAAAAAAAAAAAAAAAAAAAACTGTAGTAAATTTGATTACACGCCATACTAAATAGGATGCCATTGGTCCATCACATCCACTTGGATCTATGTGAAAAACAATATATCTACAAGACATAACATAAATTAATTAGAATACATACGTATATATGACCTCATCAATTCATTAGTATATATATATAGTCTCGTTCTCTTGGACCCCTATGGTCCAAGGAACTTATGGTCACCCACTCTTGGATCTAATCTAAGGATTCAGAAAAAACTAGTTAAAATCAAGATATTAATTTAACTTAATCAAAAACCGAAATTTAAAAATAAATAATAAAAGTACACTGTATAACAAAACACGTTTAGAGGAGAAAATTATGAACGTGTTATTCCTAAGGATGAGTGACCACAAGTCCTTGGACCACAGGGGTCCAAGAAAACGGGACTATATATATATATATATATATATGGCCATATAACTAGTTTAATGTATGAAGTGGACAAAACTCAATAGCTATATGTAGTGATCCTATTAGGCACTTTACCAAATGAATGTAAGATTAGCACTCCAAACCCCTATACCCCTAAACCCCTAAACCCTAAATAAATAAATATTAATTAATTAATTATCCGTATATAACAAGTTGATTCAAGTTTGAATTGATGACAGATTATTATATTGTGGTTTCAAAATGAATTACGCATCCGAATATTTTTTGTTATTTTTAAAGTGATTATAAAGGGAGCTGATTTCCCCACTCCCAAATTCTCCACTTACACTCCCTTTTGCTTTTTAATGATTTTTAATCAATTTTTTTCTTTTTTGTTCTTTCTCTTTCCTATTCTACCCTCACCCTATCTTATTTCTTTTTACTTCACTTTTATATTATTTCTTTTTCTTTATACTTAATTTTCCTAACAGTGTATATTTTTCTAGGCAAAATTATGTGGTCCACCTGCTACAAAAACACATGCCTACGGATAACCTTGCAACCATAGGGATTTATTTTTATTTTTATTTTTATTTTTTGTGAATAGGCAAAATATTTCTTTAGTGATTCATTTGCATTTGGCATCTCCCATTCTTGAACTAGAAAATAGTGATCCATTCGAGAACAAAATATAAATATTTACTTAGATGCTTCATTGGACTGTTAAGATAACATGGGAAATAAAAGAAATAAAAAAACTTAGCTCCATTGGCATGTTCTTTTTTTGGTCAATAGCTGAAACTTCATTGAAAGCCAAAAAATATGGCTAAATAGAGACGACAAGAGTAACAACCAAAAAGTAAAGACAAAACCATCGTGGTTGCCAAAAAATTTAGCTTCATTAACCAAACTATATCATTACAGACAAGAGCAGAGAAAAGCTATAACCACAAAAAGATAATTTAGCTCCATTAACCAAACTGTATCATTCCATACAACACTTCTTCCTTGTGTTAAAAAAAAAGACATGTGAAATAAGGATGAATCCATCCAACCACTTCAAAATACCTACAAGAAAGAAGACTAATTAATTAACAAACTAATTGATCTCTCATAATACTATTTACTGCTATAAAATTTGATGAGATACAATTCCCTTTAATAAGATGACATGTACAATTACTTCGAAAATTATGAAAGAATAAAAATTTGAGACTATTATGCATAAGAAGTACCTTGCTCTCTGCATATCTAAGCTCCTAATGACAGTTTGGTTAATAACATTCTTTGGTTCTTCTACCTGTAAACATGTTAGTCGAAAAAATTTATTATCTATTAACTAAAACAAAGATAAATAGCACTCACATACTTGGTATAAAAAAAATTCAAGAATTTGGCATACAAATACTTACATTTCTATCCATTTCATTAAGAGAAATGGACAAGTACTTTTATTGTGGCCAACACCTTTGCAAACACTACATTTACGAGACTTTTCAACTATCTCAAATTTCGAAGGTTCACGCCTTGTAGAGCTAGATTCATTTCTCTTCTTTGACCCTAGTGGCCGTCCTTTATGAGGTTGAATCTTAGGTTCCAGAATTAAGGGAAAAGAAGTGCCAACAAATTGAGATAGTTGTCTCTTTGTATCATCTTTTTGAAGAATGGGCAGTTTTTCATACTTTTCTTTGAAGTCCCAATAGAAGACTATTTATTTGATCATTTTCATCATCCAAACTTCCATGTTGATCATTGTTAAACAATCGTGCATCCATCCTCCACTGATTATGTATGGCATTTAAAGGCAATACTTGAATTTTCATATCCTTAATCATGTGTCCACAAGGAATACCCATCGTTTTGAAAAATGGCCTGTGCATTGAGATGAAAGATTACCATATTTTGTAGCTTCATGTTGCTTGTATAACTCATCTAAAGCAAACATAGATACATGAGTAACAACTTCTTTAAAGAATGGAATCCGAGTCTATGTGGAACACGAACCTTTTCACTTGAGAGTTGAGTTTTGATTTCTTGAAATTGATGTTCAATAGCAAGACATATTTTTTCTTTTACCTCACGAAGGCCTCCGGTTGAAACTTGAAGATACTTCTTTAGTGTTGCATGCGCACCTTCAGCTCTTGAAGTAGCCCGATTACCTAAGTGTGCAACCTCATCTGTCCATGCACTTACAAATTTTTCTTTCAATGGCAGCCAAGTACCTCTAATATAGTTCAAAACAGCTGCATTCTCCTTGTACTCATTTTCAAAACGATCCCAAGCTTTATCGAATGATGATTCATTTGGAGATTTGATTAAATCAGTCCAAGTAGATAGGAAAGCAACCCAATCACTTCTTCTCTAAAATGAGGTTTACAATTTGCAAGAATGTTTTTTCCTCAATATGCCACACGCATAACAATTACAAGCACTTGGGAATACAATGCGTATAGCATTCATTAAGGCCAATTCTCTATCTGATATGATCACCAATGGCTGATTATGAACTCCCAAAATTTTATTGAACATTTCTAGAGCCCACACATAATCCTTCTCTTCTTCTTTTTGCATGAAGACAAAACAAGAGTAGAATGAAGTGTTGAAACTTGAAACTCCTATTATATCCAATAATGGCATCTTATACTTATTAGTTTTATAAGTGCAATCCATCAAAAAGACATGTGGGTAACTCTTACTCAATTCAATTGATATAGGATGAGCAAAAAACAAATGAGTCAAATGCCCTTCTTGGTCATACTCAATGTTATAAGAGAAACCACCTTCACCAAGTTCATCCACTAATGCTTGAATAACGTACGTCCTGCTAGGCTCTCTTCCAAAATTTTAGCCTTCTTATTGTAATGTTTTGGAAATTGCTTGAAGATGAGGATTGCTCTGTCGAAGTGAAGAGAGAATTTGGCGCGGTGGTATACCAGCCATACACATTTCTTTAATCCGCATAATTTCCTCATTTGAAAATCGACGACAATAGGGATGTCCAGACATGTCCGTTGAAGGTTCATGATTATGCAACAAACTTTTAATCTCCAACTTCCAAAATCCTTGAAGTTTCCTTTTCTTTTTGCCCCAAATTTCAAATGGACAGTTTATGAGGCGAGATGCTGATTTCTTTTTTCTTTCCTCTAGTGGAACTTTTCTGCTTTTATAATTACCGCCTCTATCACAACCAAGGACAACATATATCTCGGATTTAGATCTTCTAATAACTAGTGCATACCCTTGCACAAAGGCAATCTTACGAGCAGCTTCAATGAGGTCTTCCCGACTTTGAAAATTTTTGTTTGTCAAAGAGAGCATTTTGTCACTTTTATCAATCGATGCTTCACTGCCTATATCACAACCATCCAATTTATATGAAACATAAACTACACATTGGCTACAGCTATGAAGAATGTTTATGCTTCACTGCCTATCCCATATTAGTTAAGAATGAATATATATATAACATAATATGTACTGCTATGAGACATTTCATTGAGCAGTTGTTTGGCGCCTCTAATGGGTTGCACCAGCAGGTCACCACGACCTTTGCCCAAGGGCAATAATAAAGAGATAGCAATGGCACTAATTTAAATTTGTCTTTGTGTGCACATGAGAAGATAATGGGGCAAAAGAAAGACAGAGCATACAAAAAACTAACTCAAATTGAATTGCAATTCATCAGAGCACCAAGTATTTCGTAAAACTGAACCTATGAATAAGATAATATGTAATGCTCAGCAAAGTGAATTTCTTTTTAATACAGAAACATCTTCTAGAGTTCAAAAGCTTCCTTTTGGACACAGAGATGTAAACCATCAATACCATCTCCCCACAAGGTTAACAAATCCCTTATGAAAAGGTTAAACGTAAGATACACACACATACATAAACCAATATGCTAATTCGCTGCTAATGATCGATAAAGTTAGATTAAGTAAGAAATAAACGTACCCTGCATAATATCTTGAGAATTTGAAGGATTACTAATTCTGTCATTCCACTCAAATCACTGTTGCCCACCATGTCTAAAATCCTCTGCAACTCATACTCTAATTTTTGTTCTTCATCCATAGCTAACCTTTCACCAATATTAAGAGTATTTGCTTTGGGTAGGAGAAGGATTGAGTATCTCTAGGTATGAGAAGTGGGAAAGACACGATGAAGGAGAAGAAGAGGTTTGGGTATCAAATAGAAGAAGACGCTCTGAAGAAGACGTTCTGACTTCTTTTTTTTATTTTATGTTAACTTTTCTTAATTTTAATTATCAAAACATTAATTTAGAATTATCAAAACATTAATTTAGAATAAGGGTATAAGAGGAAAGAGAAAGAACAAAAAAGAAAAAATTGATTAAAAATTATTATAAAGCAAAAGGGAGTGTAAGTGGAGAATTTGGGAGTGGGGAAATCAGCTCCCATTATAAATACTTATGCAACCAAAATTATTTTCAAGTATATATTGACACGATCCCTGGACAATGAATAAGTAGATTTTGTTATGGTTATAAAATTGCAATTCATATTATAATAACATACCTGCCAAAATTGCAGTTCATTTATCATAAATATGTTGATAATGGAGAATCAATTTTCCAATCACCCGACCCAAGGTCCATTCTGCATAAATCTGTTCTCTGTGTTTTTGTTTCTAACTCTATGGATCGGTTAACGTTGTGTCCATTTCTAAATGGGTTCACGTTCTGTCCAATTCTAATCGGATCTGGGTGAGTGTTGTTTTAGGTTGTTTCTCCTTCTATTTAGTTAATTATCGTGTTTTCTAATTTATTTATTTTCAACTTCATTGCCCAGGTACGGATCATGTCCGCCATATTTACCGTCTCAACAATATTTCATTTCGTTCAGAGTGAGAAGTCCTAATCGCTTCGCAGTTTCACCAGACAAGACAAATCGTAATTGCAGTTCCCCTGAGGTGAAGCAGAGGTGAATTTCCGTTTTGTATGAATCTCATCTCCTTCGTTTTGTGGTTTTGTAGTTGATAATCCTAGGGTTTTCTCTGTGTCTTAATTTCTTGCATTTTCTCCCAATTGCTGTTTCACCAGAGAAGACAAATCGTTTTCTCAGTTCCCCTGAGGTGGATTTCCGTTTTGTATGAATCTCATCTCCTTCGTTTTGTAGTTGATAATCTTTCTGTGTCTTAATTTCCTGCATTTTCTCTGTGTTTTCCTGCGTTTTCTCTCAATTTCCCTATTTTTTCACTCTGAGTTAGGCCCTGTCTTTGTTTTGTCTACTTCAATTATTTTGTCTCAACAGAATGAACGTTCAGCAAGCATTTCTTAATAGCATAAGAAATGACTTCAATCAGAACCAGTCTCGTTGTACTGTTATTGGGGCGTTTCTCAATCGTTATAGTTTTTCTGGATTTGCTTTGGATGGCTATTGCAGTGGACATCTTTTGTTCCAGCAGGGTGAACCTCCAAGGGAGGTCACTTTTGCCCTTATTGGCAAGGGTTTGGAAGGTGAGTTGAAGGCTGAGAAAACGCAATTGTAGTGCTGACCCCTCCATGTTTGCGGCATTTAACATGAATGTAGTGCTGATAGAGATTTCGATGAAATCTAAGAAGTCCACCATCGACGAACCGTATAATCAGAATCCACATGACGATAAATCTCCTTCATGTAATCTTTCCACGAAGCAATTGCAGCTTTAATATTCCAAGGCTTGAACCGTTCAAACGTAACAGAATCCAACACTTTTCGCAGACGAGAATCCTTGTTATGATGAAGTTTATCAAAGTATTCCATCCTACCCTTGGGAGCCTCAAGAAAGGATGGTTCTTCAGCCTCAAGGGTAGGATGGAATACTTTGATAAACTTCATCATAACAAGGATTCTCGTCTACGAAAAGTGTTGGATTATGTTATGTTTGAACGGTTTAGGCCTTGGAATACTAAAGCTGCAATTGCTTCGTGAAAGATTACATGAAAGAGATTTATCGTCATGTGGATTCTGATTATACTAGTTCGTTGGTGGTGGAGCTTCTTAGATTTCATCGAAATCTCTATCAGCACTACATTCATGTTAAGTGCCGCAAATGTGGAGGGGTTAGGGTTATTATTGAAGAAGTCGGTGCTGATGTTAGATGCTTCTTTCCTGGATTTTTAGATCTGATTCATAACAATATGTAGAGCTTTTGGAAGAATTGTAAATTCTGTGTTCCATTGTATGACTCTTTAACTTTTACTTCACCTTTTAATGTTTCTTTAAAACATTGTGGTTTTTGAGTTACTGTTCAGTAAGTGTTGTCTCTTTTCGGATTCATTCAATGGAATGGTTTACTTGTCTCTTTTAGATATGTTCCATTTTTGTGTTGGTTTACACAATCTAGTTTTCTAACTATCTTCATGATACAACATTGTTGAAGACTGGTTGAACTCTGGTCTTGGTCGGGATATGACCATAAAAGATAAGAATATTTCCATTATTGTTCATATTGATAACTTCAGGGAACTGGTGGGTTTTACTGTATGATTGTTGATGAATGGCTAATACATTCAAATCCCATCTCTCAGTGAAGGCAAGTGGTATATACCAACGTGAAATCTGAGCTGGTAATATGCTGTAGAACCTAAAATTCACAGCTAAAGTAGTTTGTAATACTATTGCAGTTACTGTGGCAACATACTACTCAACCATCCATTGGCGCCAGCATAAGATGAAGCAAACTGGTAATCTCTCGGAGTGGATTGGCCTTGGTTCTCTAGGTGACATGGCACTGAAGTTTGGCACACGGCATTTGGTCTGAATGTAACAATTTTCAGCACATCATGTCCAAGAATCAGGAAGCTTTAAGTCAGCTTGGTGCAGATAACTTCGTGGTCTCATCTGACTGGAAGCAGATGACAGTAAAATTACGTGAAGTTTCTTACCTCATCACATGAATAAGAGAGAGAGAGAGAGAGAGTGAAAATGATGTCTTATCCCATGGTTTAGTATTTATTGGTTATTGTTGGCTATTCCGGCCCTGGTGTAGTCATTATACTTTATAATTGATACAGCATCTGGTGATCACCCATTTGATCCACACACGGAACTGTTGAAAACTGGTGGTGTTCTGGTCTTGGTGGGATTCCCTAGTGAAGTCAAAATCAGCTGCCAAACTCAATATCTGTACGCTGGCATGTTTCAAATGATTGAGATTACAGTTTTTATCTGTCAAACATTATATGGAAGTTGCTAGTATATATGATGAACTCCATGCATGGACCTTTTGGCAGGCATGCAAAGCATTTCTGGTAGTGTAACAGGTAGAAAGAAGGATATCCAAGAAATGATAGATTTCTGTGCTGCTCATGGAATTCATCTAGTGATTGAAATAATTCCAGTTCAATATGCAAATGAAGCTATTGAGAGGCTACTAAAAAGTGGTGTGAAATACCATGAAAGAGAAGAAGAATTTCTGTTGTTGATGTGTATTAATTAAGTTCATATGGATTGGATTGTTGGGACTCGAACCATCATCAAAGGCACAGGGAAGTTTTTGTTTTTCCCACCAAAGGCTACGCTAGGCCAGCCAGGCCATGACCAATTTCAAACATATTGATGTCTTGTAAATCTCACACAGACCTATTCAAAGATTATGTTACCTGCTAAAGCAGGCCATGCAAATTCTGCATAATTTGTGCTGTTTTTGAATGCCTTGCAGCCCTGTTTTGCTTTCACTTCATTTGTGTTCGGAGACTCTTTGGTTGATGCAGGAAACAATGAGTACATGTTCACTCTCTCAAGGGCAGACTCTCCTCCTTGTGGCATTTGATTTTAAGCCTTCTGGTGGACACCCCACCGGTCGATTCACAAATGGTCGAACCATTTCAGACATTGTAGGTAAATGCACTGAACCATTTCAAAGTTGGTGGATTTATACATGAGTAACGCTACTCTTACCACATTTGCATATCACATTCTCATACCGTCTTATGTGGCAGATGAAGTGGACAATCACATCAATCAAAAAATGTCAATAAATCATAAAAGAAAAGAAAATATTAAATTAATTTAATTGATGTGGTTGTCCACCTCATCTGCCACATAAGGTGGTATGAGAATATGATATACAAATATGGTAAGAGTAGCATTATTCTTTACACATTATTGGCTCTCAGCTAACTGCTAAATAGTCATCAGCTAATTCCTTCGGTCATTTAATGTTCAATGAAGCAACTCAATTATCCCAACAGGACAAAATTTAACAAGAAAAATAGTCTAAGAATTCATCACAGTGCCGGAGTTTTAAATTGGGTCACAAGATTTTGTTTATTTTATTTTTGTACTTATTTATGTGTGACACATGATAATGCAGAAGCCATTAATACCATTTATGCCATGCATGAAGAGGATCTATTTATATATTTTTTCATAGGGCCCCAGAAGTTTATTAATTTGGCTTGTTTTTTAATTACTGTTCAGTAAGTGTTGTCTCTTTTCGGATGAGTTCAATAGGATTTGAGAATGCAAATGAGCCATGTTGTGGTGGGTACTTTCCACCATTTATTTGCTTCAAGAGCAGTGGTACAAACAGAAGCTCTGCGTTGTGTACCGATCGATTGAAGTATGTGTTCTGGTTTGCATATCATCCTGCAGAAGCTGCAAATATGATCATAGCCAAGGGGTTACTTGATGGGGATGGAAGTGTTAGCTATCCCATTAACATCCGTGAGCTTTACAACTATAACTCCTAGTGTGACATATACATGTAGCCTACTTCAAAATGTTGAACCAAAATTGTAATGTAGGCAGGGAATGAATTGAACTAAATTTTTTATGTTTGATCATAATGTTAAGTCATTGAATGAAGAATATCAAGAAGGGAAATTGATGGAATGATTTACAACAGATGATTGGTTCTTTAATGAGATCAAACTAAAACTAAAATAAAAAAACAGAAGAAATGAAGAAGGCCAGCTTTGCAGGACCAAACACAAATTTAAAGTTGCAGAAACACAGAAGATGGAAGAAGCATCATTCCTAAAACAGATTTCAGCCTTCAATTACAAAGGTCAACTCTGGCAATAGTTTCAGACACAGATACAAACTCCAAGGAGAAGTCAACCCCTTGCCAATCTTGCAATTCGTTTTCTAGGAAAATGTTTTAGAAGTTGAGAAAAGAAAATTAATGTAAACAAATAAAGTCCTGGAGATTTCTTTTCTGCCATGCGATGTTTGTATTTGTTTAAGTTTTAGTGGCTAAAGGCTTTCAATTAAAACTTAGTGGTGGGGTTTGCTGTATGAGTGTTGATTAATGTCTAATTCATTCAAATCCCATGTCTCATAAGGAATAATGATCCAGTGAAGACAAGGTATATGCCAAGGTGAAGCTGAGTTGTTAAATTTGCTATAAATAGAATATGAACAAGAGATTCAAGTACATTGCCAAACTACCAATAAGCACAAACATAAGCGAGAACTCTCTCTCTCTAACTCTCTCTTGATTCTTAGTATCTTTCGAGACTTTTCCTATAATTAAAACCCACATTTCTCTTATACCTTGCATTATGGAAATCTCCAGGACTTTATTTCATTCTGTGTCTGTTCAGCAACCAGACTATCTTTCCTCTTTCCCCCCAGCACTTTATGTGTTATTAACAAAGATGACGGATTAAGATACCGGGAAATTATGTCATGATGTCCTACTATTTTTCTTTTTCTTTTATATATACCCAAACACAGGTGTTCTTTAGCTTTAATCAGTAGCACCTAGAAAACAAGAAAAAAGAGAGAGAGGCATGTATAAATATTAGCAATGCAGGGGAAAGACTTTTGTATTTGTTTATGTTTTAGTGGCTGAAGGCTTTGATAACTGGAAGAAACACAAAACATGTCTAAGACAAGGTTAAGGTATACCAAGGTGAAATTGAGTTGGTTATCAAGTACATTGGCAAACTACTAAGAAGCACAAATATAAGTGAGAGCTCTCTCTCTCTCTCTCTCTCTCTCTCTCTCTCTCTCTCTCTCGCTTCTTCTTACCTTGTATTATTAATATTGTCATGCACTCTCTGTCTCCCCTTTCACTTTTTTTGATAACTTAGATTTCTTTCATCTGCAATTCTCAGATTTATTGCTACATAACTTTGAGCAGAAAGGGAAAAGAATGGAATCAAGTGAAAGTTGACACTTCTACTTATGCTCCTTTTCGAGGGAGCGCAGTGGTTGTAGGTAAGACTATCTATGCCTTACATGCACTTGGGGAAAATATTATAGCATTCTCCTTTCGAATGGTAAAGGGTGATGACGGTGGTGTTGCATATTCGCTAAGCAAACTCTTTCAATTGCACGAAGGCCTGAATATTGCAAGTCCACCGTTGCCATTTTATGAGCTTATAATAGAGTATTTGGTTCATTTGGGGAACCAAGACTTTGTTCATGTTATGACTGGCAGCTGCAAAGGATCTCGCCGTGTTCAATACATTTGTATCATCACATTTCAAATTATTGTTGGAGAAGGAGGAACACATATGATCAAGACCTTGCATTCAACTGTTCGTTCTGTGGATATCAAGGGCCTTAATTAGTTCATGCTTGAGTTCTGCTTTACACCATGAGTTGTCGTCGCGATTCTTATGTTTTTATCAATAACATTAATTTGTAGGTTGAGATTCTATTACATTTTGTACGTAACAAGAGTATGATCATGGAGGAATGGCTCCAACCAGAGGGAGCCTCTTCTACCCGAGTTATAATAGCATTACAGTTTAATGCATGTTTTGCCAGTAAATGAGCTCCCCTGGAATGAAAGAGACATTGGCATCCTCAAATTGTTGCAAATTCTTCTTGACATCATCAATGAGAGATGCCCAGCTCACTTATTTATCATTGCACGTATTTGTTTTTTCGTCTTGTTGAGTAGTTTGTGTAGTGCACTTAATCTGCTGAAGAGATGAGTGTTTTAACTAATAGGATTAATAAACCAAAATCAAGACATGTCAATTGTATCTTTAACCCCAACTCTTTTCTGCCAGGCGCCTGGGAGAAACATATAAAAGAATTTATTCTTTCATTTCTTTCTGCATATTTTCATTTGCCCGGGGGCTTTCCAAAGTTACCATTCATTTTCTAACTATTATACCACAACAAATCTATCTACAAACTTATAAAATCATGCTTAAAGGGGGAAGAATGAAAAAACATAACAAATAATGGCTGCAAATATTTGCCGCTTAGCCACCATCGTATGCAAATGCCACTTTTTTATTTTCCTTTTTTTGTCAATTTAGCAATCAGAAGTGATATGTAACGTTTCCTCTTACATCCGAGGTTCTATATTTTATATCATTCTCGCTCAATATTATTTGTATAAAAAGAATAATATATAAAATTATAATTTTTAAGCACATCAACACGAACATTAATTCAAACAATATGGCCAACGAGCCTGCAATGGCAAACTCCCAAATGTTAATTCGACTGCTCACAACAAAATCAAAATGGCCTGCTCTTTTAGAAAAATACAACGGAGAGCTCAAGGCCCCACGCCAATGGCCATTGCAAATTCCCTTTCTTTGCCTTGTTTCTTGAAAATTTGTCAGAAGAAAATACCAAAAATTCAGAAGTAAAAATTCTCTGCAATTTTAGTATTAGTATTGTGTGACTCATAACTGGAAAGTGACTTTGTGTTGTTATCTATCACTTCAAGAAAATACAAAGACAGAGAGAGAAACTTTAATGTATTTGCTTCTGCAAGGTGAATTGAATTTCTTTTATTATTGAGTGTCTTGGGGTTTCGAATCTCTGCCAACATTGATGAAGGTGGAATAGTTCAACCAACTCAGCTATAACCCACTAGTTGTGAATTGAAAATGTGTATAATGGTTAATTATTCAATATTGGTTACAAGACCCATCCACAAAGCATGTGCACAAGTAAATTTTCAAACAAGGCCTTTTTTTTTTAAGACCTCTTTTATTGAGATGGGCGATAGCATATTAAACTCACACACAATACACGGATGCTAAAACTCGAACCAAATAACTACACTAGTGAGTTCTTTGCTAAACAATGTCATTATTGATTAAACTTCTATGGAGCCAAATAAAGGCTTTTTAATCTCATATTGGGCCTGGGACTGCGAATAATACAGATTATTTTTCCAAATATTATGAACTTGCTTGGGCCAAGGCCCTGCTAGCCAGTAGATGCAAAATATAAAGCAAAGTAGATTCTGAAAATCTTATCTACCAATGTCTAAAGATTACAGTCAACAAGCGTGGCATTTGCCTTAGCCTCAAATCCACCCCACCATGACTTAAAGCTTATTCAATATCAACCTCACAGGCTCTCCAGAACCTCAGAAAACTGGGACCGGCCATTCAGTTCTCAGTCTACCTGTCTTCATTGAATCTACAAAGTTTGATAATAATAAACCAATTAAAATAGATAATGGTGAACTGGGATTTTCTCATAATTTCATAATTTAGAGGAACCAATGAATAGTAATGGAATAGATAGAGCCAGTAAATCTCTTCCAAGAAAGGCATGTGTGGTCATAATTATTTCTAAGCAAACAAAGCAAAACTCAACCAATCATATACCCTTCAGCTAGCATTTGGTAAGTTGTTCAGGTATGTTGTATGAACAAAACCATCCCCATTAAACTCTGTGTCATGCATTTTGTGTTGTTGCATTTGTATTTCTCAGCTCTTCGCATACATACCAAAGAAGACACCCAGCTGAGCATTTATATCCCTTTTCTTCTTTGTTTTCTTTGCACCAGAATTATAGTGATTGATTTCATGGTGGTTCTAAGCCTTCAACCTGTCCAATTTTCTACCCCTAAACACATGTTATTATGTAGACCGGGCAGTACTGGTTATCCCATCCGATGTGGGATTGCAGAGCCATCAGGAGAGCCAGCTCCCATGGGACAAAAGACCAAGTACAATGATGGGTTTTTTGAGAAGGGATTTATGACACTGTTTGCTCGCAAAATGAAGAAGTTTGCAGCTCCAGTGAAGGCCAGGACTGAGACTAAGGAGAAGGCATGGTGGGAATATGACTATGAGAGCTTTGTGGATGTGTCTAAGAGAGTGATGCAGGGGAGGTCTAGAGTTCAGCAGCAGCAAGTAGTTCGAGAGGTGCTCTTGTCTATGCTGCCTCCAGGTGCGCCTGCTCAGGTGGATAATAATTGACCATTAATTCTCACTTCTCTAATGTTTGGTCATAGTGGTTAATTTGTTGGCAATTGGTTATAATTTTGTAGCACATGAAGGGATGGGGGTTTGGTTTGTTCTGTTGTATGGATGAATTGAATAGTTATTTGACTTGTTATCTTTGCAGTTTAGGAAATTGTTTCCACCAACAAAGTGGGCAGCTGAATTCAATGCTGCATTAACAGTGCCTTTCTTCCACTGGTTGGTTGGGCCTTCTGAGGTAATTATACTTTTACTCCTCTTAGCAATAGCTAGATAGAGTCTATACTGTATAGCATGAGTGGTGCTTTGTCACAAAATTAGAAATTGCTCATCTTTTCAACCTGTTAAAAGATTAATTTGGTTTTGGTCAATGTCAAATATCTGAAATTATTTGGTTTTTCTGTTGTGCAAGCTAAATATGATGTTTCATTTGTAGCTTCCTTTTGGACTTAATTGTTGTGATACACTAATTTATGGGCATCCACCAGGTTGTAGAAGTTGAGATAAATGGGGTGAAGCAAAGAAGTGGAGTCCATATAAAGAAATGCAGGTAGGATCTATATTTCATGATGTCCAAATTGAATATGAATTTGTCAAGTTAACATACATAAAGAAATTTCCTTTCGAGGAGCTGCAAAGATAAAACTCCATGATGTAGGGTTCTTAAATGGAAACAATTTTGATAGATGACATGACTGAAAACACAGCCAATCACTAATTTTCTAACTTTGGCATTCTTCCTGATCTAGGTACCTGGAGAACAGTGGGTGTGTTGGAATGTGTGTGAATATGTGCAAGTTTCCTACTCAAGATTTCTTCACCAATGAATTTGGGCTTCCCTTAAACATGATTCCAAGTATGTTTCATTATCTTGGTTTAATTATGCACAAAAATCAGACTTTAAGCTGGAATTCTTATATAAGTTTGATCAAACACATTCCAAGTAGAAAACAGAGCTTTCTGAATTGGATTTCCTTGTGCAGTAATTATATTAATAAACTTGTACTTCTTGTCTTATCCCCATTCTTTCTATGCTCAGATTTTGAAGATATGAGTTGTGAAATGGTGTATGGCCAAGTTCCACCACCATTTGAAGAGGATCCAGTGTCCAAACAACCATGTTTTACTGATATATGTAAGTTTGTAGAGCTTGTATATTATGTGATCAATGGAGATGTATATTCCTGATTTCTAGCTATGCGTTTATCTGCAGGTTCCATTGCAACTCCCAGCGCCAGTGTCTGTCCAAAATTACAAGCTTGAAAGATACTCCTCCGTTAGTCATAGTTCAAGTACAGATTTCAAGTTCATATGTCACATCCATCTTACAGTTCAACTGCAGTACATATCTTTTATGCGAGTTGAACATGGCGAAAGTGGAAGTTACCATATGCCTATTAGGCTGAAATTTATATCTCATGACAGAAGAGAGAATTTGTTTGTAATATTAAAGACAATATATCACTCTTTATAAGCCCTAGGTCATATCTCATTTTGGAGAACCTAGGAACCAACAATGTGTCTAATAGACTGAATTTGAGTTTTCGTTCATTTTTTATGGTGCATGGAAGAGAGATTATCTTCTCCGCTCCCTGAGGTTTTATCAAGTGGTCCTGTGAATTGAGAAACCTTCAATAAAGTCACATGTTTGACAACAAGTTCATTCATTTTGCATATACTTGTGAGGCCAGCATACCTCCTCCAAAGAGTAGGAAATCAAGCTACATGGTAAAAATATGCGAAACAGATAAGATGACCTGTCCCGCGCTTGATATAAAGTTTCTGATGCAAAAATTTTGCAAGGTTGCTGAGTTTGTAGCTCAACTGCAGGAAATATGCAAGCACTTGATGCTGCTGAAATTCAGCCTGCCTTCCAGGCTTTCACTATTGGGCACATGAAAAAAGGGATTTGGTTTTAGCTCTTGCAATTGGCAAAATCTGTCATTGCCATATTGATGTTCCTTTCATTCCTTTGAAAATGTTGGGGAAATCTGAGAGTCCCAAAAAAAAAGCAAACTCAAAAACCCCTTAATTTGTGCTCTATGATGCAATCATCAAATCATTTGGTGCTTTTCCAACCCAAAAATAAAATAAAATTTAAAACTCTTGACCAAAAATGTGAGATTCTAGGACGTCACTGTAAGTCCCAATCACATGATAGGTGGAATTTATGGCTACAGCATTAGCGCCTTTAACTAATAAAACCGCTCATGCAAGTAGGAAAAAACCCACCACCTCTTTTTTCTTTTTGCCTTCTTCTTCTTCTTCTTCCTCATTTTAAATCCTTCAAACTTTTTTTTAGCTTTGGCGGCCCATGTGATTTGCTTTATCCATCCATTCAAACAATCCGTGACTTTGCTGCTACAGACAAATCACATTTTCTTCTACAACCTCCATCACACGCCTTAAATTGTGGCATCCAAAGTCCAACCATGCCTCTAATTTGAACCCAATTTGGCTTCACGTAAATTTCGCTTTTTGTTCAAGACTTTTGGCATGATTTAACAGTACTAAGCGCTTCTCTGTGTGCAGATTGCAACACTCATGAAGAATAGAAACAGAAGTTTTTTTAATAAAGTTTTTTTGGAACCATGTGAAGATTATGCTCTGTTTTGCGTCTTTTTGTCTCTGTTTTCTGACTCTTCAGTTTTCATAATATCCAATAGCACAGGATAAAGTTTGCAACTTTGTATCATTATGTGTTTTATCCTCACAACCCTAATGTCCCATTTTGGCGCATTTGATCCCGTGACAAGCATGAAACCTCTCTCTCTCTCTCTCTCTCTCCCAACGACCAACCGAACAAACCAACTTCCTTCTTCTTTCTCACTGCCTATAAATTGAAGTATTGTGCCTCAACACATTTCAAACCCACCACCTTATCTTAATTAGGTCTCTGCTGCTATAGCACTGAAGAGGCTTAGGATTGAGGAAGAAATTGGTTATATAATGGCTTATGCTGCCACATTTTCTTTAGTGACACAAGTTCTAGGCTTAACACTTTGTTTGCTCAGTTTATGCTGCTCTGCCTTCACTCCTCAAGACTACTCAGATGCTCTTGAGAAGTCCATCCTCTTCTTTGAGGGCCAGAGGTCCGGGAAATTGCCGGCGAACCAGCGTGCCACTTGGAGGGCAAATTCTGGCTTGTCTGATGGCTCCTCATACCATGTACTAATTAATTTAATTTTTTTCAACTACTGTATATTTTGTCATTTTACAATATAAAATGATACTAAGGTCTAAGGTGTTACTTGGGTGTGACTTGAATTTTTCAGGTGGACCTAGTAGGGGGCTACTATGATGCTGGAGATAATGTCAAGTTTGGCCTGCCAATGGCCTTCACAACCACATTACTTGCATGGAGTGTCATTGAGTTTGGTGACTCAATGCATAACCAGATTGATAATGCCAAGGATGCCATACGTTGGAGCACAGATTATCTCCTAAAAGCAGCCACTTCAACCCCTGGAGCCTTATATGTCCAAGTGAGAGAAACAAAATTATAAATTGGTTACACAAAAATGAGAGCTAGAGAAAAATGACTATTATTAATGACATTTGTTTTCAAGCTGAAGAGAAGTCCTGAGAGTCACATGTTTTGGTGGTGCAGGTGGCAGATCCAAACGCGGACCACCAGTGCTGGGAGAGGCCTGAAGATATGGATACGCCGCGCAATGTGTACAAGGTGTCGGCTCAAAATCCAGGATCAGATGTAGCAGCAGAGACTGCTGCTGCATTGGCTGCAGCTTCCATGGTGTTCAAAGACTCTGACCCTTCTTACTCTGGAAAATTGCTTCACACAGCCATGAAAGTAAACACCTAACACAAAAGTTAATTCATTTTTTAACAGTTTTTCCAATTAACACCACTTCATTATTTACAAGGAAGTTAATTTTGAATTTTGATCATCATGCAGGTGTTTGATTTTGCAGACAGGTACAGAGGTTCTTACAGTGACTCTATAGGCTCAGTGGTCTGCCCTTTTTACTGCTCATACTCAGGATACCATGTAAGCCAAAGGCATAACATAATTTGCTTCTAATTTTCTTTGTTTTAATCCATTAAAGGTTCCTACTGATCCCAATTGTTCTGATTAGGATGAGCTTCTGTGGGGTGCTTCATGGATCCATAGAGCCTCTCAGAACAGTTCATACTTGGCTTACATCAAGTCCAATGGCCACATCTTGGGTGCAGATGATGATGGTTTCTCCTTTAGTTGGGATGACAAGAGACCTGGAACAAAAGTCCTTCTTTCCAAGGTTTATTTTATTCTCATAGTCACACCAGAAAAATCTTAACAGGTCAAATTACTTATAATTATTTGGATTTTGGTACAGAACTTTCTAGAGAAAAACAATGAGGAATTCCAGCTATACAAAGCACATTCAGACAACTACATATGCTCCTTACTTCCTGGAACATCTAATTTCCAGGCCCAATATACCCCTGGTAACCTACGCTTTTATCTTTTTCGCGCTGATATTGTGCTTACATCCAAAACTACGTCGTTGCACATTTAATCGAAATGGTTTACAGGAGGACTTCTCTACAAAGCAAGTGAGAGCAATCTCCAGTATGTTACTTCCACAACACTCCTCCTACTCACATATGCAAAGTATCTTAGAACAAATGGAGGAGTGGCTACATGTGGCTCCTCAAAAGTCACAGCAGAAACCCTAATCTCAGAGGCAAAGAAGCAGGTTGACTACATACTTGGTGACAACCCAGCAAAGATTTCATACATGGTAGGGTTTGGGAAGAAATACCCACTACACATACACCACAGAGGCTCTTCTCTGCCATCTGTGCATGAACACCCAGAGCGCATTAGCTGCAACAATGGATTTCAATATCTGAATTCTGGATCACCCAACCCAAATGTGCTTGTTGGAGCCATTGTTGGTGGACCTGATAGCAAAGACAGCTTCTCTGATGACAGGAACAACTATCAGCAATCTGAACCAGCCACTTACATCAATGCACCAATTGTTGGGGCTCTTGCTTTCTTCTCTGCCAACACCAACCCAAATTAGCTCCAACTTCTATCAACCTCCAAAGTTAAAAAAAAATTTAGAGGAAAGTGGATTTGGAGACAAGTGAAGAGTTGTATGAATAGTAGATTGAAAGGTGAAACTTTAGTATCATGTTAATTAGTTGTTTAGAGGGCAAATCAGAGTCCAAATGTTGTGCCATTGGCATTTCCATGAGCTGTGGCACATAGTTTAAGTGTAGGTTGGAAAATGTTCTTAATTTACAATTGGATTGAGAGCACTCCCAAAAAAATTAAATATGAAAAGACTAGTTTGCCTTGATATAAAATGACTATTTGAAAGTCTACATCCCAAGCATCATTTTTTTAAGCTCTTAAATTTTTTCTCACTCTCACTCAAATCATCAAAGGCATAAAACAATATGAAAGAAACTTAATTTTGAAGACATGAATTTAAAATCGCATCTAGTAACCTGTATGAATTATGGAAAATTAATTAATTAAAAAAAAATTATAGTCATATTAAATTTCTAGAAATGAATAATTAGATTAGGGAAGGGTGTTAATGATGAAGTGAAATGAATCTAAAGTTAACATATGCATCAAGTGATCTATATAAAACATATATTCGATAAAACCAGAAGAAATCTAATCGTTCCCTTATGAATCCATCTGCTTATGAAAACAAATCTTCAGCTTAAAATTTTATGGAAAATAAATCACAACGATTAAGGCAACCACGTAATTACTCAAAAATCCGCGCCCAAATCCGTAATCTCAATAAAAGGCAGAAATTAATAAATAAATAAAGGGAAAAAGAAAGAAAGAGAAAACAGAACAAGAAACAAAATGGTCATTTCCCCATTTTTATATCCGCGAGTTGGGCAGTCGGTAGTTACAATGAAACATCCAAAATATTCATCATCTTCTTCTTCTTCTCCAACGACGAATAAATCTCAGCAATAAACTCAGAGAGAGAGAGAGAGAGAGTTGCAGCGACAGATCTGATCGTTTTGCCCCAAATTCCAGACCCCAAAACGATGTCGTTCGCTTCTCGCCCCTTCCCCATCCTCCTCCTCTCTCTCCTCATCACCTTCTTCTCTCTCTGCTCCGCCGAGATCCGGTCCTCCTCTGTCCGATCCGACTGGCGACCCATCATCCCCTTCGACGAGTTCGGATTCACCCACAAAGGCCGCCTCGAGCTCAACGTCTCCAAAATCGCCCTCTCGGATCACCCCAACCCGAATCCGGACCTCTCCAAAGTCGGGTTCTTTCTCTGTACCCGAGACTCCTTGATCCATGTCTCCCAGCAGCTCGAAGAAGGCGATGTACGGTGCGCGCTAGATTCGAACCTCGTCAAGCGCGTCTACACCTTCGACTCTCTTAAGGGCGGCCGTGAATTCTCCACCGTCTTCTCCGAGACCGACGCCGATCAGTACATGCTTCTCTTCGCCAACTGCCTTCAGCAGGTCAAGGTCTCCATGGACGTCAAATCGGCGATGTACAACCTCGAAGGGAAGGAAAACCGCCGCGATTATCTCTCCGCCGGTAAAACAATTCTCCCTAGGGTTTACTTCTTCTTCTCTTTAGTCTACGCTGCTCTTGCCGGTTTGTGGATCTTCGTGCTCTATAAGAAACGACTTACCGTTTTTGGAATCCATTTCTTTATGCTCGCTGTTATAATTCTCAAAACTTTCAACTTGCTATGTGAGGCTGAGGACAAGTCGTATATCAAGCGCACTGGTAGCGCTCATGGCTGGGATGTGTTGTTCTACATCTTCAGCTTCTTAAAGGGTGTCATGTTGTTCACTCTCATCGTTCTGATTGGAACTGGGTGGTCGTTTTTGAAACCCTTTCTACAAGACAAGGAGAAGAAGGTTTTGATGATTGTGATTCCGCTTCAGGTCGTAGCCAACATTGCCCAGGTTGTGATTGACGAGACTGGGCCTTTTGGGCATGATTGGGTTACTTGGAAGCAGGTGTTTTTGCTTGTAGATGTTGTTTGTTGCTGTGCTGTCTTGTTTCCGATTGTGTGGTCTATTAAGAACTTGCGTGAGGCTGCTAGGACTGATGGCAAAGCTGCTGTGAATTTGATGAAGTTGACTTTGTTCAGGCAGTACTACATTGTGGTTATATGCTACATTTACTTTACACGGGTTGTAGTTTATGCATTGGAGACTATCACTTCATACCGGTACCTTTGGACCAGTGTGGTTGCCGCAGAGTTGGCCACGCTTGCTTTCTACGTGTTTACCGGGTACAAGTTCAAGCCGGAGGCGCACAACCCGTACTTTGTGATTGATGATGAGGAGGAAGAGGCTGCAGCCGAGCAGCTGAAGCTTGAGGATGAGTTCGAATTGTGATTTAGCATAGAGAGGAATGAAGATTGTGCCCTGTAATCCAATTGGGAAGACGTCGAGGTAGAGTTTCAACAATTACAATGGGGTATATTTTGTGTTTTCTTTGTGTCATGTTGACCTTTTGTTATAATTGGAGTTAGTACTTAGTAGGATAATGTCACACCCTCATGAATTTTTCTGTGAATTGAAGAATATGTGTAAGTACTGAAAGATAATGTTTGGATTAATTATTTTTGCATAAAGTGTGTGCATCCATCTTCTGTTTCGAATTTTACTTTTATAAAGCCCTTTGATTCCACATTAATTTGGTTCATGGTGAAGCTATCTAAAATGATTTTTGAATTGTTTCATTCGAAGTATTGTGGTTTTCATGTGGCCGGAGGGAGTATTAGAAAACAGAGAGATGGAAAGGGTCATGATTTTTCATGTACCAAATAGGAATTAGAACAGTGGACTGTTGTTGTTACCTGGCCATGACACCAAACTCGCTGTTTTTAAGGTTCATGCATGATATGAAATGTTATGCTAGCCAAATGGAATATTTATGCAGGGTGGATGAAGCAATGTATGTTCTGGGTTGCTCTCCATTGCTAGTAGCCTAGTAGTGCATTCTTTTTCCTTTTTTCCTTTTTCCTTTTTGGTTGAGGAGGGGTTTGTCTGTATGTTGGAGTGTATCAGTATAAATTATTTGAGGGATGCTTACATTTGAAGGTACAAAGCTATCAGATGGCATGCTTCATCCCGTCTTACTATTCAATTTTATGATGTCATAACATTAATCAGTCCAGATTTATGTTCTAATATCTTTGAAGAGTGTTTCTGATGTGCGTAATATCGAACACATCGAACATGAGGGTGTGGTACCATTCCACCTCTATTGTCATGTTTTGCAACAATCAGATTTCACCGTCCGCGACTGTCTCCGTTCTAATTTCTTTAGTTGGCCAAGTTTTGATTTCTTTGGGACCCTTTAGTCCTTGAGTTGCCTTGCCATTTTATGATTATAACTTCGGTCAAGGGTTTTGTAATGGGATTGCATTTTCGTAGTATTATGGGTTTTCTTTTATAATTATCTATGGAGATATTTAGTGATATATCCATTCTTAGCACTAATATTATAGATAAACCATACACCATTGAATTTCTATAAACGAACCCAAAAAAAACCCAAAACCAAAAAAAACCCAAAAAATGACAATTAGTCTTATTGAATTTAATATTTGTGATTAAATTACTTTGATGTCTATTGAGTGTTTTGGGTATTTTTATGAGATTTTGGAGTTGAGCTTGTTTTAAGAAATTGATGACAGTTTTGTAATTTATAAGAAATTAAAAACCTCTTTGTTATGTTCTAAATGGATTTTGGATGTGTTTCTAAAGTTCATTTTATATGGAGTATTTTTATAAGTTGGGCTCATATATTGGGTATAATAGTGAATCACCCTTATCTATAAGACCAAGTATTCTATCAATTTTGAATGCCCAGAATTCATGCCTGCCTCTTGGTCTAGGCTGACTTTGACTTTTAAAGGCTTTTGTTGAATAACCTTCTCTCTCAAATGACAAAGCGTGATGTTAATGCGTTAGCTTAGCTCCCCCAATTTTCAACCTTCAACAATGTTTCTTAAGCAACACGTCAAATCACCTTGTAGCGTTTTTCTTTGTGCAATCAATTCAGAGAAGTTACCTCTTCGTAGACTAGGAAAAGTAGAAACTTTCAATACACACTGATCTTGACCATTTCCATCGGAATATTTCTAGTGTCATTCTTTTTTAGGTTCTATCTCTTCAGAAATTCTAAGTTCAAACCTCTTTATGTAATAAAGAAAAGAAAACGAGATACACAAAATCAAAAGGACAAGAAAGAATCTTGGTGATCCGCTTTTACAGTACCTATGTTCATTGATCGGCTTGTTTTTTCTTTACGGGTCATAAGGCCCATAACCAAGGTTGCATGATCAGCTTTATGAACCAACTTCATGGTTAGTAGTTTGATGAATTAAAGTAGGGGGAAGCTCATTTCAACTTTAAAATCATGAAATTAACCAATGATGTTCCTCAAAACAAGTAACCCATTTGGTTGGTAATCGTATATAGCAATTGAACAGATCATTTGGGGTCCAAACTTTAAAAATCAACACTTTTTTTTTTAATTGAATACAAGAGATTGGTAGAGGTGGTTTACACAAATATTCATTAGGTGTCTAGTGATTTAGAACGTCTGATCACATAAGTAGAGGTGAAAGAGCTCAATCAACTGACATATACTCAACTCACAATAACCAAGAATCAACACTATAGCAAAGATGTTATTGTTAAAATACCTCGAAGCCTAAGTTAGTAAATAGCACACAAGCCCAACTGGCCTCATTACATGGGTTTAACTCAAAAGCCCAATTGGTGTATAAAGAGCTGCCCCTTTGTTAAGTTGAAAAATACCTTTGGTGTCCTTGTTCCAAAATCCGGCATGGATTAGGAAGGATCCAATGATAAGTGAATCCGAAAGGGCCCAAATAACAAGTTATAATTGAGCAAGTAATCTGATGTTTGGAATATAACACGTGATAATCCTAAAAGTAGAGCATATGAGTGTCTCTTTGGATTTCATTGCTTTAAGGAAAACAAAATGGAACATGGGTGTTTTTCTAACCATTATAAAGCAAATTCTTCCGTAATCCAAACTTCTCTAGGATTCTTTCTCAGTACATGTGCAAGCACATGTCTGTTCTTCAGCATTTGATGGTCATGTTATATAGTGAAAGTCTCAACAAGCCAACAAACAGCTGAGAGAGCTACAAACATATGCAAGTAGTTTTCAACCGTTGCACCTTAAACCCTAGATGATCGTCCGTAGCATTACTCTTTTTTGTTTAAAACTTTGGGCCAAGGTGGGTAACTTTTGTGTCAGTATTCCATCTTGTTGTCATCTAAATGATATTGTTGGAATCAATCAAATAATTTGGTTAGTCTTACAAACCATTGGAGGGGAGGGGGCCATGGATTAAGGAAACAAGGAACACAAAGGGAGACAACCATGTGGAGCTTGTAGAATGAGTAGACGAAACTATTCATGCAATAATAAAATCCCCATGTTAGCCTACAGTGTCCTTTCTCCGTTAGTCTTTGATATATAAGTTGATTAAAGACCAAAGTTCATTTCATGAATTTGCCCTGTGGAAAGAATCCCATCGAACAGACAACCAACAAAGCAATTTAGTGTATGATTGAAACTCCATTATTGCCCAAAGCAATTGCCATTAACCCTGTAGAACATTCCACCTTCATTTACACAAAATCAATTTAAAAATTAAGGGATGAAATAACTATCTGCCACTGAACATTACCATGTTGCTGTCATTTTAAGGTTGAACACACCCACAGATTGGGTTTTTTTTTGCCTCTTTTTTTAACTTTTAGGTAAAGAAGAGACAGATCGGTTAGTTTACTGATGCTATGAACTTAATTGAATTGTGTTGACCAATAGGACAGCCAATGGCTGGCATTTTGGTGACCTCATTACATTTCACCAGTATTTTGAGTCACTTCAGGTCCAAGAGAGGTGAAATTGAACATAAACCATTAAGAAGGAGCAGAGAGAGAGAGAGAGAGAGAGAGAGAGAGAGAGAGACCAGGTCACCCACCTCACCTCCAACATGGTATTAATGAGTGTGAGCTTATGATTTTATCTTCTTTTTTTCTTTGGCAATGAATCCACATCTCCAAAGCAAAGTTCTCCAAGATCAAATGGGCCTACCCCATTTGCTTTCTTGACAGAGGAAGTCCCCATTGGAAGGAAAAAGGGAAAGGTAAAAGAAAGCAGCAAAGGGATTGAGAAGGAAAAAGACTACACACAAAAGAAAAGAAAAGCCAGCACATAGCATTTACAAAAGAAGAAGAAGATATGGAGGAGATGATGATGAGGACCAGTTCTGCTACTAGTAGCCCAGAAACTAGCAGAAATGAAACCATTAATTCTATAGAGCCCATCACCACCTCCACTTGCCCAAGCTGGAAACTTTATGAAAACCCATTTTATAATTCTCATCTCCGCCATCAAAATCAACCCCAACAACAACAACAACAACAGCAATGCCAAAGTAGCAGCAGCAGCAACAAGCAACAAGTTCATCATTGCCTGCACCTCCCTATCTCTGCTCGCAAGCTTGCTGCTACTTTCTGGGATCTAACGTTCTTCAAGCCAGTCATGGAGTCTGAGATAGATTACACACGAGCCCAGATCATAGAATTGAAAGCTGAGCTCGAATATGAACGCAAGGCACGTAAGAAGTTGGAGTCTTCAAACAAGAGGCTGACCAAAGAGTTAGGTGAGGAGAGAAGGGGAAGAAAAGCGATTGAGAGGGTGTGTGAAGAGCTTGCCAGAGAGATTTCATTTGGGAAATCAGAGATTAGTAGGATGAAGAAAGAGATAGAGGAGGAGAGAAAGATGCTTAGAATGGCTGAGGTGCTGAGAGAAGAGAGAGTTCAGATGAAGCTCGCCGAGGCGAGGATTCTATTTGAAGAGAAGCTGTTTGAGTTGGAGGGTTGTAAACAAATGCAGAGCACTGAGAATTCACATTTCAAGATCAAAGACAAGAGTGAGGATGTTAATGCTGCAATTTTTTCAGGAAAGTCAGCTAGCAATGATAAAAACATTGGTGTTGATTGTTCAAGAGACTCAATGAGTTTGGTGGTTTTGGGTGAAAAGTCTTCTGCTTTTTCAGGTGATCATAATAATGACTATGTTTCCAGTGTGTCTGCTACAACTTCAAGGTCAGTGCTTTTGGGTGAGAAGGCAGCTTGCAGTGACAACAGCGGTGGTTTTTCATCAATAGCAATTCAGAAAAGAGCCTCACCAGAACCAGAAAATCCTCACATAAAGAGAGGGATCAAAGGGTTTGTTGAATTCCCAAGAGTGGTCAGACCAATTGGATCCAAAAGCAGGCATTGGGGTACAAAGCTGGAATGTCAAAAGGCTCAGCTCAGAATTCTGCTGAAGCAAAAGAGCCCCATCAGATCCAATAGTTTCATTATTAGTTGAAGATCATGTAGTTCCTAGGATCTGTTCAAATTCTCTGTGTTTCTTAATCATTTTGTTCTTTCTTAATCTATAAGTATTTTCTATATCCATTGCTTATGTGGATTGTTGAAAGAGGTATGATTTTGTGCTCATGTGGATTTTAGTGTATGAAACCAGAAAAAAGTATTGATTTGGATCTGATCAAGGGCTAAAAATTGTACCAACTTTATTCTAAATCTGTGAACTTTAGACTTCTGGAAAACACATGCACATGCTTCATTTTTAGTCCACTTGAGTTGAGTGTGCATTCTTTTGAGTTCTAAAGACATCTACACAACACATGCACTGCTGCACATGCTTCACTTTTATCCCACTTGAGAGTGCATTTTTAGTCATGATAATACATAGTTAATTAAAGTTAAACGGATATACGCAGATGTTTATAGTAATTAAGAGGTTGATTAAGAGGATTAGCAGACTGGAAATGCATTAGGCTTGCATAGCAACAGTTGGTTTTCTTTCCCAAAATGGACCACACATACCTTTATCTACAAGGAATGGACCACATATGGTATGTGATCTACCCAAAATACATTTTGCAGACATGGCCTATAGTGAGAAATTGGACCATTCAGAGGTTTTGCATAGCTCTCATTTGAGAATATGAGATTATCAAAGAGGAAATTAGACAATAGGGAGAGCTATTCTAACAGTTTCCAAATCTGTTTTGATATTACATATTGCTATCTGAGTGTGTCACATGAGGCTAAGATCTTTGATAGATTTTGGTCCAAGGGGAAGATTCTTTGGTCTTTGGAAATGATTACCATCCAATTAAAAATTCTTCTGGGCAGCAGAAAAGCTATAAAATATATGATTAAAAACGTGAACTTGCTGCCACCTTAGAAAAATGCAATCATTCCTCAAGAGAGGGTGTTTGATGGTATATTACACCCTGAAAGATTAGTCCATAACTATTGGGAAAGATTAAAGCCTGATTAATACAAGATCAGAACATAATTCGAATTTAGATGTTCTCAATCCAAATAACCAAGACATACCAATATTTCAGCCCTGCCCCTACCTATGTCTACAGGCAACATCAGGAAAAACTTACTGTGTAAAATAATTAGAGGCATCCGTGAATCAAAAAGCAAATGGCATATAGTGATAGAGTGCAAATAAAACAAGTTCTAGATCTGGAAGTTTGAATTTCATCATGTTTCCCAAATGAAGTAAAAACCTCAATCAAGACATGGAAACAAAATTGTACTCTTCATTCAGCTCTAAAACATGTCAGACACGCAAAGAATTTGTAACTCAAGTGGTTAAAAGTATTTATTTATGCATCTAAAATGTTATGTTCGATTTCTCATTCTCTAATATTGATTATATCAATGACACACTTGCAAAATGTACCTGGGATTAAAATTAGGCTTGGCCTGGCCATGTTCTTGGTCTGCCTAAGTAAGCATTATGTAGCAAATTGGGCTAGTTTGGGTGGCTATATAAGTTGTTGGCTCAATAACTTCTCCAAAACATCGGACAGACAAAGACATGCATGATTGGGTTCCACCCCAGATGTACAGCAGATCAGTACTTAACCAAACTCAGCAAACTATATTAATTATTCACATCAAGAGTCTATATAAATAAACATTCTCTTAACCCAAGCTTAATTCATGTTTGAAATTTGTGGGGTCTCAAAATTAATATGCCAAGTGGATGGAACCCATTTCAACGTGACGAATTGGTTACTGCATCAACATCTCAACCAGCCTTTTTCCCTTTGGTCCCCAGACCCCAACACGAAACCTCGAGGGCCCCACTTGAGAGAGCTTCCCAATGCGGCTTGACATTGTTAACGGCGTCAGTTAAGGTGAGGATCAAGCTCAAGTCAGAATGCACAGCCATGTCCCTCGTACAAAAATGACAGCCAATGAAAGCCTTGCTTCTGCACTGAAGTCAAAAAGTCAAAGCAATCAGACATTTGTTTATTACTATTCGACTACATCAAGTCCAATCCTACACATTGATTCCTATAATACACTACTTTTAGAGGCCAACAGTGTTAGATTTGACGTGAAGTAAACGTTATGTCTTATGTGTTAGAGAAAGAGGAGAGAGAAAAAGAGAGAGAGAGAGCTTGTGCTGCCAGCTGCTTGTACTAGTTTTGTCCATATTCATAAGAGGAACTAATGTTGGAAGCTTGGGAAGCAAAGCAAAGCACATGGCTAAAAATGGCGGCACCGCCACACCATAGCAAAACCCACAAGAACAACAACACAACACAACACAAGGAGAGAGAGAGAGAGTTGAAGTGTCATTGAAGGAAGAGAGAGGAGGGGGCCAGAGTCAATAGAGTGGCATAGCTAGCGTGGGTTGTAATTAAGGCTGATTTTTCCCTTTGGGGTTGTGGGTTGAAACTTGAAGAAGGCAGTGAGAAAGTTTGCTTTTTTATTTTGATTTTTCAATTTGAACATAAACATGGGGAAGAGAAATGGGTTTGTTGTGGCTTCAGAGAAGGGAACAGCAGAAGAAACAACAGAGTGCTGTGATATTGGGTTGGGTTTGATGATGCAAAAAACCCACCAATCATTTCCTCGTAAGAAGATGATGATGATGATGCCTCATCATCATGATCATCATGAGCAGCCTCTGCTTAGCAGTGGAGGTAGTTTTGGTGGAGAAGGTTGTGGGGTTTTTGAGCATAGTGCTAGTGGACCTTTGTTTTGTAACACAAGCAACCCAGTCACTAGTTGTATCAGTGATATATACAATGTTGTCGGTTCTGATTTTGGTTCTGTGGTGCCAAAGTCTCTGCAGCAGCCTTACTCTGATCACAGCTTGTCTTTCAGTCCCTCAGGTAAAGTTCCTATCTTTTTTATTTCTTCAACAGATAATAAAGAACAGAAATTTGTTGAACAATTTCTCTGGTCTTTTGTTGGGTTTTTAATGTAGTAGGTGGAATGGTGAATGTGAATATGAGGCTTCCTTTTACCCCAGCTCAAAGGGAAGAGCTTGAGAGACAGACTATGATTTACAGGTACATGATGTCCTCTGCTCCTGTCCCTCCACACTTGCTTGTTCCCATTGCCAAGAACCCATCAAATGTGGCTCACTTGTACCCAAATTGTAAATCTTTCTGCTCTTCATTCTTGTTCATCTTTTGGTCTTTTTTAACAATGTTGTGTTCCTTTGTTTTAAAGAACGTTCCTTTCCTCTTTTCCTTGTTATTGGTTTTGTGTTTTTAGTGGTAAGAGGTTCATTGGAGTTGGGGTTTTCTAGCAACTCAGATCCTGAGCCATGGAGGTGTAAAAGAACAGATGGTAAAAAATGGAGGTGCTCTAGAGATGTAGCTCCTGATCAGAAATATTGTGAGAGGCATGCTCACAAAAGCCGGCCCCGTTCAAGAAAGCCTGTGGAATCAAACCCCAACTTAATCAACAACAACACCACCACCACCACTAGAATGAGAAGCCCGAGGTCTAATTTTGTCAAAAACAATAACAGCAACCAGCCAACTCCATTTTCTACCGACATGGTCTCTCCTACTGTTCCATCACATGCCCAGCCCAGGTGCGTTTGGTTTGGATCCAAGTTTCAATGCTCTCCGAAACTTAGGACCAAAACGCATTAATTCTATTCTATTTTATTGCTTGTTCTTATCCATTGCCAGTGAATGTGTCAATGTGATGTGGATCTTGGACTTGGATATTAGTTTCTTGTTTTCTTTTTTGTTTTGTTTTGTGTAATAAATGTGCTTTTTGTCTTTGACCATGAAGGTCTATGGGTTGGTTCATGAAGGGGGAAACACCCACTGCTCCCACTGCTGGTGGTTCAAACCAAGAATGGGAGCAAATGATGCAATTTAAGTTAGGCTTAAAGAGCTGCTACACCAAGTGCAATACAGATGTGGATGTATCAAAGCAACAAAATGAGAGCTCATTCAATTTGTATAGAGAGTATACAGGTGAGAGCCAAGGCCTGCAAACTCAGAGGCCCTCCCATGACCAATATGGCTTGTTGCTGAGCCCCAAGTTGGCTCATTTGGAAGGAGCCTTAAATTCCAATCAGACACAGCAAACAAGGCATTTCATTGATGCATGGTCCACAACAACAGAGAGAGATAGTAGTATTGGTGAAATTGGCAACAGAGGCTATGTTTCTTCAAACCAGAAGCTACCCTTTTCATCTCTTACTCTATCAATGTCTAGAGGGAATGAAACCAAAGAAGAAACTGACAATACTCAAATGGGTCTTGGAATTTTGGGTTCTGAAAGGGAAAATGTTGGAGATTTGAAGTCTCAATGGATGAACCCTCTTTCATGTATGAGCTCACCACCTGGTGGACCATTGGCTGAAGCTTTGTGCCTTGGCATTGCCAGTTCCACAAGAGCAACATCCTCTAATGGCTGCATTAGTGGCTCCACCTCCAGTGGAGATGGTGTTTATACCTAGAATGAGTTCGATTTGATCAACTGAAGAGGTGGGCAAGCAAGCAATGGGGGTTTACACCTAAATGTTTGAACTTTTGAGGAAGATCCACAAAGGGGAAAAAATGAGACTGTTTTGATTGATTTTCTTGCCTACATGCATTAGGAGGTTGCGGTTCATTACCTTTTCTTGTTCTTCTTTTCTATCTATTTGTTGAAAGAAATGAAAAGAATATGCATCTAACTTATGGTAAGTGTAACTCATGCACCTAGGATTTTACGTAGTCATGGATCATGCCATTGCCATCAAGTTCTTTCATAACATAGAATTGCATTTTTTTTTGTGGGAAATCCCATGTCTTATTATCCTAATTTGAAGAAATCCCAAAATCAGTTCTGTAAAAAGATGATAATTTACCTTAGGTAGTTAACCAAACCTTCCCCACATTTATGTGTAGCAAGAACAAAGATGTAAGAGAAACTACAAGCGAAGGCTCATGATGCGAACACCCTAAATAATCATTCTTTTAATCAAAGTTCTTATGCAAATCTTTACGAAGTTGGAACTCTGTATTGTTTAAGCGCGTCTCATATTCTACCAAGCTTATTCCAACTTAAGAAACATTTTGTGCTATAGATTGTCCCACACTAATTACTCTCACTCAAAGTCGCAAACCATGAACAATATAAGTAATGGCAAAAGAAATATCAAACTTACATTGTTCATCTCGAATTAGGATAAGCCCACATATGATGATGAGGTATATGCTTTTAACTATTTGAGTTACAAGTCTTTTGCTAAAGTTTGGTGGCTAAAACACTAAAAAAGGCTTAAAAACTAAGGTGAAGACCAAAAGAACTCAAAGCTCTTGCGCCAGACACAAGACAAGACTAGGCACACCACACCCAAAAAGAGAAGAGAAGCAAGAAAATGGGCTGTGTGAGAGCCCAGCCCAGCCCCAACCAACCTTCCTTAATATGCTATGTTGGGCTGGACACCACAATATGAATGAATATTTAATAAATATAGAGTGCTGTTAAATAAATCTTAAAATTAACTCAGTACACTCTATGATCTAAGTACATCATAATATTTTAATCAAAATGTAAAATTAACTAAGTACACCCTATTTAACTACCAAATATACCCTTGGTACATCCTAATACACTCTATCACACAACACCCTAATATCAATCCTAAGTAAGGTTACTATTACTTTACTATCATTGGTTGCATCTTGAATTCCAGCCACGCCATTATCCACATTACCATTTATATATGTTTTTGTTGATTTCGCAATAAGCTTTCTTGTAAGTTTATATACTCTCCGTCTGACAATGTTTGTAAGGTCATTCCAATTAACCATTTTGGACAAAATAGATCAATCGAACTCGCTACTTTATTTGTTAATGAATATATATTTAAATGAAATATATATAATATTAAAGTTAAACTTTCCGTTGCTGTTAAGGCCAAAGTTTCTTGAAGAAAAGAAAAAATATGACAACAAGCAATCATCAATTGATAAGTAAAACTTTATAGAAAGTTCTCGAAAAAGTAACCGTCGAATTTTATAGATACACCCTAATCAAGCAAATAAAATTCTAATAAAAATACAACAACAAAAACAAAAAATTATCATAAAAAGTAATGGAAGAACCTTTCGTCCTGCAATTGCGCCTCCGTTAGTGCTCGCTGTGTTGTTTGCTGTGGGCACCAAGCAATACAAAAACTTCTCTACGTTTGATTATAATTGAATATGGTGAGTATGGTGTACTTATTTATTTTATTTTATTTTCACAATTTAAATCCTTTTTTGTTCATTTTATATTAGGATAAATTAATAATTCAATAAATAGTTTGATAATATGGTGTACTCAGTTAATTTTAAGATTCATTTAGCAACACTCTTAATATATTATTTGAGTTGCACTACAAAAGCATTTGTAATCAGACAATAAATGAAAACTACATGCAGTTTCATCATCACTCAGTGTCAGGAATTCCCAAGTTTACATGATTTTCATAAAACTTGCAATAGTTTTTACAGCCCTTGCCTCCTTCTGTTATATATCACTTTATGTTATATCATAATATCATTTTTGGGTTATATTCTCCATATGCTGCCCATTAGGAAAAAGAAAAAAGACAGGAAAAAAAAACCCATCCAATCATTCATAAAATATTCCTTTCCAATTCTTAATCAGACAATAAATGAGAACTAGGTTCATTTTCATAAAATTTTGCCTCATTTCAACCACCTTAGATCAGTGGTTGAACAAGGAGAAATCTCTCCCCCTAGGCTATCAGTATATGAAGATAGATTCTCCCTTCCATAGTAGCCATTATTTTGTACACTCTTGTAGCTGGGACTTCTCAAGTTATGGCTGAAACTACTACAACCAATGCCAACAGAGTTATGTTGCAGCGCCTCAGCTGGGTCTGGATATGAAAGTCTCTTCTTGGCTGAACCACCACCTCTTTCTCTCTCGGGTGTCGAGGGTCTTGTTCTGGGTGCACTTAGAGATCGAGCCTTTGCCTTTGCAGATTCAGTGGCAGCCATGTAATTTGGTATCGCAGAACGACACATTGATCCCCTGAAACAATAAGAATTAGAGCCTAAGTTTGGTGTGTGTGCTGCTGATGAGCAGCAATAATTTTCCTCCTTCAGGCATCTTGGGCTTGCTGATCGGACTTTCAGATATTTGGGTTTTGAAGAAGAGGGTGTGGCAGGTGAGAGATGATTAATGTAGTGTGATTTGTGCAGGGGTGAAGGTGAAGCAATTGGATATGGGGCTGGCTGTTTTTGAAGTTGTGAATGTGATGTCGAAATTCGAACATTTGGGGCAGAGTAAGAGTAAGAGTAAGGCCTAGAATTTGTGTCAATTTCAACTGTTTTTATAGTGTCCCTTTTGTCAATTGAAGCCCTGCTGCTGTGCTCAAATTGCTTTGTGGCCATCCATCTGTCAAGCCATTTTGTTCTCTCTTCTAGCTCTGCTTCATCCCCTGCAGATGGGTTCCTCCGAGGCTTCCATATCTTCAATTAGGCATCAATAATTAAATCAAAGACATTAGCTTGTTGTTCTTAAACAAACACAAAAAGTACTTAAGAACCGTACATAGAAAAAAGTGAGGGAGATTGATGAACCTGGTGAGAGAAAGCATAAGCAAGAGCCTTTTCACGTTTTAAAGCAGCGTCCCTTCTACTCTGCAACATGGCTTCCACCCCTTCATCCCAATCATCCCCACCACGACTTTTCTCTCTTGACTGATGAAAAGCAGCCAGTTACTTTGAGGAATAAATTCAGTTCATGTTTTTGTTATACTAAAACAGTGAAGAAAGCTGGTGCTTACCATTGACTTTCTGTCACGAATGTCATGAAGATATCTCGATTCCCACAAGGGAAAGTCTGTTTCGGCATACATGGACTTTCTGCCCCCATCATGTGAAAGCCTTGATCTTTCATTGCGAACCTGATCTTGTACACGAAGCAAAGCTTGCATGCATTTCAGTGTCAGCTTTGCTTGCTTCCTTGCATTATGACCTCTCACTAAAGCTTGAAGCTTTACCAGCCCCTTCAGTGCACGTAGAGCTCTCCTTGCCTTCAATCAAGCAACCACATTTGAATTAGCAATATGTGAAGGAGCTCAAAGAAACAAGCAGGACCCATATAAGGAAATTTCATATGTTGTTTGTGGTTAATGTTTTGTGGTTCACTTACTAAGTAACCTCTGAAAGCTGTTTGAATAAGGGTGGCAGCATAATGTTCTTTAGCAAAATTGTTCGGCCTAGTAAGCCGAACAACTTCTACTGCCGCTTGGGCAGTAGCAACAGCTGCTTCGGCTGCAGCTGCAGTGGCTGCGGCCACAGCAATTGCACGCCTTTGCTCAGCAACCAAAACAGGATTCACAGGTGTGGTTGTTGCATTTATAGTCACTGTCTTTGCTTCAGATTGTTGAACATGAATAGTTGGCTTTCGGAAAAGCCATCTTCGCTTTTCTCTCTTCTGCTTGCACAAACCAAAACAATCAGCATTTAAACAGACACAAAAAAGGGGATCAAATCAAATCATTAGAGAAAATGAAGGCACGTGATGGTATGCATGGTTACCTTTTCTTCCTCTTCTGGTTCATGCTCATCTCTTCTTCTGCTGATCTTTTGCTGATCGTTATCTTTAGTTGGAGACCTAAATGCCCTTTTGACTATAGTCAACCATGAGGTACCACTTTTCTTTCCCATTTAGGTGTTTGAGCAAAGTCTGCAGCATTACATGAAATTAAGCTGGTGAACGCGAAAGGAGAAACTGAAGAAGGTGAAGTTAGTAGTGTGCTTGTTATGATGAGAGAGAGAGAGAGAGAGAGAGAAGAAACTTGAGGTTTGTTCGTTTATATGCAAGAATTAATGAAAGAGAGAGCTCCAATATATGTGATAAGCGATGGTGTTTTCTTGTGGCATGCGAAAAAACTAATGGAGGAGGTGTCAGGTATTGTAAAAAACAATGCAAGTAATAAGTTTGAGACAGTGGACGTGAGGGGGAGAGATTTCAATGTAGAAGAAGAATCCAAAGTCCTTTCAAAAACAAGCAGGGCTTTTTGATTGATCAATGGCTTTAAATTACACTGACCAAAATCTAATGGTTTCACGTGTTATATGGACAACAAAAGTACGAGAGAGAGAGAGAGAGAGAGAGAGAGAGAGAGAGCATTTTGTGTTTGATTTTGCAGTGAATGTGGCCAAATGTATTTATGTTTGTTTGCTGCATTTTTATGTCTCTCGAAGACCACCAACTAAAATATGGCAGCAGAGAAATCGCATGCATACAACTATTCATGGGTAAAAGCAAACAGAGTTGGCTTCATTTTCCCAGTAAATATCAGTCAAACTAAGTTTGATTTGATTCTCTTTTGGTCAACTTTTTAAAGTTAATTCTACCCTAATAAATAATGAACATACACAGTCACAGTGCACTTCATCTCTTCCTTTCTTTGCATAAAAATGAGCTTGTTATGTTATGTCTTCCAGT